ACGAATGGGTAATAATATCCTAATCGACTAGAGCTTTAACGGTGGCTTCTTTTGTACTAACTTTTATGCCATCTTCTCTTTTAAAAGATGAACGGAGGAATGACTCTATAATAAAAATAGAGGATGGCCGGATTTATATGTCAATGTGGCCGAATAAGTACACATTATTCATTTTAACTCACATTTACTTAGACAGTCTACTAAATTTAAAAGCATAATAAACAACAAAACAAAACATATATTATCGTTCTTAATGATAGTACAATTCTAATTCCCGAATACCTAGTGCTACATAGCATTCCAATTAAATTAGCACCATCTAGTTTCTACATAACTTTATAACAATATCTTTTTGAGATGGTCTATAATTTTATTTTTGTCTACATGGACACACATGCTCCACTGATCTAATAACCATCCTTTCGATTGACCAAAAGAAGAGCCCACGAACCGCAGATCCACATCCAACACTGTTGCTTGCTGCACTGCAGTACTCCACTGCACCTCTCTTGCTCCTCACCCCAGCCGCCCATCGCCGCCTGCGCCCGCGCGCGGCCACGCCGCCACTGCCTGCTGCTACCGCGTCCGCCTCTCCAAGCCGCCGCCGCCGCCAGCCAGCAACTCGCGCCGATCTGCTGCTTCTTGAGACGGCGGCCGCGGGCGGCTGCTCCTCCGCTCTGTTTGGCCGGCGCGCGGCTCCGCCTCCTGTGCAGCTGTGCTTCCCCTCCGGTGTTCTCCCTCCCGCGGCGTGTGACGGTAGCGGAGGGGCGGGACTGATCTCCCGCAATGGCGGGCGCGGTCTTCTTCCTCGGCGTTCGCTGGTAATGCGAATCTCCCCCTCTCTCTCTCGTCGGTTGGTCGAGATGCTCGATTGCTGTTTGGAATGGTTCGTGGTCGTGCTATGTGTTCTAGGCATAGACTGAATCGTTGAGCAGAAACAGTTCATTCTGTTTGTTTGATTCGGTGTTTATATATAATATGGATCTAGCCACAAAAGATCTCGGTACTTTTTGGTAGCACTAGCGGTTGAATCCTGATTTCCGTTTGTTTGATTTCTAGGGTGCAGATGCTTGCTCTAGTCTAAATGAGACCTGCAAGAGCTAAAATCTGGCAGTGGAGTGGTGATTGTTACAGATGAGGCTACTTGCGCTGGCAGTTGCAAGCATCGTGCTTGCTAATTTGCACCTGTTGGGAGTTCATGGGAGGGATTTGCTTCTCAGCTGTGGTTCAAACGCGACTGTGGATGCTGGCGGCCGGAGATGGATCGGCGACATGGCCCCCGGGCTGAATTTTACCTTAAGCAGCCCTGGAATAGCTGCGTCGCAGGCTGGGAGCAGCAATGGCAATGAAATCTTCGGACTGGTGTACCATTCCGCGCGTTTCTTTAGCACGGCATCTTGGTATAACTTCAGCGTGCTGCCGGGGAACTACTGCCTCAGGCTGCATTTCTTCCCTTACACATTCGGGAATTTCAGTGGGAATGATTCATTGTTTGATGTCACTGCAAATGATTTCAAGCTGGTCTCGAAATTCAACGTGTCAGAGGAGATTGTTTGGAGGAGCACTGTGAGCAATTCAGCCATCAATGCAGTTGTCAAGGAGTATTTTCTTTTAGTTGGTTCTCGTGGTCTGCAGGTTGAGTTTGATCCAAGCCCTGGGTCATTTGCCTTTGTGAATGCAATTGAGGTGATGCTCACTCCAGATAACCTGTTCAATGACACAGTAAACAAAGTTGGCAGCGCTGGAAATGGGCAGCTTCCTCTTGGTTTAAGCAACAGAGGCCTAGAGACAATGTACCGGTTGAATGTTGGAGGGCATGCACTTAATTCTTCCAGCGATCAGTATCTGCACAGACCATGGTACACTGATGAAGCATTCATGTTTTCTGCGAATGCTGCTCAGATTGTGTCCAACACTTCAAGTGTAAGTTATCTCTCAAACAATGACTCCTCAATTTCTCCCATTGATGTATACGAGACTGCAAGAATCATGAGCAACAACATGGTTGTGGACAAGCGGTTCAATGTTTCATGGCGATTCTATGTCCACCCCAACTTTGATTACTTGGTCCGCCTTCATTTCTGTGAGCTTTTCTATGACAAGCCCAACCAGAGGGTCTTCAAGATCTACATCAACAACAAGACAGCTGCTGAGGACTATGATGTGTATGTCAGGGCAGGGGGTATTAATAAGGCATATCATGAAGACTATTTTGACAACTTGCCACAGCAGGTAGACTCACTCTGGCTTCAGCTAGGCCCTGACTCCTTGACCAGTGCTTCAGGCACCGATCCACTTCTGAATGGTTTGGAGATATTCAAGCTCAGCAGGAATGGCAACCTCGCTTATGTTCTTGGCCATATTGACATGGGTAACCAAAGGGGTATTTCCAAGGATAGAAATAGGAAAATTTTATGGGAAGAAGTCGGAATTGGCTCAGCTTCTTTTGTGACACTGACAAGTGTGGTTCTATTTGCATGGTGCTATGTAAGAAGGAAACGAAAAGCTGATGAGAAGGAGGCCCCTCCCGGTTGGCACCCACTGGTCCTCCATGAGGCTATGAAAAGCACCACAGATGCCCGTGCAGCCGGTAAATCACCCTTGACACGTAATTCATCTTCCATTGGTCATAGAATGGGCAGAAGATTCAGCATTTCAGAGATTAGGGCTGCTACAAAGAACTTTGATGAGGCTTTGCTTATTGGTACTGGTGGTTTTGGCAAGGTTTACAAGGGTGAGGTCGATGAGGGTACTACAGTGGCAATCAAGCGTGCAAATCCATTATGTGGCCAGGGCTTGAAAGAATTTGAAACAGAAATTGAGATGCTCTCCAAGCTTAGGCACCGGCACCTTGTTGCAATGATTGGCTACTGTGAAGAGCAGAAGGAAATGATTCTAGTCTACGAATACATGGCCAAGGGGACATTGCGAAGCCATCTTTATGGAAGTGACCTCCCACCTCTGACATGGAAGCAACGAGTTGATGCCTGCATTGGTGCAGCTCGTGGGCTTCACTACCTCCACACTGGAGCAGACCGAGGTATAATCCATAGGGATGTGAAGACTACAAACATCTTGTTGGATGAGAATTTTGTTGCAAAGATAGCAGATTTTGGTCTGTCTAAAACTGGCCCAACACTGGACCAGACCCATGTTAGTACAGCAGTCAAGGGAAGCTTTGGGTACCTTGATCCTGAGTACTTCCGGAGGCAGCAACTCACACAAAAATCTGATGTGTATTCTTTTGGAGTGGTGCTCTTTGAAGTCGCTTGTGGCAGACCAGTTATAGACCCCACTCTACCAAAGGATCAAATCAACTTGGCAGAGTGGGCAATGAGATGGCAGCGCCAGCGTTCGCTGGATGCAATAGTGGATCCACGGCTGGACGGTGACTTTTCATCTGAATCCTTGAAGAAGTTTGGTGAAATTGCGGAGAAGTGCCTTGCTGATGATGGGAGAAGCAGGCCATCGATGGGTGAGGTCTTGTGGCATCTGGAATATGTGCTGCAGCTCCATGAAGCTTACAAGCGTAATAATGTGGACTGTGAATCATTTGGAAGCAGTGAACTGGGATTTGCCGATATGTCCTTTAGCCTGCCTCATATCAGAGAGGGAGAAGAGGAACATCACTCAAAGCCATCTAGTATAAGAGAAGATCCAGACACTTGAGGGTTTCTGACATCTGGTAACCCACTGAAATATCTTGATTGAATTCTAGCAATGATCTTGTTGTAAAATTGTGTGATATTGTTCGTGTAGGTTCTTAGCTTTGCCGGTTTCTTCTGATTTTTTTTTGTGTCCTGTTCAACAAGTGTAGAATAATAGGATTTTTGTAGATTGTCAAAAAAAAAAAAGAAGAGAGAAACATGGAAGCGTCAAGTTTTTCCTTGACATCCTGCTGTACCATGCTATTTGTTTAACAACTGGGTTTAGGTCGACCTGTGTGACCTGTATAAATCGTACTGATAATATAATTATCTCTTTCAACTTATAGTACCAAATGGGATTTGGTTTCTGTACGTCGAATGCCACATTGAGGCGTTTCGTCATATGAAATGTTATGAAGCTTGTGATTATCATATTTGTATGTCATGTAAACTATCCCATTACTATTTCTTGGATATTTGTATCTTCACATTGTGCCCCAGGTTATATTCTATATTCTAACATAGTACCAATGGATTCAAAAGCTGCCATTATCGTTCTAGATCAATGCTCATAATTTGTAAATGGCAAAAGGCAGAGCTTGGACAGATTTCACCAATGTACTTACTGCACTATCTTTGACCCTAAAATCCTAGTACTAGCATAAATGTCTCGACGACGGCGACCACAAGTTAGCCTAGCGCTGACATGTGATGATGATGCTCCTGTCCAGCTTACATAGATCCAGGTTGCAAGCTTGTCAGGGGAATTTGCGAGTACACTGAACTCATCTGGGACCATTGGGCTTGATGGGGTCTCTCTTCTGCAATCGTTCGTGCTGATCACATGCGTCTTCAATGCAGATCCTGAACTGATTTGCAAACCATCCAAACCATGGGAGCTGCAGATGAATCTGGCTGAAATTTGAAACCAACATTTGGTAGAGCTAGAGGAGCTACGAAATTGCACAGCATAGCTCTGAATTAGCCTTATACATGAGGACCCCCCGGATGATAAGCAAGATTGTCAGGTTCAGAAGCAATGAAATTCCAGAATACTGTCAGGTATGGATGCATACTGTGTACAGTGCAGCGTACAGCTGGCTCGGATGAGTGGATCTGGCTATCCTATATGACCTGCATACAGTGAACCAGTGCTCACTGATTTGTACAACGATACGTCAACTAACAGGTTTACAAACCTAGTAGTACACTTGAGTCAATCAGTGCTCACTAGCTGGCACAACAATACATCGAGTAACAGGTTTACATACAATTATTGCAGCGGAGCAAACAGGACAGGAAAACCAGACACAATTTTGTAAGCCGTAGAAAAGAGAAACAAGTTCATCCACAGGAGTATAAGAGAAATCCATGCAGAGAATTGCAGTAACAAATTATAGCTCGATGAAATTAGTAGGTGGTAAAACAGCCTCAACAGGAAACTAAGATAATGAGACATACTTCAGTTTTACAAGCAAAACTGTTTGGGAAGTAAATTCCCAGGTAAAACTTTGGTACACTCAAGGACTCGACCATCATTGATTGACGAGAAGATGGAAACACAACAGCAGCTGTAAGCAAGTCATCCATTGTGTTAAGAGACGGTTATCACTGGATGACTGGAAAACATATCATACTGAGACCAAGACTGTTAAATTTCTTTTTTTCCCCTTTTAGATAACTAAGCAGGAACCACCGAGTTGTAGTGCTCACCAAGACCATAGGCATGTCTGTGATAGGACAACCTAATGCTAGGGCCATCTTTACCACCTGAATCCAATTTGTATTCTTTGCCCATTTCCACATCTGGAAATGAGCCCGAGTATACAACAATGCGCTTCTTCAGGCAGTGGGTTAGAGCACCAAGCTCAAGTTGCCCACCCCAAGCAGCAGTTGACTCAACCTCCTCACAGTACCTCTTGAAGCTCTCCAAGGGATCTGGTCCAGACTCGACCTTGCCCTCTGATAGGAAAAATGGGAGAAAATCTGCCGCATGCTCTTTCATATAATTGGCAGTCATTTGCCGCAGCTCCTGGTAATTGTATTGTGTGGTTTCTCTGGAATAGAGTGACAGCTGGTTCTCAACAGCACGGTACAGGCAGTGGCCATCTGGCTTTATCTCCTGAATGGTCAGTCCCATGGGCTCAAGCTTCTTCTCAAGCTTTTCATTTTCTATCATGCGGTCACTGACAAGATTGTTTTGCTCTTCTTGAATCCGCTGCTCTCTAGCGGCCTCTTCCTTTGCCTTCTTCTCTCGACGCCGTGCACCCTTGCTAGGCTTCGCGGAATCCGCGTTGCTGGTCACAGAAACACCAGCTATAGCCTTTACTAAGGTGTCCATGTTCCCCTTTTCTGAGCTGCCTGAGGATTTGTACCCAAAAGTAGCGAGCTCTGCGGCATGTTTCGCCTCTAACTCAGCTGAGAGGCGTGAAATCTCCTCCTCTACCTGCTTCTTCTTGGCCTTCTGCTCAGCTTTGCTGCCTTTAGCGGCTGCTTTCTTGAGGCTTGTTTCCTTATCCTGGAGTTTGGATTTCTCTTTCCTGTTTAATACAAAGAGAAAGAGGACCTCAACTTTTAGAAACAATACCATATAATTGAAAAGGATCCAACCCACAATTTGTGAAGTCATGAAATCAACAGGAAACGAAAATTAGAGAATATATGTGCTTCTTATTGCTTTAACTGAACAAATTAACTAATGGTTCACATTCTACTTCTAAGAAAAAAAATGCTCTGCTGCTCTTCATATGGTTAACTAAACAACCCAAATTCTTGCAAGTACTTCACTGCAACTATTTTTTTCCTCCTTTGAATAAGCATATGTAAGTTTTAAAGAGGTGTTGCAAATACCTATGAACTGGTTGTAGCTCAAAAGTAGAATGTGCGTGGAACTTACAAATTAACTAATGTATTTCAATATAAGGAAGGTTCTGCTATCCAAGAATTGTGTATAGTAGAGATAAACAAGCAACATGACGTTACACCTAAAAATGGGAACTTTCCTGAATATAATAAGATCCTTAGATCCTCATCATATGAGAAAAAAGATAGTAACTACTACGGGCAAATGACATCGATAATCAGCATTGAAAACACTCATAACATCAGTTTCAGTGGAAGTCGCTCTGGTGGAGCAACCCTGGCACTACAGTGTATGTGGTAAAACGAAAATATTATCACAAATGATGAAAATACTAGTCTCTGTTCCTCATCTTTGGTGAGCATATCCACCATCACAGAATTTTAGAGTAATTTTACTCATGGTAATAGAATTTCTGTTCAGCAATCTGGTAGCAATTTCAATTTCAACTCATCTAAGCAGTTTCCCCGAATAACGCCGCTTTAATGGAGAACTCAATCTGACACTAGTTGTATAATTAGAGGGAAAAAAATGAATATGCGTAATGCAGAAACACTATTGCGAATTTAGTCACTGACAAACCTAGGGCACTTTTAGTCGAAATGCATATTTTTCTTACTACTAAGATTCCAAGGACAAACCACTAAGACAAATCTAAGTAGCCAATCAAAATCATGAACAAAAACCCGACGAACAATGGAAAATTCCAACCTTTTTTACAGCCCAGCACAAAACTTTATCCAAGTCGCAATTGGGACCAATAAGGCAGCACTTAATAATAAACAGCAAGATAAAAATTTTATCCCCTAATTTGCCAATGGGACTAATAGCGCAACACTTAATAATCATCATCATCATCAACAAAAACAATAATGGGACCAATAACTCAGCTCTTAATAATCAACAACAACAAGAGTAATCCTAAATCCTGCCGTGCCGCAGCCTCCGCCCACCAGCCACGCCACCGCGCACTGCATCGCCGCCTCCGCCTGTTGCTCTGCTCTGCGGCTCTGCTAGGGTTCAACAACTCGGGGGAACCCCACAGTCAGCAAGTAAAAGGAAGCCCGATATAGCCCACTGGTACGACCCAGCATCACAAAGTCCCTCTCCGCCTCTCCTCATCAATCGCTCGCAGCTCTCCCCTTCATGGCGATACGGAGGACGGCATCGAGGTTCCGGTTCGGGGGCAGGCGGCGAGATCGAGGTACGGCGAGGTCTCCGGCACATGAGCACACACGGCAGCAGAAAAAGAAAAAAAAATTGAAGGGTACAAAGCCAAAGAGTAAACTAACCTATGCCTCGAGAGCACCTCCTCGAGCGTCTCTTGCTGCGATTCCTGCGCTGGCTCCGCCGCGGCTGCCTCGCCGCCGCCGGCGGCGGATTCGTCGGCTAGGGTTTCGTCCATTGGCAAACGATGCAAAACTCAGTTCAGGCGAAGGAAAAAGAAAAGAGAAAAAAAAAAGGTAGAGAGGCTTTTGTGTTTGTGGGCTACTCGTGTGCTCTTGCGGGTCTTGCCCCACCTTATCGGATGCGGATCTGTTACTCTTGCGGGTCGTGGATTGTCACGATGCTTCGCCCGTTTCCTTGTCTGACAGAGACTGGGCGATTAATCTGTTCTTCTTCAGAGATTCTGCCCCTTGTTTAGATCCAGATTCTGCCCCTTATTTAGATCAGGGTGTAAAGTTTCATCGTGTCACATCAAATATTATATAGAGTGTTACATGGAATGTTTGGACACTAGTAAAAAAAATAATTACAGAATCCGTCAGTAAACCACGGGACAAATTTATTAAGTCTAATTAATCCGTCATTAGCAAATGTTTACTGTAGCATTATTATTATCAAATCATGGAACAATTAGGCTTAAAAGATTTGTCTCCTAATTTAGTCTCAATCTGTGCAATTAGTTATTTTTTAGTCTATATTTAATACTTTATATAAATGTTCATACGTTCGATGTTATAGTGTGTAAAATTTTTACGTGAGAAATAAACATGACCTTAGATCGTTTTCGTGTTTGATGTGGACTGAACTCTTACCTTATACTTGTATGATGTGCTTAGCTAGATTTCAACTCCTAAAACCACCTACTCCAACGTTTTGATTTCACGCGTCTCACGCGAAGATTTCCGGCTGTTTCTAAATCCGTTAATTTACTGGGACGACAAAATGGTTTTTCATGTCGAATTGTGTCTAGAATAGTCGGAGCTAGTTAATTTAATTCTTCCTGTAAGTGCTGGTTTGACCATGTTGAAAACATGCACGAGTATTTTGAAAGCCGGTGGAGTTGAAACTATTTAAAACATGCACAAAAGAGCATGGGAACGAGTAACTTGACCAAAGTTATGGAAGTCATATGTTAAGAATAATCCAATGGGTTCTCCATGCTCAAAGCTGGCTATTTTTCGTGTTCATTCCTAATAAAGAGGTTGGCCTTTTTCGTATCAAGCAACTATGTGATGTGTTTCGTAAATACAGCTGTGTCACGGCCTGGAAGAAATCACCTCTCACGAGTTGTCCGTCTCGTTATCCAATTTAGCGCGTGCTTAGTTCACGTTAAAATTAATAGTTTAATTGAAATTAAAACGATGTGATGGAAAAGTTAAAAATTTGTATGTAGGAAATTTTTAATATAATGAAAAAGTTGAAAGTTCGAAAAAAAAAAGCGCTAAACCAGGCCTTAACCAGGCCTTATCCTTGTGCACCTGGTGACAACACACTTTTGTCAACAGGGAGAGAGACGTACGGCAGCACGTAACGCGAACACACGGCTTAACGTGTACAGTACGGCTCAGTACTCACGTGCACGGTGGACGTCCGTAGTACCTAAGTCTGACGGATTTGATCGATCGAACCGGCCGTCCAACGACGCAGCACGCGTTCGGTTTGGATACATCCTTGACGTTTTAACGACGACGTGCCATGCAAACCCCGCCGTCGCGTATAGTCGTACGCCCACGGCTACGTACGCACGCACGCATGCACGCACGGCCCGCGCGCGCGAGACCAACCGAGCCAACACGGCCGCGACCGCGACCGCGAGGTTGTGTGTGTTGGGAGTGAAACGCCGAGACGTACGCCTGATCACCGGTTCGCTCTCTGCTGTGCTGCCTGCCACGCGCGCGCGCGCACGGTGACGCTGACGCAGTGCACCACGGTCACACGCAGTCACCCACCGCAGCACGCGTGCCGCTGTTGTTTTTACCGCGCCCTGCGTTACGTCACGTACTCAAATGGGTGCTCAAAGGGCATAACTACTCCCTCCGTCCCAAAGCTTACGCTGTTTGACCATTTGTCTTATTTAAAAAATTTATATAAATATAAAAAGCGAAAAATTATACTTAAAATAATTTGGATAATAAAGTAAGTCAAAAAAAATAATAATTCTAACTTTTTAATAAGACGAGTGATCAAACAGTGCAAACAAAAACTCAAAATTCCTTATATTATGAGACGGAGGAGTAGTTAGTTTGGTTCATTCCTGATAATTATTTGATCCGTGAGTAGTACCGTCATGTTTTTTTTTAAAAAAACCATTACCGTCTTGTGAGTTTCGTCAAGATATAGGAGTAGTATAGAACTCTGTAACACCTGAGTTCCAAAGGAGGCTTGAGAGGGGAAAAGAAAAGTTAAACACTCCTATGGTTTAACCGTGACACACTGACACTCCTAATAAAATCTGGTCAGGCAACGTTTGGCTTTACTTTTAATTAGAAACACACTATTCATCATGACGACAGACGAGAATTGCCACTATCATTCAACGACTCGTCAGGACTCAGGAGAGCTTCATCTCGTTTTCCTACTACCCGATTAACCCGTACGCGCAGCACCTGTCCGGCAACAATTCAATATTTCTTTTTTTATATATAGCACCTGTCCGGCAACAATTCAATATTTCTTTTTTTTATATATAGCACCTGTCCGGCAACAATTCAATATTTCTTTTTTTATATAAAGGAGACGACTATTCAATATTTCAACGTGACCACAAACGTCTCAGAACATGTTGGAACGCACACGACAGTTGACAGCCTGACCGCCGAAGACATACGTCGGCACGCAACGTCGTCGTGCATTGGGACCAGGGCACACATCCGCACCGCCGATGGATCGGCGCACCGTGCAGCTAGCTATAGCGTAGCGTTCCACTCCACTCACCATATACACGTTACACGTACCCAAAGACCGGTCGAACGAATCGGCGTAATACGACGACGGCGCCCGCACGCACGCGCGCGCGAGGGGTTTGGACCCTTTGACGACGCGACGGGCCAAAGCTTAGCCGCCACGCGGGACACCGTCACACACCACGCAAACCCGTACTATGTCTATGTACTTCATGTCAGTATGTGCATCGCCGCGCTCCGCCACGTTCCGCGACCAACCGAGCCAACACGCGAGGCTGTGTACGTGTGGAAGGGGAACGTACGCTAGCTGAGACGCCCGCCCGCCTTTCACCCCCGGGCGGCGCACCGCCGCGAGTACGTACGCCGGCTGCTTTTCCACACCGCCGTAGGCACGTATAAGGGCTGGTTTGGTTTGAGGCCTAAATTAGGCTTACCAATATTTAGTAATTTTAATAGTGTTTAGTTTCTATTTGGTTTGAAGCTAAATTTTAACATGCCTAAGAAAATAGACCATTTCAATAGTAAACTTAGGCTATTTTGACTTCAATCCAAATACAACTTTTCCTTACCAAAATTAGTCATGCCAAAATTTGGCATTGACAAAATTTGGTAAGGCCTATTTAGCCATAAACCAAACCAACCCTAAATGCGCGGGCATGTGGGTACGCGCTATATTAAACGCAAAATCTATTTCCAGAGGCATCTCGATTTAGACTTAACGAGCGACGCTGACAATTACGTGAGAAGTACTAGTAGCATTACAGACATGCATATAAGTAGTTTTTGCTATTAGGTTGTGCATTTTTTTTCTTCTTATGAAATTTTCTCTTAAATTACTTATCCGATATATAATCCGATTACACCGTTGTGTTCATAACAATTAAATCTTTACAACAAGATCTCACATGATTATATTTTGATGAAAAATCACAAATTACTTTTATGATATGTCTAAATTACTTTTAGATTTCACTAAGTTACTTCTTAGACATACAAAAGTAAATTCAGTAAAGCCTAAATATAATTTATATATATTATAGAAGTAACTTAGACAAAACGAATGTAACTTTGGCATGTCATTTGAAGTAAATCCGTTGTAGATATAAAAACATGGCTCTATCTAGAAATTAAATTAATCAGCACATATTATGGAATTAACTAAAAACAATAATAAAAGTAATCACCTCAGAGCATTATGAATGTATAGAAAGTATTTTAATCAAATCTAAAAGTAATATATATATATATATATATATATATATATATATATATATATATATATATATATATATATATATATATATATATATATATATATATATGATAATTATATATATGATAATTTGTTCAATGAAAAAGGGTATTAATTAAAGTTACTTTCTTTTTTTATAAGTTACTTCTATAATATATGTAAATTACTTTTAAACTTTACTGAATTTACTTGTGTATGTCTAAGAAGTAACTTAGTGAAATCTAAAAGTAATTTGTGATTTTTCATCAAAATATAATCATGTGAGATCTTGTTGTAAAGATTTAATTGTTACGAACACAACGGTGATATCGGATCGTAAATTGGATGAGTAGTTTAAGAGAAAATTGTATTTGAATTATAGATGGATGATATTTCTTATAGATGGAGTGGTAGCTGGTTTAGGGGGTGTTTGGGAACTAGGGACTAAATTTAGTCCCTCTCACAAAATTATAAGTCCCTATGGTAGGGACTAATGTTTTTGTGAGAGGGACTAAAGTTTAGCTCCACTTTAGTCCCTCCAACCAAACACCACCTTAGACAAACCAACTACCACTAGCAGTGTAGTCACGTCCTATATTAAAACATGGATATAAGAGAATCATTAAAAATAGAACAGTACTATATCTAAGGCCATTTCCAACCCAACACACTAGACATAGTTTCCATAAACTCCACATCATCAAGAAACTAGTACTAGACATTGCTCTTCCAATACAAACACCACTGTTCCATACTTAAATTTAATGTTATTTATCTCACATGATGTCTTGGATGTTGTGTAGAAACCATGTCTCATGCAAAACATGGTGTCATTCTCTTTTCTCATTTATTCACTTGCCACATCATTTTTCATTTTAGGTGGTAACTTATTTAATGTTATGGACACCATTTATTAGGTTAGGAATGGCCTAATCCGTTCGAACGACTTCCTTGACCCAAGTTTTTTTTGGAAGTCAGATGTTAAAAAGGACCAAATGGTTGCCAAGAGCTAATTAATTGGTGCTCATTAACTTCTGGCGAAGAGATGTGTTCAAGTTCAAGTTCAACAACGTGTGCTGATCGGTGAGCAACTGTCGCGTAGAGATACGTAACACTTGTCGCAATAAAAAACGTTAAAACACTAGTACAATACTCCCTTCATCTCTAAATCAAATATTTGACGCTATTGCTTTTTAAAACACGTTTGACCGTTCGTATTATTAAAAAAATTAAGTAATTATTAATTTTTTTCATATTATTTAATTTATTGTTAAATATTGCCAGCTCTCGTTTGTTGTCAACTTGGCACTATCATTCATCAATTTTGTAATAGGGCCCGTGCACACCTATCTGACAACCATTCAATATTTTGGGCTGTTCAAATTGTAATCAAAATAAATCTTATTAAATTTTGACAATTTAATAATATTGTTAAAATTTTAGTAGGATTTCTTATATACTAAAGTTTTGCAAAAACTCTACCAAAAAATAATATGATTTGAAATGACATCAATATGAACAAGCCATTCAACGTATTTTTTTTCATAAAAACTAATCTAAAATAAAACATGATGTTTTTTTAATATACATTGTACTAATAAATGTCATATTTCATCAATAGATCGTTCTTTGGGACAGTGGGAATAGGAGCAGCCTAACCACCAACCGACGTCCCACCACATGTTGGAATGCATATGACAGTTGATCACAGTCTGACCGCCGGAGATGTACGTACGGCGGCAGACAACGTTGCGTGGGGGTCGGCCACTCGGCTGGACATATCCGCGCCATCGATCGATCGTGTACGTACGGCGTCCCACTACTCACCGCGCATAGTACTGTACACGTACGACGTATACTACTCCTACCTAAGACCGGTCGAACTAATCGGCAAAATACGACGGCGGCGCCGCACGCACGCGCGCGAGCCTTTGACAACGCGGGACGGGACGGGACGTACACGTTCGTCGATCGATCGATCACCCACACGCCACCACACGTCCACGTACGTTGTTGTGTTATGTTCCAAATTTATTTACATTTAATAAAGGCTAGCTCCACGCTAAAATCTCGTGTTTTTATGATTGATTTATTATTATTTATCGTTTGTTTGTATATCGTTTCCTAACATACGTATAACTGCCGAGCCAACACGCTCGGGAAGAACGCTCGCGCGCGCCGGGGAGACGACGAGAAAATTGGAGACCGGTATGTGTGACAGCGAGACGCCTTGCCCCCGCGGGCGTACCCGTACGTATACGGAGTACGTTCGTACGCGCGATCGCGACCAGCGATGCGCCGCGACTCGCGGGACCGATCGAGTGGACCACTACCCGTACGTCCTGCGCCTGCGTGCGTCCGCGGCTCGGCGGCTGGCTGAGCTGCGTGGATCGCTGTAGCGATCGATCGATCGATCGCCCAGGTGAGGTGGTGGGAACGCACGCGCTCGAGCTCGGCAAGATGTGGTATTATCAGCGACTGCGGAATTTTCGTTTTCGCTATTCCCAAGTGGGTTCTTCCGGTCGGATGGGCGGGCGGGTGACGCGCCACATCACCCACAGCAAGTATAATAGAAGTACTTTGTAGTGAGGATAATTCTATCATACACTTATACGAAGAGTGTGAGCTCTTATGTAAAACTAGCTTAATACATGTTACAAGACAAATATATTAAAATTAAAGCTAATCTTATAATTAATTTATTACATATATATGTTGGTTTTAAAATATGCAAATAGCTGGTAGTGAGCTCTTAAACTTGCTCTCAGCCGCGTTCGTCAGCAACTTTGTTTATTCCTCTATTCTCCTGCGAACGACACCCAGACTGTTCCTATTGAACAACAAGCTGACATTTTTGAACGAACAGATAGACATAACAGGCACATGCACGTGCTTAATTTTGTTTGCTGTGTACGAGTAGTATCTATAGCATGGATCTACCAAGCACGAGCACATGAGGTGGGGGTGCGAGGTGCAGCTCACCTGGCATGGGTGCCGGATTGCTTTTGACCATAAAATGATAACAAGCTGCATGTGATCTGATCTGTGTTTTTTCTTTATGCTTTACTTACTCCGTGTTCTGCGTGGATTTTGCTGGTCAGTACGTTCGCGCTAGTATATACTTATATCGACAATCAGTTGGTTAATCTAATAATCTCTCGGACTTTGTATCCAACCGTCTGAATTTTGGACCCTTGTCGCACACATTGTATTTGTATATTCAGAGTAAGCATCGGGCACCTCTCAACCATAAGTACGCGGATAGAGAATAGAGTAGAGTACAAAACTGATGACCAGGTACACGTGATACGCTACTCCTAACTAAGCTAATCTAGTGGCCGGTGTTGTGCCTTTAACCACTTTGCACGTCAAAATCACAGAGACTCCATCACTGATCAGCTAAAACTGCACTCAAAGACCACATCACAGTCTCTGTCTCCTCGCCCTACGGCGCCGGCGAGCGAGCCAAACCGAGCGCCACGCCATCGATCGGTTTTCAGAAGTAACTCGGTCCCAATTACTCCCCGTGAGCAACACGAATTAACCACGTGATGTTTAACGCGCGATTAAGCAAAGGAATTAGCCTGCTCATTAACAACAACTTGGTTCTGGAGTCCATCCTCTCGGTCTTTAGCTGGCGTTACCGCTTGTAGGGATTTCTCGAGAGTGTAGCGTGGCTTTGCCTTTTCCTGCTGTTTGTAGTTGTGTTTAGCCGCTGTAGTTTATTTTTTAGTTTCAATTTTTGTTTTGCTTTTTCTCCCTTCTTTTGACATAGGCCAGTCTAACTGATTGTGTTGTGTAACAAAACTATCTTTATTCTAATGTATCGACGTGTAATTCTTTTACGTGAAAAATTGCTGATTAATAGCGGATTCGCGTGAGACGTGCCCGGTGGGGGGCCACGTGGAAGCGGACGTGGACGCTGGACCCGGTCCTGGCTGCTTCCGCGTTGCTGCTGCACACGTCCGCGTACACGCGGGAAAACGAACGTTAAGCAGTTAGCTCCAATCCTCCCAACCATTTTAACCGACTTCTCCTTCCACGCTAGCTAGCTCAAACCACCACACGAGGCGGCCTCTGATCTCTATATTTGTTTAGAAATATTAGGAGAGAAGCAAAAAAAAAAATCGGAGGAGGAGGAGCTTAGAGAGAGAAGTCAAAGACTCTCTCCTTCTCGTCACCTTCTTCCTCCCCACGCCGCGCTCTCCTCCCCTCTTAAACCACTAGCGCCGCCTCCGCGCTCTCTCCTGCCTCCTCTCCTCGCCTCTCCTCACCCTGTGGGTTGGTCGGCGTGTAGCTGCTTGCTTTGCTCTCACTGCCGGGGCTCGATCTGCTTGCTCTGCAGGTGATTCTTGCGTTCTTGTTGTCTGTGTGTGTGGAGTTCTTTCTTTTTCTTTTATTTTTCTGGTTTGGATTGGTTGGTGGTTGGTTTGGTTCCTAATTTGGGGGCGTTTGAGTGAGGATGACCAAGAACTCGTTAGGCTTTTACATTTGTTTCTATGTGGAGGAGTATGTTGCTGGGTTCCTCGCTCTCTATTTGCTTGAAATTGGGGATCGATTGCGCCTTTGCGGGAGCGACCTCCTCCCGTTCTACGAAATCGAGTTCCATGGATGTGATGCTTGGTTTAGGTCAGCGGGAAGTAGAAAGGGGATACCTTTTCTTGTGTTTGTGATGCATCATCTCATTTTGATGCATGCAAGATTTGGTTTCTGTAGCTGCAAATCCGATTTTTGTTAGGTAAAGCTATGAGGCAAATCCTGGCTTGAAGGAAATGCTAGTTACTCATCGGCGTATGGGAATATGCAGCTTGTTGCTTTCTTGTACTACAAAAGTATAAATAGTTACTCAACTGCTGTGCAATTGCGGAATTAGTTATAGATAGTTAGTATTACTGAAAATTAACAGGCTTTTGCTCTATATCTGAATCGAAATTCATTTCCAACGGGTTTGGTTGCTGCAAAATTTCCACTCGTCAACGGGGATAGTTGGTCCGTTGGGTCTATCAGGCGCTATTCCTTTCAGAAAGACAGGATTAAGGTTGCTTGTGGCAACCGACGTTTCATTTTCTTCAAATTGCTCAGCAAATGGGGTGGATGACTTCTGCCTTGACTTGGTTTTAAGTCTCTTTACATCTTCTTTCTTGGGTGGTTTCACATTTTTATTTCTTTCCATCGTACTAAATGTAGACTTTTTGATAGTAACTTGAGCCATTAATCAAACAAGCAAAGATGTGGTTTCAGTGCAGTTGGTGGTTATCGATGCGCAAATTGTTGTTTAAACAATAACAACTGGCATGTGGGGTCATTAACTTGCTAAGAGTCCTGTACACCTCATTTTACGTTAGTTTATTGTTGCAATATGAATTTACAGTTGTTCTGATGGCTATTTACCTTTGCTCTGCAGAAATTCTTTCCAATTCATTGCTTCTTGTGGCCTGTGGGCACCTCTACAATTTGATTTCAGATGGATTGCTGCTTTATGTTCAGAAAAAAACAACCTGTTGAAGGTGATGATGGTGAGCAGCGTTTGTATATTAGCACGCTTCTTACCTGTATTGTTCAAAACAATTCATCATTCTTACATGCTTGAGTTTGTTGTTTTGTTGTTCCAGGTGAACATAGAGTGAAGATATTTTCTTACAGTGAGTTGAGAAAGGCTACCCATGATTTTAGTGGGGCAAATAAGATTGGAGAGGGTGGTTTTGGCTCTGTGTTCAGGGTAAATATGTCTTACATTTTGTTCACCCTATCAGTGTCTCATGCCCATAGTGTCAAAACAAATCATCTTACATTTCATTTTGTTAATCAGGGAGTGCTTAGAGATGGGACAACCGTTGCCGTAAAGGTGCTGTCTGCTACTTCAAGACAAGGCGTCCGAGAGTTCTTGACTGAACTTACAGCAATTTCTGACATCAAGCATGAAAACCTCGTCACACTTATTGGTTGCTGTGCTGAAGGATCTCATAGGATCCTTGTTTACAATTATCTTGAGAACAACAGTCTTGCACAGACATTGCTAGGTAACACATTATTCTTTTAAAAAAAGCAAGTAGTAACACATTATTTTCCCGAACTTGTCCTTTACCAACTCCTTCCTTCGCTGCCATACTTACAAATGTTCTGGCTGTGATATTACAGGATCTAGGGGTAGCAACATCCGGTTCGATTGGAGGACCCGTGTAAAAATTGCTGTGGGTGTTGCTCGTGGAATTGCATTTTTACATGAGGAAATTCGCCCTCCGATTATCCACCGTGACATAAAGGCGAGCAACATTCTTCTTGACAAGGACCTCACCCCAAAAATTTCTGATTTCGGATTGGCAAGGCTCCTTCCACCCAACGCAACTCATGTGAGCACCCGAGTTGCAGGCACATTGTAAGCATAACTAAATCCAAATTTATTTACTCGGTTTACATCGGAAAGTTCTTTCGTTCTGACTTGAAATTCACTTCTGTTCAGAGGATACCTGGCACCTGAATACGCTATCCGAGGCCAGGTGACAAAGAAATCCGACATCTATAGCTTCGGTGTTCTTCTACTGGAAATCGTTAGCGGCAGATGCAACACCAACACAAGATTGCCTTATGAAGATCAATTTCTTCTCGAAAGGGTAAGTTCCCATCATCAAACTGTAAACAACAAAATGAACTCAGTTTTTTTCTTCTCATATAATCAACTAAATTAGAAACTTACCACCAAATCCACCATACAAAGAAACATTACTGAATGCGAGAAAACCTGCAGACATGGGTACGCTACGAGCAAGAACGCCTGGCTGAGATCATCGATGCTGACCTGGGGAATGACCTGGACGTCGACGAGGCATGCCGGTTCCTGAAGATTGGCCTGCTATGCACACAGGACGCAATGGCGCGCCGCCCCAACATGAGCACCGTCGTCAGGATGCTCACCGGGGAGAAGCACTTCTCGGTGCACCGGATCACCAGGCCGGCCATGATCACCGACTTCGCCGACCTCAAGGTCAGCAGCAGCCAGCAGAAGGAGAACGAGACAACACGGTCATCCAACATGAGATCGTTCAGCACCACTGATGAAACGGAGCCTTTCTCATCGTCAGAGACGCCGACGCAGACGTCTATCTGAAAAAAAAAAACAAGAAGAAGAACTGGAAATGTGGAGACAGGACTAGTGTTTTTTTTGTGTTTGTATATTATTGCTCCGAAAGGGGATAGGATTACGTTCAATTTTTTTTTCTCTTTTTGGAGAGAGTTTCGTGTTTGTTTGATTTTTGTGACGAGGAGATGTTTAAGATAGGCAGCGTATTGCTTCTCGATCTGGGTGTAAATATCTCGAAATGAAGATGTTCAAAGCCTCAAAGATAAGCTCTGCACGATTCACATCTCTGAGTTGTCATCAGTCTATCAAATTTTTCTCTGCAACGAACTAACAAACCACTTGACCAAATCATACACAAAAATTGTCTGAACTCAAATATATTTCAGAAATGAGATCTTAGCTCGAAGCTGTACGTATGCCATGGCGTCTGCAGCTCATCATGCTGATCTGTCAGTAGGAAGAAAATGTCCAAAGGGTGGCAACATCACACACACAATTGCATTACATGGATGGTCAAGTGGCTCCAAGTCTCTACGGACACTGACGTTTTGGACAAGTTTGGAACGGATCAAAAAGCTCCGAAATCCTGGAAAAGATATCTGAACCCTGAAGTTTGTTAGGCCATGTACGTGGCCATCATCCGTCTCTGTGCGTATGACGTATTCAGAAAAAAAAACTGCCCGGCCTGAATATGTCAAATATGCTTTCTGGATCGTACTCTACCACCGTTTGCTTCGTCAACTCTTTAAAGTGAGATTTCAACAAAGCACAAGTCAGATAATATGTAGGAGTATTCATAACCCATTCACATTTATTTACATGGACATGGACATGTTTTTAGAGAGAGTTGCAGTTCAATGTCTGTCGCTTGCAAGTGGGCCCTAAAAGCCAAAAGTGTTCGATGATGAGATTAAAACCATCCGTGAAGTAAACGAAGTAGAAAAAATTGGAGCCGAAGAATCACGAAAAAAAAGGATAGAAAAGGTCCCGGGTCAAACTGTTACACTGATAAACTTGGTCATGCCACTGACTTATAGAAGTACACAGAACCTGAAAATTGTACATATTGCCAGAAATCACTTCCAGAGAGTGTACTGGTAAGGTAGCAAAAGTAGCTTTTTACCGCCAATTGTACCACTCTGAAATTTCTAATAACAAGGACAGCTGAGCATTGGAAACATCTGACAGTGCACAATTATAAGGTGGGTTCATCAAACCACCGACATTTGCACAGTGCAGACATGAATCAGGGTAAGATGGTAGAAATGGGATTGAACTCAGAACAACAGATATTGCATGGTGCAGACATGAATCAGGAAAGAGAGAAATGTGATTGAACTCAGGACAATAAAACAGGCACACTTTCCAGCAAGGATGATGAATAAAGAATACTGCATAAATTTCATACTGGACAAGAAGAACAAATTTTGAACGAGTTAAAAGAAGTTCCAGGTAAACTGAACTGAATGCTCTATGCTCTCTCCCAAACATTTCATTGAGAGCTCCACGAAAAGGGGGGTGTCATTTTTCTGAATTACAGGTCATTATAGGGGGTAGCTAAGCAGCAGCAAGAAATGGGTGGGTTGCTAAACAAGAGGCATATACGGATTATACCGAAAGAAATGTAATTCAGCACCCCATTATTGCGCAGTTATAAACGAATACACCAGCACGCTCCTTCACCGAGAGCACTTCCCAGTCAGCACCACCATTCCCATCTTCAGGGCACCAAGAATGCAGCAATATTACTTCACCACGGGGTACTCTATGGCCACCAATAACAAGCAATCTATCACCACATGCCTTGAAAGCTAGGCCCCAACCATTGGAAGAGTCAGCTCTGACTGGCAATGGCTTCACTATGTTCCAGGTGTTATTTCCTTTGTCGTACTTCTTTACCACATTTGTTGCCTGATCAGCTGCATAAAGCTGATTATTCACAACAGCAACTAGGGGAGGAGATTGAGAGGCACTAGTCCCTCCAGGGTACATATCATGTATTCTTCTCCATGTCCTTGTTTCAAGATTGTATTCCTCTCCACAAGTCAAAGAATCCCTCTGACTTGACACACCCCCAATGACATAAAACTTTCCATCCATGAAGAAACCAGATGAGAGCCTCCTCGGCAAGTTCATGTCTGGCAAAGTCTCCCAATGACCAGTCTCTGAATTGTACAGCTCGGCAGATTTCAGCACCTGTCCATTCTTATCACACCCACCAGCAACAATAGCAATCTCACCAAAGCTTCCTGAGGCAAAGAGGCAGCGAGGCAGGTTCATTGGAGTGCATCGGGACCAACCACGGGCCAGTAAATTGTACATCCAAATAGCAAGACCTGTATATTCACGGCCAAACACAAGCAGTTGTGTCCCGACGGCAAGCGATTCCTTGTCTGCACAAGAGAAGCACTCGTCGCATGGCATTCTTGGGAGCCTCATCCATCGCTTGCGTGAAGGATCAAATGCTTCCCAGGGCATCAAGCTACACGCTAGATACACCCAGTGTTCAACAATGCCATATTTTCTTCTCAGTCTGTACAGATACCCGCTGTTGATTAACAAATTGAACTTCTTATTCAAACAAGAAAGCGATGGGTAGTCTGATCTGCTCGCCCAAGCAAGGCAGTCCTGAGCCAGGTCGTCGTGAAGGCCAGGAAAGAAGCAATCATTTGATCCACTGGCACTTGAGTCACCTTTTGATTGAGTCTTGACAACAGGTTTCTGCAACTTAAGCTCCAGTTCTTTACTATCCAAATCAGCATACAGCACATCCAAATCTAATTCTGAATCATCACAGCAGTCAAGAAGTTGGTTCTTCCCATCTGAATGCTTCCTTGAATCCCTAGAGAAGTACTCATTCCTGACCAAAAGAAAGTAGGCTAATGTGTACTTCTGCCAGGAATTATCCTGCTGATTAAACAGCCTAAAGAGGTGCAGAACCACAGAACCAGGAACAGCAACAAGGCTTTTGCAGTCACAATCTTGTAAATCTTCCATCTTTTTTGTTAACTGTGGAATGAGCCCGAGTACACAAAGGTTGGACAGATCACAGATCACATCTGGAAAATATTTTGAGATAAATAGCAAAATGAGCACAGCGTATTTGAAATGCACTAAATTTCTGGATCAAGAACAGAGCAAACAATATACATAATTTTAGCTCAGATACCACTACAGAGTTAAACAATGGACTCATCTAGGCATGTTCGTCTTAATAGGTACATTTATTTCACTAAAAAAATCTTCAGAGTTGATTTGATGGAAAAATATATATTTCCCCCAGCTTTGGCGTATTCAGAATCAAGTAAACAACTAAAATTTTGTACCACTAAGACCAACGATTCCAAATCTTCCGTTAGTAATCATATGCAATCATTTTTTATTGTTGATACCAACAAAAAAATATTTGCCTACATGGCTGATTCTGCTAGCCTGGGCATCCAAACTGGTTTCTGCTTCTTAGCCAACTTGATCCAAAAAAGCATTTGCCTCAAGAAACAAATTATATCCAAAACATTTCTACCATCAAGTTTCATCTAAAACAGAGGAATAATTAGACTTTGTACCAAAGCACCGGCTAGTACATTACTACTATCATCTGCTAGTTCTAGATTTGGATTCAACACAAGAAAAAAATAACCTCTAAGGTGGCTATCTGACCTGACCAATTCACACGGAAGACGACAACTAATTATCTATCCTAACAAAAAGGAAAATCCAGCAAAACAGAAAATAACCCCAAGATTTGCAGAATGCAAGCAAAAAAACCTCTCTATTCTCACCCAAAAAAAAAGAAACATCCGCAAGCAAAAGAAACGGCCACATCTGGTTGCTGCTCTCCATGACACAAAGCTCTCCAAAAATCTCGAATTTTTCTCGCTCTGAACCAAACAGAAAAAAAATGCAGACGTTTTCCCCAACTAATTCACCAACCACTAACTCACAACAAAACAGAATTAACTTTCCTCTAAATCTACGAGCCACGACTTCAGCTCAAGCACTCACCAAACAAAAAGAGAGAAAAAAAGAACAGAAAGACCTTCGCAACCAAACGAGAGAATTGAGCCACATCCTGACCTCACCGAGGCGCGCCGCCGGCGAGATCCCGGCCGCCACCGCCCGCGCGAGCGCCGGCCGCCTCCATTCCCCCCGGCGCCACCCCAGCCACGACGAGCGGCTCCAAGAAAACCTGCGCGTTGGCGCACGGGCCACAAGGAAGCAAGAGAGGAGAGCGGTTACGCGGGTTTCTCGTGGGACAACGCGCCGCGCGCCGGGGAGGAGAGAGAGTGGGGGGGGGGAGCTCACCGGAGACGGCCGGATCTCGTCGGCGGGGAGGGGGTCGCCGGAGCTAGCGGTCGGTCGCCGACGAACGGGGCCCACGGGGGGGGAGCGTGGGGCGGTGGGACCACCGTCAGTGAGACGGGGAGGGCATGGAGAGCAAGTTTTGGAGGGCTAGGGGGAAAGCCGCATATATATATGTGCCCCCCACCCCATGTGCTTAAGCCCACACAAGGGCTCAAGTGCCAAATGGATTAATTGCAAAGCTTTGCTTTTTTTTTTTCCCTTTTCTTTTCCCTTTCTTTATTATTACAGTATTATTTTTTCTTGCCTTCTCTTTCATCACACCACACAAACAATGCTTCTTTTTTTACCACCTCGGTAAACATGCTTGATCCTACTGTTATCTCGAAACCACCCCCACTAATTAAAAAATTCCACTCTTCCTATTGGCGGCATTCTTCTGCCTTGGAGTACAATTTGCAGTACTGATATACTAGCAGTACAAATTTCTGTGTAATTTTCACTAGTACTAGTTTTGACATCTGAAGTAAAATCAACATGTCTACTTTTTTTTTCTTGTAAAATCAATGAAGAATCTTTGAGTGAATGCAGGATGAGGATGAACTGATATATATAATACAAGTACTAATTTCTGTGTAATTTTCACTAGTTTTTAAATCTGAAGTAAAATCAACATGTCTCTTTTTTTTTGTAAAATCCAAGACAAAATGGAAAATCTTTGAGTGAATGCAGGATGAGGACGAGGACACACGACCATGCATGCGCACAAGCACAGCTGCTGAACATGTTGCAGGAGGCTGGCTGTACTTTGCTCTTCTTTTCCTGCCTCTCAACTCTTTTTTTTTTCTTCTTGTTATAATGGAATGTTTTTTTTTTCACAGTGTACTTTCCTTTCTTCTCTTGGATTCAGGGCAGCGAGGTTGGAATGGAAAAGAATCTCTAGAGAGAGAGAGAGAATGAAAGAGAGAGAGAGAGGTGGTGACCGAAAGCCACCACTTGGTGTAGGCCATGCACGACCAAATTAATTTACGCACGTTGAAACGGCAGACAGATGAAAAGGACGCCGCATTATCCTGTGATTATTTATTCGTGATTTTCTGCTTTATATTAAGAGGGAAATGGGATTACTGTTATGCAGTACTCCCATCGTCCCAAAAATATAAAAATATAGTATCATCGGAAGAGATATTTAATGTTTGTTCAGATTCGTAGTTTTTATATTTTCGGATGGAAAATTTATACCACCTAATAGAATATAAAAATAAAAAACAATGCATTATCCCTCAATTATTTCTAGTGCCTGATATGAGAGAGGTTGATCCAAACAAAAGGCAATAATATAGTGAATTATTTACGCAAAATTAAGAGGACGGTGCATGATCAGAGATGGATTGGAACTGCACGGGCATACAGTACCTGGAGTTTATGCCAAAAAAATGTATAGTAGAGTATTTTATTTTATTATTACCTGTAGTGAGAGAAACTATAGACTCATTAGTAGGAAAACATTACTTTATTAACCGAGAGGTCTGTATTTTATTCCACCTACATTTGTTTAATCTGGTGCCAGGCTGTCCGGTGTGGATAAGGACGGCTGTCTTCTCAACCGGGTAAAGTTACCGCCCCGGTAAACGTGAAAGTTACGCACTAATCGCGCTCGCTAATGGCTGGTCAAGCCCCCATCGATTAGCTTCCAAGTGGCCAATTCCCTTTTTTTTTTTTTACTGAACAGTCACACGTTTGACCCCGACTGCGGAAAAAGTTACCGCACCAGCGTTTGACCCTCCGGCTTTTCTGAAACTTTTTTTTTTTTGGGGCGGGGGGGTTGAGCTAGTGCAGTTAGGTGATGTCAGCAATGAACCGATGAGATAAAAAGGAGAAGAGAAAGAAAAGAGAAAAGTTTGATCTGTTATTATTATTACTACGTTTACATCCGTATACCCGGATCGCTCGTGCCAACGTACGCAAAAAGAAAGTCAGAGATCGTACTTCAGGTAACGGACAAAACTCCTGGGAAACAAACTGTACGTTGTGAATGAATGTGACTTTTATTACTAGTAGGATATCAATGAGCATTTGCCTCAATTTTTGTGAAGCTTTCTTCCAAAATTCGTTCAGCAACCAACACCATTCACATATATAGCCAGAAATACTTAGGCTGTGTTTAGTTTCCCCTCGTTCTCAACTTTTCATCACATAAAAAACTTTCCTACACATATAAACTTTCAACTTTCTTTAAACTTCCAACTTTTTTCAGGAACTAAACACACCCTTAGAGTCTATAAGTTTTGAAGGAATTTTCACACAAAAAAATAGAAAAAAAAGGGGAATAAACCCACATTCCTTTTACTTTTCCTAAACCCACATTCCTATAAACCGAAAGACACTCATAAGAAAAAAAAATCCTTAAAAATTTAAATTCTTTAGGTTTTCTTCAAACCAAACAAACCCTTAAATCACACAACGAAATGCCTGGCTAAGAGAACAGGACACGATAACACGAATGGATCAAAGAACTATCATGGATGATGGAATATGGTTGTAGCAAGGCGAGAAGCAAGCACGACGAGATGGCCCAAGAAGAAGAATGGTACGTACTCCTCCGCTGGCGTGGAGTAGTAGTAGGCGAGTATAACGCTAGCTGTTGCATGGAAATGTGCAGATCTAGTTGCCACATCCGGGAGGCCGCCTAGCCTAGCTTAGCCCGGCCGGGGAGGCCCCACCCAAACAAACAGGGTGGCACATTGCCCCCTGTAGCCTGCACTGCAACAAACACACATCAACAACAACACCACACACACTCGCACAACACTCTCTCACCTGCAACAACAAAGAAGAAAAGAAAAGCTTTCTGTTTCTGTTCCATAGATGCACACACCACACAGTAGCAGTATATAAATGTGTACACGTATAGCTGTGTATATCTGGCAATGCCAGGGAGTAGCTTTACGATTCGGTTGAGGCTCATCAGCTGCAGCTGCAGCTGCTGTTGCTGCTGGCAGAGTGACTTGATTCCGTGCTGCCGTGCTACGTATACTACTGTATCCGTGGTAGATATAGACCATGTTTAGTGAATCTACATGAAGTATTCAATATGAGCTAATAAATAAATAATTATACAGATTGCGACTAATTTGCGAGATGAATATTTTTAACCTAGTTGCTCCATGATTCGATAATGTTGTGCTACAGTAAACATTTGCTAATGACAGATTAATTATGTTTAATAAATTTGTATCATTGTATCGTTGTTTACTGATAGATTTTATAATTCGTTTTTTATTAGTGTCTGAACATCTCATATGACACCTTATATAATACCCGATATGACACACCAAAACTTCAAAACTTTATGCCTCTTGATCTAAACACCCCGATAGATAGATAGCTCGATACTATTACTACTAGAAAGGGAGGAGAATCATATGCTACAAGAGGGATGCACGAATACACTGCTACCATAATAAGGGTACTACTACGACTCCAGCAGCATGTGATGCGTCATTATGGAGATTCAAGGCGCCTGACATTGCATACTAGCGCACTTAATAACTGTGCGAATGGGGGTGAACCCTTGTACGTCACCGCCTCAAAAGCTAGAGAATTAGTAGTAGATCAAGTATTAACATGCGTAGAAGTAGAACACATCGAGTTATGATGCGGATACACACTACAGTGGCATCTACCAGTCATCACAGTGTTTGTTGGTGTGACCTAAAGCTTTGGTTAATAACCAGAAACCGCAGAATGTCGCTACACATGCAGCAACCATTGATCGATCGCATTGATCAGTAGGGCCGTGCCGGCAGGAGGCAAGGGCACTAGTAGATCTATCCATCCATCTATCCCTATAGCTGCGCGAAGAACGCGCAGCGGTATTTATTAGTGCCGAAAATTAGGTGCCTAATTTATTAATCACTTTTTTCACTAACATAAGCACGGCATTAGGCTGCGATTAATTAAAACCCTTTTTATTTATTTTTAACCTCCTGCTTCTCCGTGCAGACGTGTTGATGGATGGGTGCTATACTACTACTTCTAGGACTAGGAGTACTAGTAGCTTGGTAGGCAAAGGCAAAGGAGGAGCTTCAGCTTGAGCTCAGCAGCAGGAGGAGGAGGGGGGATACTGTACTAGGGCAAATGGAGATGTGGATGCATGAGAAAACCTACTACCACAAGTGGAAAGAAGGGGAAGGGGGGAAACGGGAGGGGAGGGGGGGAATTGTTCCATCACATGATGCTCACATGCTGCATGCCCGCATGGTGGTGGTGTGGTGGTGGCGCTAGCTAAGCTAACCAACCAACCAACCCGCGGTCCTTCCCTCTTCTCAGACTCACTCACCCACGGCATTTTCTCGCTCTCCTCTCGGCTAATAGCAGGTACAATATAAGATTATTAGCTAGCTATAAATATATTTTAATGAGATAAAAGATGAGAGAGAAGCAGCGAGCCCAGCTGCAACGCGGATTCCAAGACGCAATATGTGTATGATATATGTGACCATATTAATAATATATTAAATAACTATTATATAAATTAGATATTAAATTAGCTATAACTAAATTGGAGCTAGTAATGAGTTATAATATTAAAGTTGCTCTAATAAGAGCTTGGTGGTGTTGTTTGCCTTGATGGGTGGAGGTGGTGGTGGCGGTGACAGCGGTGCGGGGGAGCTGGGTGGTGGGGGCCCACGTCGCTCCACCCTCTTCTCTTCTCGCCTCACTCCTACTGTTCCTGATAGATCCACCAACCGAGCTTTTGCCTCCTTTTCTTCCGTTGGGGGTGGCCCCCCTCCGCCATGTTTTGGACGCTTCCTCCTCCTCCCTTCCTTGCCTGTACTGTATACACACCCTGTCTTTTCTTTTCTAAGATTGAAAATTGTGTATTCACTAAAAAAAATATTTTTGTGATCACCCATGCTCGCTTCAGTTGAGATTTGATTGAATGACAAATAAATTGAAACAGTATGATTATTTAGCAAGGGAGGGAGTCATAGTTGGTAATATGACAAAAGGAGTCATAGTTGGTAATATAGCGCAGCAGTTATATTGGTTTTTATAAGTGATATACTTTGTGGTAAACAAAAGATCAAGTGCATCCGTGCACAGCAGTATAATAGCACCGTCCAATAATATAGTAGTAGTATAGTAAGATGCCAAGGAATGGGATGGTGAAACACCGAACAGTAGCAGACAAACGAGCAAGGGTATCAATAAGAAATGTTTGACTAACAGCTCGGTAAAACAGTGCTGGTTTTCAGCGTGCCTGTGCACCAGTGCATATGTCGAGTGAGCGAGGCCATGAAAGAGCAGGATTTGACACGAGTTCGGGCTCTGTAGGGGGGGCAGACAACCAAAGTGGAAGCGATCCAAATTTTCGCTTAGATCGCGGCGAAGAAGCAAGAAAACCGGTGGCATCCTTTAACTCCAAGATTGTTGTAGGTGCGCGCGCCGGTGGCGGTGGCACCGGTGGTTCCACGTTAATCCACCCCATCTATCTATCTATCTATCCATCCATTCATCCATCATCCCCAATTCCCTCTCCTCGCACTCCCCCATGTGACCATCGCCAGTGGCAGGTCGCGCTTAATTATTCGTGGCCCCATCCTTCGAGCTCCAGGGTCCCCCCCTTCCCTCCCCTTTTCCCTCTCTTCTCCAACCCTCTCTTTGTCTCACGATATCGATAGCGTCTCGCACGCAGCCGCGGTTTTCGCCACACAAACCAAAAGCCCCAGGTGCAACGCAGAAAAGTGTTATATTACATTGCAACTACACCTCTTCTCGAATCAATGGCCTGGGACTTGGGATGCTGCGTTAGTTAATCTGTATAATCTAAGGTTTTGATGCGTTGCCAGCAACTGAAACCGTTAAGAAAGCATATCTTTCTTTCTTTCGCCTTTGGGTGGAGGATGGGTAGGAAGGGTACCTTTTGTGCTGGCCGCTATCGACCTGAGGAGACTTTATAAATTGGGGAGCTCATAAGAAAGCTTTTTTAGGCTCGTCCGCAGATACGCCTTAGATCTTCAAAGATCACAGCGAAGTATTATAATGCATCAACTGTAGAGAAAGATAGCAGGAAAAAATATTAGTAGTGGTATGATCATAGATAGGTAGCCCCTGATCTAGGGGCAAGATTCCATGTTTGGTCAGTACCATTAAGCAAGCCAACCAAAACCATCACTATTACACGTTTTTTACCGTTTGTTCGTTTCTGTACGATATCCAATAACTGCACAGAATAAGTACTACAGGATTGAGAACATGGCGGCACAATTTGTGGTAAAATACCAGGATAGCCTAAAATACACTTTTGCCCATACCTTGGTATCTTCCTGGAGAGTGGACACACCATGGAGCAAATGGAACTTAGGAGAGGCACCTGGGCTTAACAGTGCCACGTCTCCAACCCCACAGATCTACCAAGGCTACTACTACTACTACTACTAACATCATGCTCTAGCTGCTACATGCTTCTACTTTAAGTTGCCTTTAGGTAGTTACTTATAGTGCCACCTAAGTTTGTCAACCTAAGTGCAGACACTTTTAAAGCTTGACAGTTATCATAACTTCAGTTTAAACGCAAAGCAATGTGACAGAAAGAACCATTGGTTCAGGCTCTGCGATTTCGTGGGAGAGCATATGCATGGGCAAGTACCGCTGGTCACTGAAGTTTTCACCACCTGTGTCAGTTGATCAGCTTGGAGTGAATTTTTTCTCAGGTTTTTTTACATGTCATGTGCCGTTGGTACCTGGCCCTGTCGTTGCTGTCGGTGAGGGCTCGAAATCTGCTCCAAACCTGCAGCAGCAGATGCGCTAGAAAGCTACTACTACCACTGAATTCTTACTCACAGTTAAGTCCACTGCAGGTTCAGTTCTTCGGTCCCTTTGAAGGTGGCGGAGGCATTGCTCCCAGCATGGGCGCTTCGTTTGATGTTCGGAAAAGTGCTCGACCTGGCAAAGAAATGCTGAGTAACAGGTTTCTGAATATGGCAAGTTGGAGTATATCTGTACGAGGCACACATTACCAAATGTAAAGTAATTGCGTAATGGAACATGGAATATCATAGCCACCTTTTTGGCCCATAGCATGGGCGTCAGACTCCTAGGATGCTCTTTCTCCACCACAGAGAGGCCACTGGCGTTGGCGTCACTTGCTAGCCTAAAATCATATTGAAATTACACAATATGATTTAAATAACTCCAACATCACCCAAAAAGCTCACATTGTTGTGTATTTCTGTTAGCAATCCAGAAAATGGTTTTGCACTTAAATGTCAGTATAAATACTGAACATACATACATGAAATAGCTGTGCTCAATATTAAACCAAAGAAAAGGAAAATCTGGGGAAGAAAACTACTATGGATCATAAACCCATAAACCTATGAATTCCAATGAAGGCCTTAGAAGATGCAATAATAATTAAGAAACCATAGTGGCATACTAATATCAAAACACTTGAACTTCAATGTTAGAAGTATCCAAGTCTGTTCTGAACATACCTTCATTTTGCATTGCCACTTGACTTAACAAGGTATGGTGTTTTGCTGAGAGCTTGAGCTCTCATCTTTTTTGCAGACATTGAAAGCGAGTGAGAGGATATCATTTCCTTGGTTTACATTCAGGCATCTTGTCTGCTGCATCTTACTTGGTGACAAATGCCTCCGTCTGTACCATATAAGAAAAAAGGACATAGGAGGTCAGGATAAGCACCATTTGATGCATCTGTTACACCAGAGGTCAAATAAAAGTAGCATACGAACCGAACAAGCAGAAATTATCATGAAATAAGAAAAATATGGTATATCTAAACTCTACATATCTAGAGGTATGGAAAAAATGAAAGAGGCCATAAAAATTGGCTAAATCATTAGTGGCTCAAAGATGCAGATCAGTACATCAGACTTATTCATTATATGCATGGGAGACCCAGGAGTGAGAAGGGTAAGACAGGGTGCTAACGAGAACTCACCAGTCACCACTTGATCAAATTCATCAGTTCTTTCTATGCAAATATATTATTGTTTGTGGTTGTGCCCCCCAATCTGAGCCCTCACTGAGCACTTCATACAGAACTGCAAAGCACCAGCCAAATCATTGCCAACTAGAACAACTTCATCTACAATCATATTCAGTTCAACATCTTCTGCCTTTTCATCTTTTATCAGGTCTTCAATGTTAGTTTCCTCTTTGATCACTGCTAACTTGTCATGTCCTTTTGCTAGATGACCTGAAGGAAACCGTTACTGTGTTCATCCATAAAAACATCTCTTGCTTCTGGCGCGCATGTCTCTGAGAAAAGATAATAACACAGTCAATATCAATACAACCGAGATATTAGTGAACTCTAGCATGCTTATTCCAAATTCATTTAAATAAAACTTCAGGCAGGTTACCTTATTCGGAACTACCTGAGATCACAAACTTCATTTGTAGGCCCCACACAAACTCTCCCACCTCAGTTATTTTGTGTGGACCTCCTGCAGCTCTTGGTCTTTGCTGGCAGTAGCTAGTATTGCTACAGCAAGAGGACCAGAATCTGCAGTCTCTTCCTGCTTGCTCCAGTGATTTCTGCAGATCTTCGTAGTCTTCACCCAAGAACTAGTTTTCTTCAACTTCGGTTGTATTTTTCAATGCTTTGTATGCCTCTTCTTCCTTTTGCAAGGACTGCTGCATGGTAGACAGCTTTCTCTTTTCAGCATCAGTCTTCCTCCCTAGCAGATCACCTGCTCCCTATGCAGCAGCACTAAGTTCTGATTCGAGTTCATCAGATCAAGTATTTCCTTCTTCCTAAGGGATTTCTCTTTCCCTGGTTTTTCAATTGAAACATTTCATCAGGAGCATATGTCTGATATCATGTTCATTGCAGAAGTAAGGTTTCCTGCTCTTTTTCTTGGAGATAACGGCCTTCCAATCTTCTGCAGAGCTGGCAACATGAAAATATCAAGTTATCAACATGAAAATCCAGGTAAAGCAACAACTGCAGAATTTTCAGGATTGCCCACAATACCAATGTTCACATGTAAGGTTTCTAGGGACAAAATTCAGTTACCTCTTCGATATTATTTTCTAAGTTATCATTGAAATTCCCAGCTTCATCAAGTGTCGTTCCCTGATGAGTAAAGCAAACAGTTAAAATAAATATCAACATGTGATAAAGCAAATGAAGCACAAAAGCATGCTTAGTTTACCTCTTCTTCCTCTGGATCATCGTAAACACGAGTATAGGTTTCCTTGAGAATGGATCATCACTGAACATACAATCGACATGCAAATTAATAGTACAAAAAGTACAATCTAAGAAACATTTTGTAACAACACAGCTATGAGTGTAGTGAGTTGCTTGTCATCATGCATTACTTCCTTATTCCGTTTTTCGTGGACTTGTAAGGTTGACGGCTTATTCAGAACACAGGATAGGAAAAATGCAAGAACAGGAAAAACACAGGAATAGTATAGGATTACATACGGAAAACAGAGGATTGAAAACTAAGGAATTTGATGACATGAAGCATTCAGAATACAGGAATACATACAACACAAGAATTTTACAATCAAGTAACCTCATAGATTATAATCTAATTAAGCAATAGAATACTATTTTCTATCTAGTCACTACTCTCAAGTACTCTCTAGACAGGAAAGCCTTATCTTATCCCCTTCATTCATCAGTTCATTCACCGCATCATCTTTTTCCCCAATGTTCCAGAGGCATGGGGAGCAGCAAACAGACAAAATCAACAGGGATGGCGAGCTCGGTGGTAGGCGGAGCAAGCGAGGCGGCGGTCGGGTGACGAGCTCGCACGGGCGCGTGGCAGGAGTGAGCTGCTGCTGTGGCCACTCACAAGGTCGAGCAGCTGGCAACCTCGACTTGCTTCTTCCCCTTGTTCTTTTTAATTGGATTGTGTCTTATTCCTATCCTTCATAGTTCTTGCTCAGTTGCTTCGCTTGTGTTTGTAAAAGTTCTTGTGTATTGCTTGATTGCCTCGGTCTTACGCGAAGGAAAACAAAAATGAGGTCGGAGTGGGTGTTATTTTTCCTGTGTTTTTCCTATGTAATCAGCAGCAAAGGAATCTTTCCTTAGATTATCCTATGAATTGTTTGTGCCTTCCGAATGATAGGAAAGGGAAAAATCCCAATGAACAGTATTCCTCCAAAAATCCTTTGAAAAATACTGTAATCCGAAGAGGCCCTCGCATCTTTGCTTCTGCTAACAGATCTCAATGTACTGAAACTGTCAAGCATACCAGTTTGACAGAGTCTACAAAATTATTTTTGCTTAACTTACAAAAATGGTCAAGTAGGGAACAAATATGTACACATACAAAAACAATTACTACCAGTAATAACCGATGATCCCATTGGTCAGAATGCAGGTGTCATATCCAAATCTGTAAACTGATACCGAACAAAGCATTCACTAACTACACTAAACAATTAGTTGATCTAATAACATATACATACCACATTTGAATCTGATGGGTATTCAAATGTTTCCAATAAAATTGGACCGATGAGTCCATTGCGTAAAGGTTCCCCCATTTCCCATTGGTAGCTTTCCCACTAAGGTCCCGATCAATCGGAGAAGATCCAACACTAAACTACCGCCACGCATCACCAAACACAACCGATCAGAAGTTCGGAACCTGGATAAACCCTAATCCTTGCTGAGCACTCGAGGTATGGAACTCCTAGTCACAAACTGAATCGGAATGGTAGACGGAAGAGGACCTCGCGTTACCTAGGGGAGGGAAGAGGCAATGCGTCTCCGAACGCCGAGGAAGAGGACGCGCGAACCCGCAGAAGGAGAGATCGTCGGCGCCGCCGGCCACCGGCCGCGGCGGCGCCGCCCCGGACGAGCGAGGGAGGAAGGAAGTGAGGCGGAGAGCACGACGGCGAGGGCAATTTTGTAATAAGCGCATTTTGGGCTTTTACTAGGTAAGCATTAGCTGTGGGCCTTTAGCGAGGAGGAGAGCTACGGCCCAATATGCTCAAGTCGACACGTGGTCCACGGTGGTGTTGGGCTTCCCTGCCTTTGAATGGTCTCCAAGCCCACTACGAATATTTACTTTATGCCTTTTTCTTTTTATCTTTTGGATGGAAAAAAAATATTGTCCATCCCACTAGCTCTTTTTTGGAAAAACAAATGTCATCTGCAAGGTTTGAGACTTTCAGCCTTTCAGGGGACAAGCTATAATTTATGGCACCACATTTTCAAAAGAAAAAAAGCAGTCAAATTATTCGTTTTTACACTGTAAATTATCTACATTTGCACACTAATTATTATTATGTAAATTTCAAAAGTATATCATAAATTTTCTAATAAGCTATATAAGTGAATTATGTTTAAAAGTAAAGTGATAGGAGAGGTATAAATATATATACTGTACATAGAGACAACAATCACATAAGGAAAACGGTTATTGGAATCAATAAAAAAAATGCGTGTCATATTTTAGTAAGATTGTTTTTCAAATGTACTTACCTTCTTCAGGTTAGAGAGTCCAAATTCCCAATTGTGATTAGGACTTTGTTCATTAATTAATTCATATAAAAATCCCAATTACATTTAGTCATTTACAGATGTCGTTGCCTGAATTTATTGTGATGACAAATAGTCATGCCGAACAATCATGATGAAGGACAAGGTTTGTGGGTTATCTTAATAGAAAGAACAAGGTTGCACGCACTAAGCGTAATTATATTGTTCAATCAACACGGGGATGACAATTCCATGCAAGGCAAGCAATCTAATTAAGTATCAGTACTCGAGCATGCATGTAGTTTATAGTATACTCCTAGATGATTAGGTTTGAATAGTTTTCTCACGTACGCGTATGTACGTGCATGAAGGCATCTCATCCATGAAATAATTCTATTTTATTCGTAAGCAAGCAGAAATGGTCAGCACAGTGATTTTCTTAACACGATTTTGCTGAGTTGGCTGGCAATTTGGTTCACCGATCCGCTGATAAACAGCTCGTCGGAATGCGCACGTGTGACGTTGTCTGCAGGGAAAGTTTGACAAAATTATGGGGTGATGCCAATTTACAGATTTGGGTCAGATTCAGCGAATTCCAGCTCACGTGGTTTCAGCATGTGCTTAAATGATTAATTTACACTCGTAATCTTATCTGAAATGTCATGAAAGGAGCTGATTACAGCTCAATTCATTTTTAATCATCATACTCAAACTGTCAAACTTATGCAACCTTCAGTAGCGTGGAGTAGGGGGCAGTAACAGTGTGATGTTCAGATGAGATGGCAAGTTAGGAAATGTTCTTATGATTAACACCAACTTAGCATATAATTATATATCATGCTGCCGCCCTGCAGGTAGCGGGCTGCTCTGCAGACCTCACTGCTTTCGTCAAAATCACACACTGATTAGATGTGAGTAGATATATATCTACTGCAAGACGGCTATGATCTTCCCTGGTAAATTAATTTGACCAGGTTAATATTTTAAAGGAGGTGACCAGAGTGAAACCTGCAGAGCCTTGGCTTACGTGTTTGATAGCCTTAATTTTATCCCATACTGCCAAAGATGACATTAGTTTGTTCAGGTGTATCAATCACAGTATGTTACTCAGACCAACTCCCATGTACTTAAAAATTTTCTGAATTTTTGACTTGATGCTCAGTTAGATCTCCGTGGCTCATTCTGCCTCTGGTGATTTTAATTGATGATCTCCTTCCCTGAAAAGGACCGGCATGATGACTTGTAATGAGAGGACTGGACAAAACTGGCCACTGAACTGCTTATCAGGCGATCAGAAAATTCAGAAGTTGTCAAAGTCATCACCAAGACCAAGTACGGAGTGGATGGTGTTGTGTTCTTTCTTTCTTCTTCTCCCCATGTTCTTAATTTTGATTTCATCACGAGAACAGTCCATTCCATCCGTGTGCCTTGTTACCTGACGATGAGATGGCGAAAGCAGTTCGCAGAGTAGACTTTGAGAAGTTCGTGTTCAAACTTTCAGTGAGACATATTGCCTGAATTCAGTGACAGACACTGTGCAAGTTCCTTCGAGGCAGGCCAGTGGTAACAAGAGACGTACAACAAAGCACTTGGACTAGATCACTCACTTATCAGTTATCACTGTTAACCTCTTCCTTTTGCCGAAAATAGTTAGCAGCCAGCAAGTTTTTCTTCACAAATCTTCAGAGAAAACTAGCAGAGAACTACTGAGGAAAGCTGCAGCCTTTGTCACAGGTTTGCCGTCAGGTCAGGAGTTGCTCGGTAGTAGTGAACAATATGAAAATGCAAGGCATAAATAATACTGCTAATAAATTCAGGAGCAGCCATCTGTTCCTGACGTAATTAGCAAAACTTTTCTTCAGGTAGGCGCTGCTGAAATGGAGATATGCGCATCATGAACATCCTGCTGCTGATCAACAGGCGCGACCTGTTGCTACGCATGCTGGGTGATGCCATTAGACAGTGTTTGTTCGGCGGATTTGGACTAGTAATAAACCAGGGTTAAGTTCAGGGATCAAGGTTATAGCTTTGGACGCGAGTCGCTGATTTGATGTTCCATTAATTACTAGCGGCTGTGTTGAAGTACTTGCGTATCATTTCTTGGGCGGTTTTGGCCCATGGATTTCGCACGGATCGTAGTACGAGAGGCCAAGCCGACCACGCGAATACAGCCTAATTTTTCGTCGTCGGCTCCAACGACAGCAGATTCACTGTGTGGCGGTGTTGCCGTCGCAGTGACACCGCCGGCGATGACGCTCAGTAGATACATGATGGAACGATAGGACACTCGTATGGGGCACCATGGTGCCCGGGCACCATGGTATCTAATGCACAAAATCACTCAAATTTTTCAAAATTTTCAAATTGTGAGTATATACCTAGTTATAATAATTTGATTCATACCTATACTTATCAACAAAACAACTCAAATTTAACTTTATTTCACAATCCATGATTACATACCTAACTAATTATATGTATGGATACTATATACCTAGAATCAAAATCTAACAAAAACAAGTTCAAATTCAGTTCAAACTTGCTTTAAACTAGTTAGTAAAGTAGTTAATGTTAATACCTAAGTAATTGAAAAAGTTTCATACTCATTTGAATTGGGTATATACTCAATTTCAACAATGGTGCCCGGGCACCATGGAGCACCAAACAAATTTACTATATATATATATATATATATATATAATCCCTCCGTCTCATTTTAAACGTAGCCATGAGTTTTCTTGTCCTACTTTAATCGTCTGTCTTATTTAAATCTTTTTTTATGATTAATGTTTTAATTGTTATTAGATGATAAAATACGAATAGTACTCTACGCATGACTTATGTATTTGTTATTTTTTAAAAAAATTTAATAAGATGGACGATCAAGATTAAACACGAAAACTCATTATTACCCTAATAATGGGACGGATGGAGTATACGGGAAGGGATATCTGACGGCTGAACGGATCGGATGTGATATGTGACTTCAAATTCTCATATGATTTGGCTGTTATATCTAGGTTAATGTTTGACTGATACTCCCTCCGTCCCATAATATAAGGGATTTTGAGTTTTTGCTTACACGGTTTGACCACTCGTCTTATTCAAAAAATTTTAGAATTATTATTTGCTTTTTTTGACTTACTTTATTATCCAAAATATTTTACGCATAACTTTTCGTTTTTTATATTTGCATAAATTTTTTTGAATAAAATAAGTGGTCAAATACTACGATCAAAAACTTAAAATCCTTTATATTATGGGACGGAGGGATTACTAGATTTGGACATTTGGAGGTACATCAGGATAACTACAACAGAATAATGTTCGGGGAGAAAAAACATCACCTAGTGCACATGCCCTTGTACGGGAAAAACATCTTTTTTCCTTTTAAAAAAATATAGATTATAATTTCACATAGGGGTATCATTTTTATATAGATAAATGAGCCAGGATAAATTAAGTCCACACTTGGAATTAAAAAAAAATTCAAATCTAGTCTAGATATAGTTAGATCTCTAATTAAATTCAAGGAGCTATAGATTCGGATTTACAGTTGGTAAATGTCCAACTAACTACTACTACATCCGTCTTAAAATATAGCTACATTACACTTGATGTGATATATCCTAGTCCAACGAATCTGGACAGCCACTTGTCTAAATTTATTGAACTATGATGTGTCTCATCTAGTTTCAAATTGCTATATTTTTAGACGGAGAGAGTTGTAGATATTAGTTTTTTTTATCATATAATAACTACGTATCCTCGTAATCCGGATGAGAATATGTTTGATGGAGCAAGAGACTAATGGAGTATACTTGCAATTACTATAAGCTCCACAATTCAAACATACCATATTCATAACCCATCCATTTTAGATATTACATTTTTTTATGGCATCAAACATGGCAGATGCTTAAAACAAACTGGCGCATATGCCTTGAGCTTAAAATTCCAACTCCGTATAGTATCAAGTACAGCAATTTCTATTGGGTGGCGTGCGTCATCCACAGTAGCCGTCGTTGCGTCAGTTCTTTTCATGGCACAATAAAAGAAAAACATATGTGGTCTTTGCCTACCTACATAGATCTCCCCTATTAATACTCCATCGTGTCCGTGTCCTAGAAAAACTTCTGCACACGCAGCCGACGCCCTTCTCTATCTAGCTAAATCTCCATTTTAATTCCTCTCTCTCTCTCTCTTTGTGTCTTTCTCAAGGGAGAATTAACCATCAAATCAATATATACAATGAGCTTGATCAGCATGATGGAGGCGAACCTGCCGCCGGGGTTCCGGTTCCACCCCAGGGACGAGGAGCTCGTCGTGGACTACCTCTACCACAAGCTCTCCGGCGGCGGCGAGTTCTACGGCGGCGTGGCCATGGTCGACGTCGACCTCAACAAGTGCGAGCCGTGGGAGCTTCCAGGTACGGATCAGATCATCTCGTGCAAAACTTCAGCTTAATTTTCTTTCGGAAAGGTGATGGCAGATGCGTATATTGATTAGCTCCGAGCAGCACGAACTGTGTGTGATTAATTAGCTTTGCACCCTCTGCACCGATCCAATGGTACATGCATAATTGCATAGCAGTCGCATAACCTGAAGAAAGAACTGTGTGATTATTTAACATCTGCAGCTTGCACCCATCCATCTGCAATATCTGATTTTCTTTTTTCAGAAAGGCTATACAGAACATCCGCAGCCTGCACAATTCAGAAAATGTTTTTTTTTAAAAAAAGGATATTCAGAACATATGCAGCTTTGACGAATTCAGGCCAAAAAAAAAGACTCAGAAAATGAAGGAAAGAAAAAAAAAAGAGAAAAATGGCGTCGCCCGGACTCGAACCGGAGACCTTCAGTGTGTTAGACTGACGTGATAACCAACTACACCACGACACCTTTGTGTTACCGAAATTTAGACTAAATTATATATTTTTGAGAAATCATCTTGCACGAATTACTATGAGCACCAGCTGCATCTCTGTAGATCTCGTTTCGATTTTCCTTTAATTTTGAAACAAGTTCCATTTGCACATTTCTTCACGTCACTAGTTGCACTTGACCTATCTGAACTATATGGTTTTTTTTACTTGCCATGAATCGTTAGCATATTTCTTGCACAATCTGATCATCTTCCCTGCACGCGCACGCGCACGCGCCGCCGGTCGCCGGCGACGAGAAGACGCCGCGCGGGTGGGCGCCACGGAGTGGTACTTCTTCAGCCTGCACGACCGCAAGTACGCCACGGGGCAGCGCACCAACCGCGCCACCCGCTCCGGCTACTGGAAGGCCACCGGCAAGGACCGCGCCATCGTCACCCGCCGCCGCGCCGCCGCCGGAGAGGCCGTCGCCGGCGGCGAGGTGGTCGGGATGAGGAAGACGCTGGTGTTCTACCAAGGGAGAGCCCCCCGGGGCAGCAAGACGGAGTGGGTCATGCACGAGTTCCGCGTGGACGGACATGCCGTTGCCGACCACCCCTCCTCGTCCACCTCCTCCTCCTCATCTAATCTTCTCAAGGTACTACATGCCAGCATTTGTTTTGCGTGATCTCAGCAGTAATTATTAGTGATTAATCTATCATCACGCAGGTAAAAGAGTGAAAAAAGAGAGAGAGAGAAAGATGAGAAGTACTCACTCTATTCCAAAATATAAGACACAACTACCCTTAACTCAAAGATCAAGAAATAATTAATATATCATTATCGTTGTCATAAATCACTCTAATTAATACAAGAGATGCAACCAATAGAATTAAAGATCTTGTGAGTATAGGATTTAAAATAATAATAACTTAGGGGAGAGAATGTGATAATTAATTACATGCGTGCGTGCACGTCTTATATTATGAAACTACTTTAAAAAATAGATGTGCCTATATTTTAGAATGGATGGAGTAAATAATTACTCCCTCTAGTTAGAAATATTTTGTGTTTGGGGCGAGATTTATTTAGTTGAAATTTTGAATTCTGATAATCAGTTCTCAAGCAAAATAAGTTTATGAAATCTAATAAATTCATACCACAGTACCTCCGTATTAAAATATAAGTATTTTTTACTTTGAATCTGGATAGATAAAAAATGCTTATATTCTAATTCAGAGGTAGCTGTATTCCTTTTGACACATCTACACACGCCAATGTTTTCTTTTAAAACTAGTATTTTAGAAATTACGAATGGTTAAAATTTCAAAAGTTGATTAGATATTGTCTTATGCATCAAATATTTATGATTCTAATGCCTAGATTAATTACGTACTGAGAAAATACTTATATAAAGTGCGTACTAGGAAGCTTCGTCAGTGTTAGAAGAGTTCTACTCTTGTAAATGCCCACGATTGCACGTCTCTTGGTAAGTGACAGCCAGAATTAGGATAGTAGTAGCAACATGTTTCTTTCACAGTTTTGTTTTCTTTGGCTCTACAGACTTTAGCCGAATGCTGTTTTTTTTTCCTTTTTCTGAACATTCTGATGTGATAAACTAGTTATGCAACTTGCCAATGATTGTTTCTACTTGACCTAGTCCCATCCAATCATTCCCAAACCTTGTACGTATCACCAATGCTTGCCACTCGAGGTTTGTTCGATTGGCTACATCGCTGTGCATCATCAGCAACACTAAATTACAAGCCTAGATATGTAGGGGAACAATTTGAAAAGGATTTGACTGCTTTTATAGCACAGATTCTTTATTCCAAGTTGTTAGTTGTTCTGTTAAATGATGATTTAAGGCCCTATTTAGATGGGACTAAAACTTTTAAGTCCCTATCACATCGGATGTTTGAAAATTAATTATAAATATTAAACGTAGACTATTAATAAAACCCATCCATAATCTTGGACTAATTTGTGAGACGAATCTAATGAGCCTAATTAATCCATGATTAGCCTATGTGATGCTACAGTAAACATTCTCTAATTATAGATTAATTAGGCTTAAAAAATTTGTCTCGTGAATTAGCTTTTATTTATGTAATTAGTTTTGTAAGTAGTCTATATTTAATACTCTAAATTAGTGTCTAAAGACAGGGACTAAAGTTAAGTCCCTGAATCTAAATACCACCTAAGCATATTCAGATTATTGAGGTTTCCACAATATCAAGCATCGTACGAACTGTATATATATCTATCTATCTTTACAAGATAATATAAACTTCATCCCAACCTGAGGTCACCAAATCTTATTTTAAACACGAATGGTAAGTTAAGTACAACTTAATCTACTTTGTCTGAATATTTCTTTTGACAAAAAAAAAATGCAGGAGGACTGGGTGCTGTGCAGGGTGTTCTACAAGAGCAGAACGGCTACACCAAGGGCAGTAGTCTCCGGTGAGGCTGCCGTGTCACTGTCCGGTGAGCTCAGCTTGCCGCCGCCGCTGCCGCCGCCCGTTGCCCCCGCCGTCGTCGACGGCTACACCGGCGGCGGCTATTACGAGCAAGACAGCTCAGCTGGGTACCACCACCACCACCACCACCGGCCGCCGCCGTCGGCAGCATTGCCGTTCAAGGACCTGACGGACTTCAGGGACCTGCTGAGCAACATGGCACAAGGCGGCGGCGGCGGCGCTGCCGCCGCCAAGACGGAGGGGTTCCATCTTGGCTGGAGCGAGGAGGAGTCCTCCGGCTACGTGCAGCAGAGCGCCATGGCGTCGCAGGCGTGGAACCCGTTCTAGCTTAGCTAGAGCTAGAGCTAGAGCTATATATAGCTGATATAAGCTGATCCAGTTCTGAACTTTTTTCAGAAATGGTGATGATATACAAAGGCAAAGTTTGTAGGTGTAGCTTAGACAATGTAAATGTAATTTATCTTCGTTGTTTCAGTAATTTTCCTTTGTTAATTAGCGTGGTTGAATCCTAGTTGTGCTACTGCTAGTTAACAGCGTAGTGACAAACAATTTGTAAATGTGGAGATGGTTTGGTTTACAGTAACTTTTGAGATGTACAAAGGATTGCTCCATTCAGTTCATTGGTTGCTAAAGAAGAGAAATAGATTCGATCGTTACTCATCTTCCAATGATCCTCTTAGCAAAAGTGGTGCAATTAGATATCTGTTTTGGATGCTTTGTTTTGTTCAACATTTGCTTTATTATGGGCTGCAAGTTTTATTAGCATGCATTGTGATGGTCCAGTGAAGTCCAATTATGGCCCATAATCAAGGCAGGCCCATCACAGCCTGCCTAGATGAATATCTGTCTGAAGTCTGAACATATGATCCTCTTGTGATTTTTCATCAGAAGTTGATGTACTGCACTTGTTGGATTCCTCCCCATTACGGCATCACGGACATCTGCAGTGGTTGATGACACTTGATGGTAAGGCAGTTTTGTACCGGAGTGACCAGACTCTGATATGTCAAGAACAGACATAATGTTTCTATGCCTCACCGAAGTACTATAGTAATCAACATGGTTCAACCATGCATTCTTAAATGTTAACAACCGATACCTGCACCAAATGTTTATAATTGAGCTTATGCTTCTCATCGAAGGGAAAATAAAGGGAGAAGAGCAGGAGAGGATGATTCACAAACATACCTGATACTAGTTGCTAATAGATTACAGTTCACTACTTTTCAGAGACAAAAATGCTCTAGTTGAAATGATTGCCACAGGGTGTGGCCTTGCTAGCTGTTGCCCTTGTCAGAGAACATTCTTCATGGAAGTATCATAGTGTTGTGTCTTTAGGTAGATGGATTAATAAAATAGATTGATAAATGCAGAAAGCTTTGGTAAAGTGATTAGCAGCAAGCTAGGCCATGTTCCAAAATCCAAACGGCCTCAAAAATAAAAGCAATGGTTTGCTTCCTCTGGGCGGCCAGATGAAGAGGGACCCAAGTGTTAGAGCATCTTTTGCTCATAGCCCTCACATGGATTGCCCCCCATGCCGGAGATCACAGAGGATTAAAGGAAACATTTGTGACTGTTTAATATAATAGTGATCATACTAAGCACTGGTGTCCCAACTAGTACAAATGTTGCAAGCTTCTTTCAGAGACCTGTCCCAATTAATCCAGCATCTGGTGTTAAGTCACCACACTTCTTTTCAGGGAGTCTGATTGATCCAACATCTTGTGTTATGTAACTCTTGGGATGCTAAACCTAAAAAAATCAAATGATAGAAGAGATGATTAAAGAAGGGGTAGGAGTACTTTGCTAGTTCTACATGCATGACAGATTTCAGTAGGTTTGGTATAGTTTGATTGATGAGCAGGTAATAAAGACATGCATGTCCTGCAGAGCTAGATTCTTTTTCCCCTTTGTCTTTGGCAAGGGTAGTTGCAACAAGCTAGTAAGCCAAACTGCCAAGACAGTAGACAGAGACTAATTGATCTCTAGCTGGATTAGTATATTATTACTGTGGCATGTCGAGTAACTAACCAACTTGTGAGCAACTTCTTGATTGATTTTGATTTTGGAATTTAGGCCTTCTCTTGATCTGATCTGAACTTATGGTCGCATTTACTTCTTTATGTTTTATCTTAACGAAAGCGTATAGGGGCCTACTTACGTATCTCTGTTGTAATAATAAGATAGAAAAAAGAATTAGTCCGCAATTCGGATTAGTTCAACTAAACAACTATGTATATCATCTACATAATGTACATCTTTATTGCCTGTCTCCTGCATCACGGTTTTCTGGTAAATGTATCAATCAAGTTTCAATGAAATATGTCGGCTGACAATATTACATGATCTCATATAAGAAACAGTTTACTGGACCAACGGAAACTGAACAAAAAAGTTCAAAATGGAACCTAAATCTTCTTCAATGATCCGATTAAAAAAAAGGCAGATTTTCTGTGTGTTTGTTAGTGAACGTGTCGTTCATCTGATCTACCAAAGTTTCATGTGCGATTCTCATCTATAGTCAGAGGAGAGATATCGTGGTTTCATTACGAAGATCCCAACTAATTAGAATGTTTGTCCTCTGCATGCTATGCAGCTCACATGCTAAATAGGCACGGTACGATGACCTCTTTGTCATATCTTTCAATCATTCGACCATTAGCAAGGGCACAACACGCGAGCTTTTGTAAATGGAAACCAGGACATGCTCCAAATCAAACAACGGATACGGAAATGTAAAGAAATGGAGCAATTATAAACACCGACGGATTTACGGGCTCTAAAAGTTTTGATAAATTTCACTACAGAACATCACGACCTCGCGGTTTTAGCTATAAGATGAAGTACAAACTCATTTTTGAAGGAAAAAAAAAACTCTCTAACCGTTGTTATTTTCTAGCACTCATTAAAATAATGTATTTATGCTGACGAGGTAACAAGGGGCCTGATATTTTACACGTTGTGACGCCGCCACTATTCTCCCCACCATCCTCGACCAACCTCATCGCCGGGATGCAAGGCTGAACTTCGCTGTGTGGTTCGTGTGGATCTGAGTAACCTAAGGGTCCACACAGTATTCACCTCTTGGCTGTTGTGGAAGAAGCAGTTTTCGCCACCGTCGGACTACACACCCAAAATTGCCTCGTCGGCGTGCTGGAGACTAGTTTGGTTCGCGTCTGTTCAAGCCAAACCAGCTCAATATGATCTGGACCCGCACGCAGGGGCAGTTTGGTCACTCCGCGTAAAATATCGGGCCCCCTATTGTCTCGTCAGCATGAATACATTATTTTAATGAGCATGATGTTTATTGTAAATAACCATGTAAAAAGAGTGTTTTCCCTCAAAACTGAGTTTGTGTGGTGTCTTACAGTTAAAACTTCGAATACGTGATATTCTGTAGTAAAATTTGCCAATTTCTTTCATGTTCTGCCATTGTTTTTTATCGAACTCAACTAACTTATGTCTAAATATTTTAAAAAAGTTTAGCAGTATGATACTTAGTTTGAATGTGAGGTGAGGATTGGTTAGTTAGTGACATGGAAAACAAAGCGCGCGATTAGAGCATATTAACTATTATAAATTTAAAATATTATTTTATTAAAAATCTTCTCTATATATATTTTTTGTGAAGCACACCGTTTAGCCATTCGGAAAATATGCTCACGATGAATCAGGAAGTAGCTGAACAAATAATCTACTTAGAATTCCCTAAATCTAGTCGCACAATTAGTTCTATGAATTCTTGAGTTAATAATCTGATATGACAAGCAATGAATACTTAGAAAAATAACAACACCATAATCCTTAAGATAAGATAAGTAGTGACTACAATAAAAGCAATAAGAGTTGGCACCGCCGATGACCGCGGCGGCGGCGGTATTGGCGACATGTTCATCTACCACACCTCATTATTGTATCATTAGTCTTAGAATGTTTCATTTCGTAGCTCTCTACATACACTATTTGCTCCATTATTAAAAAAACACATACATTATTTGCACAAGTTTTCCATGGGAAAATCAGATTGGTCTTAGCCGCTGTGGTGCAAACCTGAAACTATGCAAGGCAGGTCCACGCCTCCACTAGAGCCATTTCAGCTGCGCTGCTGATTGCTGAAGCAGTGAAGCTGACCTATGCACACCGGTTTGCCTCGTATTCTCTCTTATCGGATCCGGTTCACCCCCGCCCGTTAACCCGAAATCACCCGAATATATAGCGAACTTTCCGTGACACAGTGGAGTTAACCACCACTCCGCTAACCAACCTCACGAGCTGAGCTTAATTGATGCGCCATCGCCGCCGGCAATGGCCGCCGCCGCAGTGAAGTCGCCGGAGCCGCCGTTCGCGTTCCGCCCCGCCCGTCCCCCGCTCCCGCCGCTGCTGGACGACGAGGAGGATGGCGAGTTCGAGTTCAGCGTCCCCGCGGCCGCCGCCGTGCTGTCCGCCGCCGACGAGCTGTTCTCCGGCGGGAGGCTCGTGCCGATGCTCCCCCCGCCACCGCGGCGTCCCCCTTCTTCTTCTTCCCCGCCGTGCTCGCCCCCGCCGTGCCTGGAGGTTCCCCCCTCCGAGCCGGCGTCCCCTCGCGCCCCGCGGTGTGGTGGGCATCGGTGGCGCGATCTGCTCACGCTCGTGTCGAAGAGGACGAGCGACGGCGAGGCGAAGGATCGGGTGGTGGGTGGGAGTCCGAGGCGGCGGGAGGCGCACGCCCAGCCGCTCCTCTCGCGGGCCTCGTCGTCTTCCTCGTCGGCCTCGTCGTGCGACTCCGGGATCAGGAACGCGCGGCGGCCCGCGACAGCGCTCCGGCGGGTGGCGAGCCTCCTCCACCTCATGTCCAAGAAGCCCGCCGCCGTGGACGCGCCGCCGAAGCGGCGAGACCATCATCACCAGCGGTTCCTGGCCCGCGCCTCCTCGTCGTCGTCGTCCTCGGCCTCCTCCTCCTCCGACTCCGGGAGGAACTCCCGCACGCCGTGGCACCCGCCCGGCCCCGCGCGGCCGCGGCCGGCGGTGGCCGCCGAGAGCCCGCGGGTGAGCGCGTCCGGGCGCGTGGTGTTCCGCGGCCTGGAGCGGTGCTCGAGCTCGCCGGCGACGGCGGGCATCGGCCCGCGGCGGCCGCGGCCGAGAGGCATGGAGCGGTCGTTCTCGGCCAATGTGCGCGTGGATCCGGTGATCAACGTGTTCGGATTCGGGCATCTGTTCCTGCCATCTTCGCCGGCCAAGGAGAAGAAGGCCGACAAGGACAGGGACATCGCCGGCGGCGGCGGCGGCGGCGGCCGGAGGAACAGGCCGGCGAAGCTGGCCATGGTGCTGAGAGATCCGCAAGATTAGGTGGTGGCCATGCTGGAAATAATGCATGATATTCTTCCAGTCTTTGGATTTTTTTTGTAACTTCTTGCTGCTGCTTGATCTAATTCTTCTTTGTCTTTCAGTTGTTGTACACTTGCACTGTAATATACTCTAGATTTAGAACAACAATTTGCAAAATTTCAGAGACACTTTTGGTGAATCTGAATTCACTGTCAGCTGTAACTCTGATTATAAATGCCTATGTAAAGAAAGGAACTTGATGAACATAAAACATTCGGTAGTACACAAAAACCCAACTAAAACAAATGACTAAAATGAGTACTGGTACTAAAATGCAATCAAGCTGCAAATAGGATCAAAGATGCAATGTCAAATCAAAAGCTCACAACCACTGGAGAAAATGTGACACCAAAGTTTTGAAATTTCTCGTCGTCCTCGACAGTACGGTAGAACAGGAGGCAGTGACTCCTCCTCCCCCTGCTGCTGGAGTGAGAGAAATGGGTTGATTAGCCTCGTGATCTGTGCAGGTTTTGGGGCTCTGTGCTGCTCTGTCCCCACGGTTGTAATTCAAAAAGATAAAAATATGGTTTGAACTAACCAGTTGTATTTGGATTTATTTGGTTCCAAATCATTTTAAAGTTCACCCGTCGTGTTTTGACACAAACATGAGGATCTCTCGGTACTTGTTGCCGATGCTTTCTTTGGTGCCGGCAGGGACATATTCTTACGAATCTATGCCTTTTTCTTAAAGCGAAAAATGTGCACACAAGTTCAAGTTGTGTTCTTGTGAGGTGGATCAAGTTCCAGTTGTCACCATCATCCTCGTTGATGTTAGCATTATCTCGGATCGGAAGCCAAGCAGAGGCAGCACGACTGGAAACTCATTTTTTTCAATCGCCCAAAAGCAGTAGAATACTCATCTACCTAACCAGGATTTGCTGCCGTTGATGGCGACGGCTTCCGGCGCCGCTGTCTCGCCGCCACACGCCGGTAAATGTGTTATATGCGCTAATGCGCACAGGTCGACGGCGTTGGTGGCGCCGCCGCTGAACACACAAAAAAAGAAAAAAAAATAAGTAAGATTTGGAGAGACATCCTTCCAAACAGTTTTTTTTAAAAAAAAATTATAAGCTATTAAGAATTGAACAAGAGACATCAGGATTGAAATCACACACCCCGCGTTGCTTTTGGACACGCCGGGACTTTGGCACAGCTCCAGCTTCAGCTCCAGACAATTTCAGCTCCACTTAAAATAGGAGTGGAACTAGGTGAAACTCTCACAAAATGAACTAGAAAGATGGAGCTAAGTTTAAATAGGTCAATAACTCCACTTTAAACTTTTTATAGCTAAATTTAGATATTGGAGCTATATCAAATATTGCCGCTACGTGTTTTTCTAGCTTTTGTGCTGCCAACGCCCTGGAGAAGAAAAGATGGCGGAGTGGTTGAGCTGACGCGTGTGACCCGAGAGAACGGAAGCGAAAACCGCAACGGCCGCCGGCAACAACAACTACTCCCGTATTGGCAGCAACAACAACGCGACCTGACGAAACTTTTCAGCTCCACGGAAAGGAAAAGGGATATTTTCCTTTCCTTATTTTTGGGTGATATATCATATGATCTCTCCCCGGTGGTCAACGACTCCGCCCCGAGTCCCGACCGCGTCACGTTACAACTCACACGCGACGCTGATGGATGGATCACAGCAGCATCAGCCTGATTCAGCGTTGGATCGGCAAGCAGCAAAACCGCTCGCGAGGCCGTGACCAACTGACCACCACCACCACCACATGTACGTCCACATGCGCGAATTGGCGATGGAAACGGGACGGCATCCCGTTGCGGCAACGGAGCCCTGCGAGAGACGAGAGACAGAGGGCCAAAGTTTGGGGAGCTTTTGCGCTTCTCCTGAAATTTCCTGCTGCCAGAAATTTCCTCAAACGGTTTAGATTTTCACACAATTTCTAAGAAACTGTACTTGTAGAATGAGAGAGACTAGAGAACATGATTCCGTTAGAACATGATATTTTAAGTGACTTCTTCCTGGTACCTGATAGCCTAGTATCAAGCTGTTACCTAGGCATCTCGGCTTCGCTTGAGGCGGAGAGACACCACCGCCGACCGCAGCGGCTGCTGCTTGCATGGGGCAAGACCACGGCGGCGCAGCACGTGGTGGTGTGGCACCTAGACCACACCTTCGAGAAGCTCGCGTCGGCGCACCTCCCGCTCGTGGCGGCGGCACCGCTGGTGGACGCGCTGCGTGCGTCGCCCGCCAAGCCACTCGCGCTCTTCGACCTCGCCCGCCGCCTCCCGCTCCGGCTCCATCGGCGAGGCGCGCTCTACTTCCTCCACCTCTCCCCTCGCATGTTCGGCCTCCGCGCCCCGCTCCCGCTCTCCCTCTCGCTCACCGCGCCCGCCACCGAGCTCCTCGCCGTTGCCGCTTCCCCCACAGCGGCGGCCGTTGGCTCCGGCAATCGGTGGGGCGACGGCGACGGGGAGGGCTGCACCTCGGGAGCCATCTGATTTGTGGGAGGAGAGTGAGGGTAGGAGGAGGGGATCCGGATTAGTATAGATTTTCTCTTGTAGAATTCAGAAGATTAGTTTTCTAGCTTCTCTATATTTTTATTTATTACCTCTCAAAATTTTAAGCTTGTAGAATTTAGAAGAATAGTTTTCTAGCTTCTCTATATTCTTATTTATTCCTTCTCATAATTTTAAGCTTTCTTAATAGGATCGGAGTACACGCTGCTGAGACGGCGGGATGGACGCCCCTGTTGATGGGTCCCAATTCGCGTGGAATCTCGCCGCCTCGACGACATGTCACGGCGCCACCACACGACCCGCCACGCCACGGCGCAGTTCGTGTCGCGGAACAGGAGGATGCATGGGCCTCGCGCGGCGTGTGGGGGAAGCTGCGAATCTCGCGTGCGGATCGTCGCCTCGTCGTCGTCGGCGGGTGGAAGGATTTCTTGGCGCATGCGGTGACGGCACGCACCCTCTGGCCCAGTAGTACTACCAGTAGGGCCCAAGGTGAAGGCCTGGCTGATAATTGCGCACGTTGCGTGATGGGCCAGGCCTGGCTGGGCTATCAGGCCGTACAGGCCGAGATTTGCAGGAGCCGCAGGTTTTTTGGCTGGTGTTGCCACTGCCGGGAATTCGGTGCCAGCAAAAGGTTCACGCACCCGATCACCGTGTGTGCGTTCGTGTTTTTATGATCCTTTTGTATTTGGACATTTCTAACACGGAGTAATACATAGTATGTTTCATATAATAAGTTATTTAACTTTTTCTCAGTTAAACTATAGAGAAATATACTAATATTTTTAATACAAAATAAATAAACTATCAAAATATATTCAATGTTAAATTTAATAAAACTATTTTGGTTTTATAAATGTTGCTAATTTTTTTCTATAAATTTAATTAACCTTAAAAGCTTTGACTAAGAAGAAAATCATATGACTTGTAATATAGAACGGATGGAGTACATGTTTCACCGATCTCACTGCGGCAGCCTGCATGTCCCGGTGGTTGCCTCACGACAGCACGAGGATCATTACTGGTCTGCCTATGATGTCGTTGGTGGAGCTAAACATCCTGAAAATAGCTAAGTATTCCCTCCATCCTATAATAATATAATATAGCAATATAGGATAGGACGAGACATTTCATATAACAATGAATCTGGACATGCATACGTCCAGATTCATTATCCTATGAAATGTTTTGTCCGGTTCTATATTGCTATATTATAGGACGGAAGGAGTAGTGAGTTAAATAAGAATTAAGAAAAGTTAATATTGGTAAAAATCGAACATAAAATTCTAAAGGTCGCTCCGGTTAACAGAAACTTCATAATTTGGATCTATATCTCCTCTCGGGCAGTGTGTGGTATGCGGCAGCTGATGCTATTGAGGCTAAACCAAACAACTTCAATGTGCAAATATCAATTCACCAACAGAAAAAAAATATTTCACACAATCAACTTCTGTATCCTACCATAAAGTTTGAGGATAATTTCAACTAGTAAAACAACAGAGAAATAATAACGTTTACATGCACGCAAGACAAAATGATTTACGTGAAAAAACATCCTCAGCGTGAGGAGTAAAAACATCGGTCCACTCCAAGCATCCACTATAGTACAAATAAAATATTGTCCAGAACACCTAGAGGCATATCATAGCAGCATCAAAATCGTCGAGTTATACACTTGGCATCAACAACAACCATAACAACTAAGAGGTATAGCAACAATAAGCGAAGAAATGGTAGATTATATCTCATTTGTTGGACCTTTAAGCTACAATGGGCTAAGAGCAAAAAGCTCCTGCAGAGAGAATTTAGCCCAACAGATGCCTGTACAATTTTTTTTTTGAGAGCTCTCCGCTTTGAGTACAAGCTGTAGTATCTGAACATACGTGCAAACGCACTCCACCACGCACACACACACCCCTACACGCATGCTAGACCTATCAACTATACACACACGTGCTAATGAGATGCACAAAGCCACCTAAGAACCTTGTGCGTGACGAGGACGTCACTCTACTATTGTGGCGCTGGCACGCATGCTAGACCTATCAACTATCTGAACATACGTGCAAACGCACTCCACCACGCACATTTGAGAGCTCTCCACTTTGAGTACAGAGTACAAGCTGTAGTATCTGAACATACGTGCAAACGCACTCCACCACGCACACACACACCCCTACACGCATGCTAAACCTATCAACTATCTGAACATACGTGCAAACGCACTCCACCACGCACACACACCCCTACACGCATGCTAGACCTATCAACTATACACACACGTGCTAATGAGATGCACAAAGCCACCTAAGAACCTTGTGCGTGACGAGGACGTCACTCTACTATTGTGGCGCTGGCACGCATGCTAGACCTATCAACTATCTGAACATACGTGCAAACGCACTCCACCACGCACACACACACACCCCTACACGCATGCTAGACCTATCAACTATACACACACGTGCTAATGAGATGCACAAAGCCACCTAAGAACCTTGTGCGTGACGAGGACGTCACTCTACTATTGTGGCGCTGGCACAGGAGAGCTGGAAATTTATTTGGGAATAAATCCCGGTGAGACGCGCGGATGATGATCCCAGGGATCGAACCCGCGCGGGCTGCTCGCTCACCAGCGATGCTAGCCAACCGAGCAACGCTCGGTTCTCGATGCCTGTACAATTGGTCCAATTGGTCCATGGGCTAAGAGCGACTCGTGGAAACGACAGAAGTCCTCTCAAACAAAAGAAGTAAAAGAAACAACAGTACTAGTCAAAATCGGTCGTTGGCCACTGATCACTCGCTGACTCGGCCTTCAGAATCATGCATGGCGGCTGATGGTGGCGCCGGTCGATCGAGACAAAAACGCATGCGTGGATGCATGGACATGTCCCCCTCCTCGCATCTTGCGGTTTGTTGCATGTCGCGCCCACTCGCGCGCGCCGCCGTCGTGGTGTTCGTCCAGTAATCCGGCCAGCATTTGCGTTCAGACTTCAGCAAGTACTGCCACTCAGGTGGTGTTTGAAACTAGGGACTTAACTTTAACTTTAGTCTCTGTATTTAAATATTAATTTAGAGTATTAAATATAGACTATTTACGAAACAAATTACATAAATGAAACCTAATTCGCTTAATAATTTTTTAAACCTAATTAATCCATAATTAGAGAATGTTTACTGTAGCATCACATAGGCTAATCATGGATTAATTAGGCTCAATAGATTCGTCTCGCGAATTAGTCCAAGATTATGGATGGGTTTTATTAATAGTCTACGTTTAATATTTATAATTAATTTTTAAACATCCGATGTGATAGGGACTTAAAAGTTTTAGTACCATCTAAACAGGGTCTCACGTTGATGCTAGACTGCTAGTGCTCTTGATTATTGCTATATTCTCTCATAATCAGATGCTATGGTTTGTGATAATGACAGTTTTCTAATCTTTAGTTATAGCCGTGGTCCATGATATTACCTGAGCTAATGATAAGTCAAAAGTATATTCAATTGAATCCTTCCTTTTGGCTTCTAAATATGGATAAGGGCCCCTTTGATTTGTAGGAAAAATATAGGAATTTTGGAGGATCTCAATCCTATGGAAAAAAAATCCTATGAAGGCCTTTGAAACAAAGGATTGAATCCTATCCAATTCTTTAAAATTCCTATGGAATGGGTAATCCTATGCACATTTTGGAGGAAAATTAGCAAGAGGTCTAACCTCTTGGAACATTTCCTCTGAGTCTATCTCTCTCATCTGATTCCTGCGTTTTTCCTGTGGTCCAATCAAACGGCCATTCCTGTGTGTGTTTCCTGTGTTTTGCAATCCTCTGTGTTTTACAGTTGTATTCCTATCAGAATCCTGTGTTTTTTCTATTCCTTTGTTTTTTCATTCCTACGATTCAAATGGGCCCTTTGGGAAAGTGGCCTTGGTAGTTGCAGAAAAGCTGTACCCGATCTTAAATTTGAATATACCAAACAAACAGATCAGCAAGCGAACTTCGTTGAAAACTACTACTAATGGTTATTGGAGTACCCGGCTCGATCTATGTCTTGTTATTTTCCCAAGATCGTTCAAAATTTTCAGCTTGGTCGGTGAAGCCAACAAAAATTCCCCTCGGCAAGTTGGTACTTGGTAGCAGACGACGACTAAGCACCATGATTCCGAGTCGTTGCCCTTGTTTTTAGCTAAGCATGCGTTGATCTGAGCAGTCCAACAAGTGATACACAGAGTTTTTTTGGCAAAAGAAACCGGTGCATTGCAGTTAGCACACTGCAGTATTCAGATTTCAGTATCAACTCGCCTGCTGTTCTGGAACATCCTTCCCTAACTCTTAGACCAGCAATTCAGAAAGTACTACTACAATTCAGAAAGTACTTGGAAATCTTGATCTCAATGGCAACAACAATGAACAAACAGAATTGAGCTTTTACACTCGAACAGACTAACAGAACCTTCAGAAATCAAGAATTCTCTGGTCAGTAAAGTGACCCAGGTCTGAACATTTTGGCAGTAGAGAAATTTTACGGTTCTTAAAAAGTACCTCAAGATATTTATTTTTTCATTAAAAATCTTAGTACCTCAAAATATTTAGCATCCAAAGTTACCAAAATTTTATAGTAGAAAATATGGTACCTCCTGTACTTTTTGAAATATATGATAAATTGTCCTTGACAATAAGGCAATCACAGATGCTACAATTATGTCGGCATGGCAACCATATCTCAGAATTTCGATGCAACTAGCCGTAGGCCCGTAGTAGCCTCTGCTAGAGTGCTAGTTGACTTGCCCGTAACGTAAAGCCGCATGCATATGGTACGCCCATCTCAATCTTCTCCTGCATATATCGTTCCCGCCAAATTTCAAGTCAAAACCTCTCGCCAAACTGACACCTTTCGTCAACCGCGGACTCTGACCGAAGTTGACGGCTGATGCAATCTGTTCTCTATATGCATAATGTATTTGCGAATTGAGATTTGATCATGTGTTTGCGTGTAAAAGGGAGAAAATTTGTGAGCAAAATGGCGCATCGCAATTCGCCAGCCATGCATACGCGTGGTGGTGGGCTGGGCTGGCCTCCGCTTGGCCACGTCCGTTTTCTCAGTACAACACTGACACTTACAACACATCCACACTCATCCCTATAGATGTATGTACGTAAATTCTACACCTATAAGTATCTTCGAAGATTGGACCAATAAATCCTATAAATCTTTGGTACTTACAGTATCGGATGCATCGAGAGATACTAAATCTTACATTAAAAAATAGGTATCTTCTAATATTTTCTCAATGACTTTAAAATCACTCTACCTCGCTTAGTTGCACGCATCGATTCTTTGCATCTGTCACGCATGTGAGATGCCACTCACCGAGATGGCTGCGCCATCTTGTTGCTTCATCCACTAACGCAAGATTTGGGTTCAGACTTCAGCTGAATTCTACTGGTTTTGTAGCTTCTTTCTTTTTTTTCCCCTCTCTTTTGCCGGGGCAGCCCAAGCAGAGTGCTCCTCGCACTATCAGGTTGCCAATGATGATGACAGTGTTCTTTGATTAGTCCATGCTAACGGCCGAGCGAAACCAACCGAAACTAACTATATTCAACTAAAATCTTTTCCTGGCTTTCTGAATCATGCACGGTATGCTGGAAGTGTATTCAATTACTAGTGTCTGATTTTTAATTTTTTTAAGGGTATTTAACACACGTCTCTTTTCCATATGGCTAAGATTTCTTTTCTTTTTCTTTTTCTTTTTTGCGGGGACATATGGCTAAGATTTCTGATTAGTGGTGAAGCCAACCTTTCTTAACATTAACCAAAGCACGTGAACTTGCTTCTGTCTTGTTCGTCTTGTGCACGCTGCACAGTCCAATATTTTCAGCATGATATCTTGTCCGAAAATTTTATACTACTGTTCTCTCGGTGATCAACTGATCAAGTACCAAAATGACTCTGAAATGCAGTTTAATATATATTTTTTGTGTGTGTCAGTACTAGTATTCTCCATTGTGCAATCTTAATTTTCTTTCTGGCAGATATATGAACATGCTTTAAACCGCTCGTACGAGAGGTTAGGGTTTATTATTGGTCCTGTGTTGATTAGAAAGGTGCCTTTGTGGAAGCCAGGCTAACATTTGCCCTGGGTCCTGGGCAAGTTGGTACGAATCAAAGACATAGAGTGTCGTTTATACCTAAGCATGCGCTGATCTTAATCCTGATTCCTGAAGAGTCCAAAAAGTGTTCGTCCTATCTGATGGCACAACTGATTGCTGAAAAGAAACCACTTTCAACTGGTACAAGGACAAATTTAGCACGGTGGATTCAGAATATACCACTTTCAACAGGTCTACCGTTTGACCACCCCTTTTTGAACCAGCAAAGGATTTTACAACAGAAGAAAAAAGAAGTCCATTTTACTCTCTTAAATAATTTCATTAGATCACTTAACGCCTAAATTACTTTTGGCTCATTTTACTCCTAAACTATTGAAATTAGTCCAGTTTACTCCATAGTAGTAACATTTTTCTTTTTTGTTTCTCTTTATATAAGCTAGTAGTATATTTTAAGCTATAATTTTTTAGAGTCATATGATACCATTATCAAAGTTCTAAAAATATATTCATTTTCTTTCACGACTGTTTTCTTCAACTTCATAATCTCGATGTTCAAATCAATCCCCTAGGTACTTCCAAGTTCCAACTCAGATAAACTGTGGTATGAACAAAAAGTATTGAGATGTGAGATGTATACTATTATCGTCCTACCAAATTTCATTGCAAAATATAACTTATACATGGAAAAACATAAAAGATAAATACTGTTAGGGAATAATCAATCGTTTTTAATAGTTTGAAGGTGTAAAATAAGCTTACGCGGTTAAGCCATCTAATGTACGGAATAATAGTTTGAAAAGATTAACTTTTTTCGGAGCCAACAGAAACGATGAAGCCTTCGCCGTGGTACTGCCCAGAATGCGGCCGCGCGCGGCATCTTGGATCGTTTGGTCACATGGAGGCTACGACCATGTCGGCACGGCAAGCAAACGATATCTGAATTTCGATGCAGGAGTAAACTCTGAATTTATTGGTTGCGTGCAGCATCGGGCCGTATGGCCCCCATCTCGTCCTCGCCGCAACGGCCAACCTGCCAACCTGGTGTCCTCCTATCCTACTACTTCCCGCCACTTTTGGAGTCAAACTGTGGCCTATCTCTTCACACGTTGACGCGACCACGTTGACGCGATCAGGGAGCTCGTTGACTTCACAGTGGATTGCCACACCATTCGAAGTTCTTTATATGCACTTGCGATTTTGATTTTGATTTGATCCCATGGTTGCATGGAGAGGAATAAATTTGCAAGCAAAATGTCGCAGCATTACACGAAGACGATTTGCATTGCCGTCGTCTTGGTGGCCGTGCTGTTCTCGTTGTCGTCGGCGGCGGCGGCCGGCTCCGGTGCGGCGGTGTCCGTGCAGCTCGAGGCGCTGCTGGAGTTCAAGAACGGCGTCGCCGACGACCCGCTCGGCGTGCTGGCCGGCTGGAGGGTGGGGAAGTCCGGTGATGGCGCCGTCCGCGGCGGCGCGCTGCCGCGGCATTGCAACTGGACGGGCGTCGCCTGCGACGGCGCCGGCCAGGTGACGTCCATCCAGCTGCCGGAGTCGAAGCTCCGGGGCGCGCTCTCCCCGTTCCTCGGCAACATCTCGACGCTCCAGGTCATCGACCTGACGTCGAACGCCTTCGCCGGCGGCATCCCGCCGCAGCTCGGCCGCCTCGGCGAGCTCGAGCAGCTAGTCGTTTCTTCGAACTACTTCGCCGGCGGCATCCCGAGCAGCCTCTGCAACTGCTCGGCGATGTGGGCTCTCGCCCTGAACGTCAACAACCTCACCGGCGCAATCCCTTCTTGCATCGGGGATCTGTCCAATCTCGAGATCTTCGAAGCCTACCTGAACAATCTTGACGGGGAGTTGCCGCCGTCCATGGCGAAGCTCAAAGGCATCATGGTCGTTGACCTCAGCTGCAACCAGCTGTCTGGCTCGATCCCGCCGGAGATCGGCGACCTGTCGAACCTGCAGATTCTTCAGCTGTACGAGAACCGGTTCTCCGGCCACATCCCGCGGGAGCTCGGCCGGTGCAAGAACCTCACCTTGCTCAACATATTCAGCAACGGGTTCACCGGCGAGATCCCCGGCGAGCTCGGCGAGCTCACGAACCTGGAGGTCATGCGCCTGTACAAGAACGCGCTCACGTCGGAGATCCCCCGGTCGCTCCGGCGTTGCGTGTCGCTGCTGAATCTCGACCTGTCGATGAACCAGCTCGCCGGGCCCATCCCGCCGGAGCTCGGCGAGCTCCCGTCGCTCCAGAGATTGTCGCTCCATGCCAACCGGCTCGCCGGGACGGTTCCGGCGTCGCTGACGAATCTCGTCAACCTGACCATCCTGGAGCTGAGCGAGAACCACCTGTCCGGGCCGCTTCCGGCGAGCATCGGGTCACTGCGGAATCTCCGGCGGCTCATCGTCCAGAACAACTCGCTCTCCGGCCAAATTCCGGCGAGCATCAGCAACTGCACGCAGCTGGCCAACGCGAGCATGAGCTTCAACTTGTTCTCCGGGCCATTGCCGGCGGGGCTCGGCCGGCTACAGAGCCTCATGTTCTTGTCGCTCGGCCAAAACTCGTTGGCCGGCGACATACCCGATGACCTGTTCGACTGCGGCCAACTCCAGAAGCTCGACCTGTCAGAGAACAGCTTCACCGGCGGCCTGAGCCGCCTTGTCGGCCAGCTCGGTAACCTCACAGTGCTGCAGCTGCAGGGGAACGCTCTGTCAGGTGAGATACCGGAGGAGATCGGCAACATGACGAAGCTCATCAGCCTGAAACTCGGCAGGAACCGGTTCGCCGGACATGTCCCGGCGAGCATCTCGAACATGTCCTCCCTCCAGTTGCTCGATCTGGGGCACAATCGCCTCGACGGCGTGTTCCCGGCTGAGGTGTTCGAGCTGCGGCAGCTCACCATCCTCGGCGCCGGGTCGAACAGGTTCGCCGGCCCCATCCCCGACGCCGTCGCCAACCTCCGGTCGCTCTCGTTCCTGGACCTGTCGAGCAACATGCTCAACGGCACGGTGCCCGCGGCGCTGGGCAGGCTCGACCAGCTCCTCACGCTGGACCTCTCGCACAACCGCCTCGCCGGCGCCATCCCCGGCGCGGTGATCGCGAGCATGAGCAACGTGCAGATGTACCTCAACCTGTCGAACAACGCGTTCACGGGCGCGATCCCGGCGGAGATCGGCGGCCTCGTGATGGTCCAGACCATCGACCTGTCGAACAACCAGCTGTCCGGCGGCGTCCCGGCGACGCTCGCCGGGTGCAAGAACCTCTACTCGCTCGACCTCTCCGGCAACAGCCTCACCGGCGAACTCCCGGCCAACCTCTTCCCCCAGCTCGACCTTCTGACGACCCTGAACATCTCCGGCAACGACCTCGACGGAGAGATCCCCGCCGACATCGCCGCGCTGAAGCACATACAGACGCTCGACGTGTCGAGGAACGCGTTCGCCGGGGCCATACCGCCGGCGCTGGCGAACCTGACGGCGCTCCGGTCTCTCAACCTTTCGTCGAACACCTTCGAGGGCCCCGTCCCCGACGGCGGCGTGTTCCGGAACCTGACCATGTCGAGCCTGCAGGGGAACGCCGGCCTCTGCGGCGGGAAGCTCCTCGCGCCATGCCACGGCCACGCCGCCGGGAAGAAGCGGGTGTTCTCGCGGACGGGGCTCGTGATCCTCGTCGTGCTCATCGCGCTGTCGACGCTGCTCCTCCTCATGGTCGCGACGATCCTGCTCGTCAGCTACCGCCGGTACAGGAGGAAGAGACGTGCCGCCGACATCGCCGGCGACTCGCCGGAGGCCGCCGTCGTGGTGCCGGAGCTGAGGAGGTTCAGTTACGGCCAGCTGGCGGCCGCCACCAACTCGTTCGACCAAGGCAACGTCATCGGGAGCAGCAACCTGAGCACGGTGTACAAGGGCGTGCTCGCCGGCGACGCCGACGGCGGCATGGTCGTCGCCGTGAAGCGGCTGAACCTGGAGCAGTTCCCGTCCAAGTCCGACAAGTGCTTCCTCACCGAGCTCGCCACGCTGAGCCGGCTGCGGCACAAGAACCTGGCGCGTGTGGTCGGGTACGCGTGGGAGGCCGGCAAGATCAAGGCCCTGGTCCTCGACTACATGGTCAACGGCGACCTGGACGGCGCGATACACGGCGGCGCCGCCGCGCCGCCGCCGGCGCCGTCGCGGTGGACGGTCAGGGAGCGGCTGCGGGTGTGCGTGTCGGTGGCGCACGGGCTGGTGTACCTCCACTCCGGGTACGACTTCCCCGTCGTGCACTGCGACGTCAAGCCGTCCAACGTCCTGCTCGACGGCGACTGGGAGGCGCGCGTCAGCGACTTCGGCACCGCGCGCATGCTGGGCGTCCACCTGCCCGCCGCCGCCAACGCCGCGGCGCAGTCGACGGCCACCTCGTCGGCGTTCCGGGGCACCGTGGGTTACATGGCTCCAGGTAAAAGCTACTTCCTCCATTTCAGATTATAAAACGTTTTAACTTTGATTAAGGTTAAATCGTTTTAAGTTTGACGAAGTTTATGAAAAAAAAATAATAATATTTTTAACTCACGACAAAATTATTATAAAAATATATTCAATTATTAATTTGATAAAACTAATTTAGTTTGTCTATAAACTTAGTTAAACTTAAAACAGGTTAATTTTGATCAAAATTAAAACGTCTGGTAATCGGAGGGAGTACCAAACTACCAATCCAACCATTTCGTCTCAGTGATCTCTGAACTGAAAACGTCTAACTCTGTGCTGAAAAAATTCAGAGTTCGCGTACATGAGGACGGTGTCGACGAAGGTGGACGTGTTCAGCTTCGGGGTGCTGGCGATGGAGCTCTTCACCGGGCGGCGGCCGACGGGGACGATCGAGGAGGACGGCGTGCCGCTGACGCTGCAGCAGCTCGTCGACAACGCGGTCTCGAGGGGGCTCGACGGCGTCCACGCCGTCCTGGACCCCCGCATGAAGGTCGCCACCGAGGCCGACCTGTCCACGGCGGCGGACGTGCTCGCCGTTGCCCTGTCCTGCGCCGCGTTCGAGCCGGCCGACCGGCCCGACATGGGCGCCGTGCTCTCGTCCTTGCTCAAGATGAGCAAGCTCGTCGGAGAAGACTGAACAAAAAAAAAAAAGAAGAGAAAAGCTAAACTCTCGCTGCAATTCTGCAGAATGCAGCAGCGAAAACGTGCAAATTTCTTGGAAGATTCAGAGTTCAGTTCATGATGATCTCAAATGGTTTTTCGAGTTGTTTGCATTGCGAACTTTCTCCATTGATGAGGTGTACTGTTGCTACTGTGCATGGTCAAGGAGCCGTTCGTGTGAGCTTACTGAGGGTGTGTTAGTTCTTCGGGAGTAAAGCTTTTGAATTATACAGACACATATTTGAAGTATTAAATGTATACTAATAACAAAACAAATTACAGATTCTGCCTGTAAACTGTGAGACAAATTTATTAAGACTAATTAGTTCATCATTAGCAAATATTTATTGTAGCATCATATTGTTAAATCATGGCGTAATTTGGCTCAAAAGATTCGTCTCAAAATTTCTATGTAAACTGTGCAATTGTCAAATCATCTGCAATTCTGCACAATGCAGCAGTGAAAACGTGCAAATTTCTTGGAAGATTCAGAGTTCAGTTCATGATGATATGGTTTTTCGAGTTCTTTGCATTGCGAACTTTCTCCATTGATGAGGTGTACTACTTATTTGCTACTGTGCATGGTCAAGGATCCGTTCGTGTGAGTTTGCTGAGCTGAATTAATTGCGAGGAACAGTGCAGGTGCAGTGGTTAGGTATCAATCTCGCCCATGCTGCCTGAAAGCATGGGTCTGAAGTGGTACCAAAGTTTCTGCCTTTTGACCCTCCCAAAACTTTCAGAGCTGCAACATACCTGTATGCGCAGGCCCTGCAGGTGAGAATGGAAGCTGAAAGATTGAAAGATTCGACGGAGCTGAAAACAATATATTACTCGAGCTGCATGAGTGCGAACAAAAGTGGTGAACTCATCACAAACATGTTAACGTGAATTATGGCTTCTCAGATGTAGATGTGTCTTTTGAATCCCCGGCAGTAGCTTGTTGCTGGGCAGAAGAATGTCTCCTGATAACTCTCATTTACTACTACTCAAGATTAGGTGCAGATAATCAATGCCAGTTTTGTCATTACAATCCGTTCATACCACAAGTACATATTTAGCTAGGAAATATCCATTGCTGCAATTCTCTGGAGTACTTGATTAAATTAGCCATGTTGATTTGCTTGTCAGAGCACATAAGCATCAGCAGCAGGAAGTAGACTGTCTGCTAATATACAGTACAGAGATCACAAAAACGCTTTAGGTCTTGTATGCACAGAACATGACGAGGAAGCAAGATCAGGATCACCACTATTTATTGACGTACAAAATTAACTAGTTAACTGCATGCAGTAGATTCATCACTCCATTGAGCAACTTGTTTCATCTCCAGGAACACCATGAACTGAATGAAGGTTATGCAGTCTAGAGTAGTAGAGTCTAGACTGCATCTGCTTCTGGATCTCTTAGTAACTCGTCAGGTGGTCATCACTCCAAGAAGTTGTACGATGAATTCCTCTCCGTGATCCAACCGCTGTTGTGGCCACTGCTACTAGCTAGACCTCTTCTCTGCTGCTCCTGCATTAGGGATGAACAACTACTCATCAGCCATGACGCATAGCTTTTTTTTTTGAACGAATCGGCAAGCTGCCAATTTCATTGAATAGAGAAGGAGTAAACTTTACAAGTAAGAAAAACCAGGCCCAGGACCGAAGGTCCTACTGAGCTAAAAATAAAAAGCAAGCCAGCTACCAAGAATGACGCATAGCATTGTTCATGTGCAGAAAGTCTCCTTTTTCTCAAGCACTTATAGTACATGTAAATACTTTTCTGAAGTGTTAATTAGTACATATCATGTAACAATCAAACACCATAGACATACATAACCTCATATCAGGAAGATAAAAGCTGTACTAATAATGGCGATAAAGGAGTATATATGGACTACGTACCGGCGTGTACAACTGCAATTTTGGTGGTCTGAGGAAATTTTGAGGTGGCTCTGAAGGGTGCAAATTCTGCATCTGGCTCAAGAAATCCGACTCGACGTTAGACTGTCTCTGTTGGGTGGCGTGGGTTATCTGAAATGGCCGCGGCTCGGAGGGGCGTATGGGAGGAATTTGAGAAGGATCAGCTGTGATATAGTGCATGTATTGTTGCAGCTCAGGAGGAACAACCGGTGCCATTCCCTTCCCCATGACCAGCATCTGTGTGCATGACATGATTATGATCAGAAATCACATGAAATAAATTGCATCACTTGATCTCTACCACAGTTTCAGATATAACTTGCATAAAAAGATCAGGTCTTGGTTCTAATAAACCTGATCATATCTTATGTTTGATGCTATTTGTACCTGGAGTTGTAGTTGGAGTGATTTCAGGTAGTCGATCGCTTCATCCAGCATCGAAACTTTGTCGGTCTGAAGAAACAAGAAGATTAGAAGTTCAGAACTGAATGGCTCTACAAGATCGAGATATGTATGACCAAAGATGCACCACATATTGCATACCTTGGTGCAATTTGGAAGTAGCTCTTGCAGCGCCTTCAGCTTCTCATTGATCCTATCCCTTCTCCTCTACAGGTATCCAGATCAAAGATAAGAAACACCAAGTGCTTATAAACCAGCAATTCTGATCGATTTGCATGATAACAACCTACCCTTTCTGAAAAATTGTGGAACTCAGCAGATCTGCTTCTCCTGGTAGGGGTAGGCCTTCTTGCTTCCATCGGATCTTTTCAAGAATATATTCACCTTCCTGGAAACAAGATGTGCAATAACAGATCTAACATTTAAAGATAACATACAAACAAGAACAATGGTAAAACTGTCTGAAACGTATGAACTACTCCTAAGATCATCAGCAGAGATAGGATCATGTTCTTCCTTGTCATGCATACCTGAGTTTTGGTGTCTGCTCTTCTTCTTGGCTAGCTGCCTCCTTGCCTTCACCTCCTCCCCTTATGAACTGATACAGGCTACCAATGGCTGCTAGCTGGTCCAGCCCTAAGCTGGCCTAGAGATGGAGAGTTCTGAGAGCTTTCTTGGTGACAAGATGGTCTCCTCGACCCACCAACCTTTAGCTCCAGGGATAGTAGTATTTATGGCATCTGAATTCTATAAGCTTTTGCACCATGGCATGCAGGGTCTGCGCACTGTAGTTATCCTTATCTTTTTCACTCACCGGCCGTGGAATTTCTTGTTTGGATCGATCGTCAGCCTCTACCATGTATCTGAGTCTCTGATGGGACTTTGTTTACGATTTTTGGAGAGGCGCCCATAAGGTCAATCATTTCACCTACCTTGCTATAGGTGATGGCTCTAACTTGACTTGCAAAGAAAGAGTTCGTCAAGGTACAGTACTATGCATAGATTGTTTCTTCAGAGTTCAGAGTAGTGAGGGCTTTCTGCATAAAGACATATACAGTAGATTAGTAAATGTTGAGAGAAATCATGACTGATGAATGTGAAACTAGTATGATGTTTGTCCTACTGTAATCTGTAATCCTTACATGCATATGTTGTTCAGCAATATTTTTTTTGAACGACCTACACCAGACATTGCGAAGATTCATTGAATAAAGTAGGAAAAAAAATTGCAAGACTAGAACCCTGGGATGCAATAGCCAGGAAAGAATGAAGAAATAACCACCCCCACGCGCCGACAACACCTTCACACAACCCAGGAGAAGGCTAGCACTGGACAGACCGCGCTAGACCAACAAAGAAACTACAACCGAGATCGCCCAAAACCCAAACCTAACAACCATGACCGGACACCACTCTATCCACATCTTTGGATTGTTCAGCAATAATTTCAATTATGATTGAGGATTTGTTAATACTTGGGTATTATCTGAAAAATTTAGACATGATTCTTGAGCTGCTAACCACCAACACTGTTTGCTCATAAAACCGCTAAACTTTATTTTTAGATAATGATAGAAGAATAAAACTAGTGACAAGAAAATTGCTAGTAATAAAAATGATAGTCTGGTTCTGGAAAATTTGAAGATCCAAGATTAATTAGCATCTGATTGGCTGCTCATGTGCATCCTTTATGAACAGATGTGACTACTGACGATCACAATTAAAAAGCATCGAGTAGACATGTGCAGTGAGGATGCTGGCTGCTGCTAGTAGTGCTAGTACCTAACATGATGAGCAGCTAGCTAGCAAGCAGCCCATGCGTTATTTCTGAACACAAAACCCTCGGAACCAGAAGAATGCATGGTATGGTGAAGCAAATTGAAGCAGCAAAGAAACAAAGAACACAATCTTCTCCTCACCCCTAACCCCTACACACATACAATTCTCCTTAATTAATTCGATCGACATCGATCTTGATGATTCCCTGCAAAACCAAGAGATAACTTTCATCATTACATATATACATTCAGGTGAAGAAATTCTGACGATGATGTGGTGAGGTGAGGTAATTAAGGGTGAGCTAGCATCGTCAGCGGAAAGGGTAGAGTCCAAGAATCGCCCATGCCGCTGTTGCGAGGGGGGGATGAGGTGGAAGACGCAGGAAGGGAACAAAGGAGGCAGTCACCTCCATTATTTTGGTTGCTTTCGTAGCCCGAATGCAGCAGCTAGTAGAGGCCAACTCCTAGCCCTAGCCCTCCTCCTACTCCTCTGCAATGGTAGATTGCGCCGGTGACTGCACGCGCGTGCGAGCGAGCAGCCGAGCATGCGTACTGCCAGGTTCAGGTTCGGTGACCACGCTGACAACAGACAGATTCCGGCAGCCACCGCGCGCACGCGTGACAACGCCCGATTCGCTGCGTGCGCGACTCGTCGCCATCGCCATCGCCGCCGCCGCCGCCGCCGCAGGTGGGCGGTGCCCGCGGCGGCGGCGTTGGTTAGTTGGTTAGGGCCGAATAGATCCGCGCGATATGGGCCGAATTCGCCGGGAAAAATTGGGCCTCCTCGAGGAGACTCATGGGCCACGTTAGGGTGGAGCTGAACTGATGGGCCGAACTATGTATGGTTGGGCCGGGGATGGGCCGACGCCGCGCGAATCTCGAGGAGGAACCGGATGCCTCGTTCTCCCTTCTCCGAGACGAGATCACGAGACAGCTTGGCTGCTCGACTCAACGCAGCACACGCAAGAGGAGTCGTGGGAGTCCAGGAGAGGAGGCGGAGGCGCGGAGGAGAGAGGAGGAGGAGGAGGAGGTGGTTGGTCTCCGCCATGGCGAGCTCGTCGTCCGACCCCGACAAGCTCATGTCCAAGGCCGACAAGCTGCAAGTCCCTTCATCCCCCCATCTCTCTCGCTTTTCTAACTCCAGATGATCCGCGAGCGCCCCATCCGATTTCTGTCCCTTGTTTTTTTAGATTACGGATTTTTGGCGTATTTTCTGTGAATGAGGCCCCTTACTCGAGCGTATTAAGCTGCGCCCTCGTCAAATTCATCACGTCGTAGTTGGCGAATGTTAGATTTTGCGTTTTGGATCAAGGACTGGGAACTCGTGTGGATCTGTACCTGATCTGTAGATGGGGGCAGGGCTACCGTTCCTATTTCCAATTTCGTGGTACCGATTTAGGATTTTCTCAGGAGAGGAATTGCCTGTCAGTTTAGTTTTAGCTTAGTTTGTTTGGTGCAAATTTGGTGAGATTTTATTCAAGGTCATGCCATGTTTTGGGGGGAAAGGTCATAGAAGCGAGCGCGGACGCTTTGTTTTGCGGCAATTTTGTTTACATATGTGTGCTGTGTGGGAGTTACCAGCAGACTTTATCTCCTACTATGTAGTATTCGATTTTCTGTTCAAATATCTTCAGAATACAGAATGCAAGTACGATACTTGTGCTACCTGTATCAATTCAGCAGTGGATGTGCTTGTCTGTGTAACTTCAGAAGTGGAAAATCAGCCACTCGTCATCATTTACAGTATTGTTCAGAATGGATATATGTGGTGCACCATTGTTTAGACATGCAAACTAGAGTTCACTTCCAGCACTCGCACAGAAAGATTACTTCTCAATGTGTCTGATTGGGATATCTTGTTTGCTCTCGTTTTCATGCCAGTGCTTTTGAGTTGATTTTGATTTAAATACTGTCATTGTTTTCATGTACTTCCTCTGTTTCGCGTTATAAGACGTTTTGGGTTTTAAATAGATTCGTGTATGATCCATGTATGTGCTTCATATGTATGTCAAAATTCATATGAATGTTAGTGAATCTAGACGAGTGATGGAGGACCCAAAATGTTCTAAGTACTCTCTGTCTTAAATTGCTCCCAGTTCATCCACTTCAGAGTTAGCTATATGCTAAATATGAACATTCCTTTTGCTTCGCAGAACAAAATTGAGCTTCACGAGATGGAATGCCGATTGGAAGAGTGCTACCTCCTTGTATGAGCAAGCTGGTCCGTTACTTTTTTTGCCATGTTCTATTTTCTTTCTGTCAATTTGCTTCCCTGTGGTGTATATGACAGAACTTTCATATCTACTTTAAAGCTATTGCTTATAGGTTCAAAAAGGAGAATGAGAAAGCAAAGGATGCCTTTGAGAAGGCTTCAAAAGGACAGGAAATGATTTCTTCGTATCCTTCAGAAAAAAAATTTATAGCTGTTGTATTTTCACATGATTGAACTATCACTTAATGCACCCTTAACTAGTTTAATATACCCTGGGATGCTGCTAAACACATGGAATCTGCTGGTGCTTTAGCGAAAGAGCTTGGACGCTGGAATGAAGTTTCAGATTTTTATCGCAGAGCATCAGAATTCTATCGTGAATGTGGAAGAGCACAACCTGCCTCTGATGCTCTTGCAAAGGGTGCCAGGTAATTCAAAAGAAATCTGAAACTTACGTGAACATTGTGAAGGATTATTGTTCTAACTTGATGATATCAGTTTCTTGGAGGATAACACTCCAGACGAAGCAATAAAAATGTATGATGAGGCCTGTTCAATTCTAGAAGAGGATGGAAAGGAACAGATGGCTTTCGATTTGTATCGTGCTGCTGCAAGTTTATATGTCAAGCTCGAGAAGTAAGGATATTCCAACATATTCCAACCTGCTTAATATTTGTTTATTATATTATTCTTCTTTCCATTTTTTCTTTTACGGATAGTTTTTAATCTTTTTCTTTCTTGCTGGGTAAGTTGTCATTGTAGAAGGAATTGTCAAGTAAACCAATAATATTTGATCCTTTGTGGCACTTGCTTTAATATCGATTATATGTGGACTGTCTCTGTTTTGATATAATCACTTCCCATCTCACACTTCTCATTAATTACAGGAAGTTCTTTTCATAGACCTACTAGCATATCTGTGCCGGTCCATTTTTCCTGAACAGTTTAACCTTACTACTGTGACGGTTCTTGATAGATTTTTACATTCACCCTTTGAATGATTAGAGCCTATCAAATTGTTTAATTGTTGATGATTTCCATTCTTACTACAACCTTTCAAGCTTGAAGTTATCGGGAATCAATAAATTGTCATTACTATGCATGGTTTTATTTAATTCTGCAACAATACTAGGAGGTTTCGCTGTACGTCTGTTTATTATAACTATTGAGGTCAAATGTACCTGGCTTTGATGTGCTGTTTAGGCGTACCCTTTTGCTCTTTGCTTGCACATGTTTTCACACTTTCTTCTATGGTTTTGCTCTTTGTTTGCATGCATTACTGCTAATCTCATTTCTTTGCTCATTTGCATTTATTCCTATCTTTGGCGATCTCTCACAGGTATTCAGATGCTGCAGCAACTTTTCTAAGACTTGGTTCAGCTGCTGATAAGTGTAATGCCATCAACAGCCAGTGCAAGGTAATATTTAAATTGTTTATACTGAGAATGTGCCTGCTTAATTTCATAGGGGTTTGTACTTGATGACCAAAGCTAGCTACTAGCTAGAAATACTATGCAATGCAATCTGAGAATTTCCTTTTACAGATAATAAGAAACTTCCTTGAAATTGTAAATTTGTTTATGAATTCCAAATGGGAATGGAATAAATATTGATTATCCATGTAAGCATTATCGAAATTTGAGCAATAAACTTATCTGATTCTGTAATTGTTACTTTTAATATGCAGGGCTATTTGAGTGCAATCATCATCTACCTTTATGCCCATGATTTTCAACAAGCTCAGAAATGTTACAATGACTGCTCAGAGTAAGTTGTACATTCATGGTAGTTACTATCACTGTAAAAGTTGGTACATGTGCATTGCCATTGATATATTTTCTTGCACCAAAGCCCAAACATCACTTTCATTGTTATTACCTTCTGCTACATTACAGGGTTCAAGCCTTCCTTAACAGTGACCAGAATCGATGTGCAATGAAACTGCTGTCTGCTTATGAGGAAGGTGATGCTGAAGGAATCAAACAGGCTGCACAATCAAGTGCCATCAAACACCTTGACCATGTGGTAATATTTTGAGTTTCTTAGTTACAAGGCCATCCGATATCTGAACTATATATACCAGGCTGTTATTTCAATCTCCTTATACGATTAGACAGATTGGATAGTTAGTATGCGTAAAACAGTGTGCTAGGAGCTGAGGCGTTACAGGTTGAAGATGTTACTCATGATCTCTTTTTTAGTCAACATTACCGCTCTATACTATATTGATTCCTGGATCATTTGATTAAGCAGTGATACCTCATCAATTATCAGGCCATCACTTATCATCATACCATAGGACAAATAATAGTATTATCAGCTAAAACATAGTCTGTTCCATCTAAAATGATATCTGCTCGATTGTTCGTGTGCTTGTTCATCCTTCTTCACTTCGATTTATGGTGAATATTACTGCAGGTAATTCGACTTGCAAAGAAACTACCTACGGGTGATCTGCAGACCATCAAGAAATTGGCAGACGATGACGGCGAGGATTCTTTGGACGAGAATGACCTAACTTAATACCAAACTACCCGTACCGGGAGACGCTGAGAAAGCAAATATTTGAGGTTGACTCATGTTACCGTTGATGAACATGAGCGATTTGTAAAAAGAAGATATCGATGTACACGGTACAAAGTACAAACTTGTGTGAGGCAGTCTGTATCTTGATATTTATCATGCTCAGCTCAACTGTCATATCTGATTTCTGCACATATACATCCTACATTGTTTGGTTTGTTATTCTCGTGCAGCTTGATCTATCTGTACTTCTATACCGATGTACTACGAGGGCAACCGAACCGGCTGTTCTGTTGCGATTGTATTCAGATGGCGAAACTCCAGCCAGTTGTGGATTTGGATCATTTGCCGATGAATTACATTTGTTTTAGTACTTGATTAGTGTGATCTTGTTACTGCTCACTGTCATGAGGGTCTAGGGGCCCACATGTCAGTGACCCTCACTTGCATGTCATGGGGGTCTGAGGGTCTATGGGTCCACATGTCAGTGATCCTCACTTGCATATGTGGAGTGCGATCTCTCTTTTTAGATCTTTTTATGTTTTAATTTTATTAATAGATCTTTTTAGAAAATATTTTTGAAAATTGAACATTTTGGCCACCCAGCCGAGTGGCTGGCGGTGGTGGCGTGACAAGAGGCTTGCGTGGCAGAATAACACTACCAAACCAGCTACGCGTGACGTGATAGAGTTATTTGGCCATGTCAGGCAGGCTGGTGTGGCCAAAAAGTTTAGATTTGAAAATACTTTTGGGAATGATCTATAAATAAAATTAAAACATAAAAAGTCTAAAAAAAATAATAAAAAAATCCGTGATTGAACACTAGTCGAAGGTCACAAGATGGTTCGAAACTTTGAACTCCGAACCCCCAATGACGGTATTGCTATGAGCAATCTCCATGGAACGCTGAATTTTACGACTAGTTGGGATCTGCTAATACAAGCAACTAGTCCAATCGGTTGTGTCTGGATGTGTCAATGTTGATTGTGTATTAATTCGTCGATGAACTTGTGAAATCTAACTTCATTTTATTTCTAATGGATTTTTTGGATGAACTTCATCTTCTCTCTGTGTGGACTCTGGGGACGTTCAATATTGATTTTGTGATTGTGTCCTTAGGTGACGGGGATGATGGTGAACTCGGGGGGAGCTTGGTGATTGAGATCGATCTGCTCGATAAATCGGCTCGAAAACCTCAAAAGTGTCAGTTCCGACACATTTATTCCTCCTCACACTAGAGACATTTGCCGGGTGTCGGTTAGAAAATCTGGTACCTATTGAGCGGACACCAATTTATCTTTTTATATTAGTGTTACCTATATTTTTACCACATATCAACGTGTATTTACGATTCATCGTTAACTGCAAAAGATTAAGGAGAGCTGACACGTCATAAAAAGACCGATGGTTTTCACGTAAAGAACACACCACAACGATCCTCTCAAGGACTCTCTGCTTTGGTACACAACAGAGTATTATTACTACCTCTCAACAACAAGCTTATCTTAAAAAGACATGATGATGAAGAGAGCTATGGAGATTTGTTGTTGACGACGGAGTTGCGAGCAGGAGGATTCCCGGGGACGATGGGCGGCAGCGGCAGGTTGGGTATCGGAGGCGGCAGCAACGACGCCTTCTCCTCGCCGACTCCACCGCCTCTGGTGGCCTCGCTTCCCCTCAGCTGTCTCCTACCATCGCAGGGCGGCGCAAGAAGCAGCAGGACGATCGACGCCGCTAGCATCAGCAGAGCGACGACGACGGAGAGACGACGATTGTGGTGCTTGGCCATGACTGCTGCTATAGCTTTCCACTGTTCGGCGAATTCTTTCGCTGTGGGCTGTGTGGCTGCTTAGCTTGATTTGTGTTTGCAACTTTGCATGGGCATATTTATAGGCGAGATGGTGCAACATTGCGAGGATGGAGCAGGGGTGTCGTGTCGATGTAGTGGACTGCCGAGGAGAGGAAAACTGAGAAGTGAAGGCGGCGACTGCGCCGCGCGTCTTCTAGCTTGGGGAAGTAGTACGTGTACGTGCATGCAGTGCAGGGGCGGAGTCACGGGCGCGCGCGGGGGAGGGAGGTATGGAGCGCGGCATGTGCGCGCGCGCGGGCGCCGGTGAAGTGGTTTGTCCGTGGTGAACCTTGGGGCGCGCGCGGCCGCTTCGGCGCCGGCCGGTGGGAGTGGGGATTACACGCAGACTACGCAGTTACTTCCGCACCAATCCACTGTTCGCCACGTCGCAGATTCATCAGACCTATGGTTATGCAAGCACTCATAGTGAACTCTTTGTGTGCACAGCCCTTTTATCGTTGCTGCAGCAAGCTCAGCGTCGAAAGATACGCAAGCCTTATGCGTATTCTAAAAAAAAAATAATTTGTGCAGACCAACGAATAATGTTAAATACTTTATTAGCTGGACGGACTACGGAGACCGACCTTAGCTCAGTTGGTAGAGCGGAGGACTGTAGTGTTGCAGATTAATCCTTAGGTCGCTGGTTCGAATCCGGCAGGTCGGATTTCTTTTCATTTTTCTAATACTATTTTTTAAAATTCTTTTTACGCTTTCCGCAATTCCGCATGTAAAAACGCAAACGTTTTGAAATATTTTATTCCATTTTACGTTCTTCCTATGTATAAAATGCAAACGAAACCAGTATTTTATTCCCTTTTACGTTCTTCCTATGTATAAAAACGCAAACGAAACCGGGAGGGAGCCCACATCATGCTATGTATAAAACGCAAACGAAACCTCACCGTCACGCGGTCACGCCTCGGCAGCAGCAGAGGCAATCAAACGACGCGCCCTCACCGTGGCGAGGCCACGAGAGGACGCGGCGGGCACGCGCCTGGGCCGCGGCGCTTTGTTGGGGCGGTGGAAAGTGGAAACGCAAACGCTGACTCCGATCGACCTATGGTAAAATTTCCCATGGAACAACGACGACATGGACACACACATGTCGTCTCCACTGACCTCTCGCCTCACCGCGCCGTCATCGTCAAGTACGTCGTACACTCATACTCGTACTTTGAACCATGACAACGACGACGACGACGACGTACGCGACGCCCACACATCTGGTGCTAGAGTTTCCGCGCCCCTTCCAAACACCTTCCCCCGCGGCGACGACGGCGCCGTCAATCTCGCGGGAGAAGCTAGCGACGTGCGCTCCTCCACGAGCGGACGGCGACGGCAGATCACACCATCGTTTTTTGCCGGTGATTTCAGGCTTTCAGACAAACAGAAGAACCTTTGTACGTACTCAATTATGGTAGTACATAGCTCGGCTTTTGTGAGATCAGAGTCTGTCACTACTCACTACCGATGACAGAAGAGGAAAATTCAGGAAAAATGTCCTGTACTATGCAGGACTTACGAATGTGGCTACCAAACCCTTCCCCTGGCGAGATTATAAGATAGTAACACCGGTCACTCTCTTGGCCGCAGCAGCCAGGAAGCTGCAAATCATGTGAAAATTAAATTACCATATTAACGTGCTTTGCTACTTGCTAGTATACTAGAAGCACCAAAGTCCAAACCTCCCGTCGTCTTTCACGTATTCTTGTTTTCTCTTCACCTCAAACCACTCTCAGAACTTGGAAGCAATATTAATTGCAGACTGCATACTGTTGTCTGCTTTTTTTTTTTCTTAGAAGTTACCTGATGATAAAATCATATAATATCTTTGTACGTAGTATGAAATAAATCACCAGATATATACCAACCTGCTACTATGAAGCTTGTCTGGTCAAGAACTCAAGAAATCGTCTGAAAACTTTAATAGATCCGTCTCTTTTACATGTCAATCCCGCAGCGCCTTTTCTGAATAAAAAGCGCGCGAGCATCCGCCTCATCATATGGCTTCTCAACTACTCCCTTCGTTTTAAAATGTTTGACGCCGTTGACTTTTTATCAAATGTTTAAACATTCGTCTTATTCAAAAAATTTAAGTAATTATTAATTCTTTTCCTATCATTTTATTCATTGTTAAATATATTTTTATGTAGGTATATAATTTTATATATCTCACAAAAGTTTTTGAATAAGACGAACAGTTAAACATGTGCTAAAAAGTTAACGGCGTCCAACATTTCGAAATGGAGGGAGTAGTAATTAACTAATTTGTTGATCGTGGACAAGTCCAATGCCGCAATGCGAAGCTGGAACTAATTAAAAAGGGCAGGTTTCCTTTTGCAAGATTGGGAAGTATCCGAGAAGCACTCGTCGCGTGACGACGCCGAACCGGCGATTATCTTTCAAGCTCGACGTAAATTTTCGAAGATAATACTACTATGGTTTCAAGTGCAATTTCGGGCTAAATTCCCATGCGGCCATGCTCACACACCTCTTTCCACCTCGCTCTAGATAGCTATAGCTATATAGACGACTGACACGACACAAGCTTTAACTTGGCTCGCGATCCCGCTTCTCGCAGAGCTTCTTCCTCGTGGCCGCCGCTCGCCGCCGGCGACGAACAATGCGCCGGCAACCAGGGCGCCCCTACCAACCGCGAGGCGGAGGCGGCGGGGACCTCGTCGGCACGGGCTTCGCGACGGTGCTCACGGCGGTGTCCTTCCTGACCCTCAACACCATCGGCGGCGGCGGCGGCGAGGGGGGCGGGGCGCCGCCGGTGGAAGGAGCCGAGCAGCTGCAGCTCGTCCTGGCGTGCGCGATCCTCGCGGCGGGGCTGCTGTTCATCATGTACGGGATGCGGGGGCGCGGCGCCGCCGCGCCGCCGCCGCCGGCGGGGGCGGTCCTGTTCCTCCGCCGCGCCGTGGACGTGGCGGCGGCGGTCCTCTGGAACGCCGGCGGCGTCGAGCGGCCGCTGCCGACGCCGGTGATGGTCCTGCTGCTGTGCCCTCTTCTTGCAGAATGGCTCGGTTTCGTCTGAACAGCGAGGCGCAGAGAGAGACAGCAGATCAAGTTCAGGGTAAACGTAGCCCTTTCTTTCTTTATTCTTCTCTTCTCTTTTCGTTTTCTTCAGAATACGCGGTAGAGGTGCTTACCATTGCATTGTTTGTTCTTCTCTTCTGAAGAACTGTAGTTGCGAATAACATGTAGTACATAATTAATCTTCTCTTTGAAGAAGTGTAGCTGCGAATTGACGTTCATGTACATACGGTATAATCCAACCACTTGTACTCTAGTTACATGTAAGAAATGTTTTTGCAAGTGAGACCAGGAGTTGTGCACAGCAATGCATTGTCCCCAGTCACCCCTTGCTTCACATACAAGAAATTTAACCGCTGAGCTTGCCAAAATGGAAATTTAACTTCCACTAATAAGCAAACATCTACTTATTCATATATCCTTTCATTCAACACCATGAACGTTCATACATGATAGTTATCTACCTTGTCTACAACACATTTTCTATTGGTTATTATATTATGCTTTAACGAGTAGAAAAGATTAAAAAAAATGTCAAGGAAAAAAAAAACTATATGTATGATCCTAAGCCAGGAATAGAGGGGCCATTCTTTCTGTATCTTCTTCCAAATGCTGCCAAAAAAATTCAGAACACTTCTGTGCCTGGCACTATGTTTGTGCTGAAGAACCAATTTTCTGAAGGATATATGATTTCTGCACATGGACCTGAGAATCTGTGTACCTTAAGTCTGAATCTATTAAACCCTGAATCAGGCCGATCCATACCCATTCGGGTGTGCTTTCTGCCATTTCCATGCAGTTGAAAGGCTTTCGCGAAGATCAATGTAACGGGCTGTCCAGTTCAGCTCGTCATGGATTTTGGATGGGTCACTGTAAACTTCAGCATAGTCTCCTGGTCTCCGGGTAAGGAATGAAACCTTGATGCTAGCTCCTGTTGCGCTCTTACATGCTTCTACAAACTCCTTCACTGATCTACCTGATAAAATCATGAGCAAAGCACAATCAGAAACAAGGAAATACATGCAGAGAAATGAGTACATAATTGTGCATGTGTTGAGATGATTAGTGATATTTTTAACAACCATGTCCTGTGCCAACATTGTAGATTCCAACTTTGCCAGGCTGAGCTTTATCAAGAGCTTTCACATGAGCATCAACGAGATCCGTGACATCAATATAGTCCCTTATGCAAGTTCCATCAGCTGTAGGGTAATCAGTTCCCCGAACCTAAAGCAGGGTGAAAGTCATATACCATAGTATGTTACCATGTGAAAAGTCAGGACACATGCTGAAGTGAGCATGTTCAGTACCTTCAAACCTGGAATGATTCCCAGTGCTGCATCAAAGCAAGCACCAGAAATCCGTCCATGCTCACGCAGCTCTGGTCGTGGAGCTTCCCCTAACCGCCCCCCTGGGTCTGATCCAATGACGTTGAAGTATCTAATTCAAAAGAAAACGAAGTGAGTTTTCTCTACGAATTAAATTTTAGTATAGGCTATAGGAGAGGCGGACCTTAAGATCATGACTGCCATTTCTGATCTCTTAGAGAAATCTAAAATGATGTCCTCTGCCATCTTTTTTGCCTTCCCATATGGATTGATAGGATTCTGCATTGGTTAAAAGATTGTCTAGAATCAGTGAATTGTGCATGATATTCTTTAAACTTTGAGATAAGAAGTCCATGCATTGATAAGCCAACCTGAGGGGTTGCTTCTGTGATAGGCATTGTGTCAGGTTCACCATATGTTGCACAAGTACTTGAGTATATCAGAGTTTTTACATTATATGCTGCCATTGCCTCAAGCACTGTCAATGTATTTGATGTTATGTTGTGGTAGTACCTGTTATTGCAGTATTAGCACAGATCATGTAATAGTAACAGCATTAACAACAGATTATTTCTGAAGGATACAAAAAAGGAAAACAAATTATCAACTAAAATCACATACATTTACATTAGGCAGTCTTTCACACTAATCTTCACAGTTCAAATTGCTCGTGCCAAAAGTATGTTATCGGCAAAAAATGCCAACATTGAAAAAGATGGAATGCCTATATTTTCCATTTTCACTATATAGTATGTTTTCAATATAGATTGTCATGTTTAGCAGTTTTGTTTAATAATAGAGATAACCAAGAGCAGTTTGCATTGCTCTGAACACATCAAAGGATTGCACATGAACATGCAATATATAAATAACCACCATCTATGTAACATGAATACAAGAACATTAGCACATCAATGCCTTACCTCAGTGGCTCCAACGTGCTCTCACCAACGTAAGCAACGGCAGCAAAGTGCATAACAGCATCGAATGCATTTTCTGAAAATATTTTGTTAACCTGGCTATTGGTTAAGTGCAAAACAGATCACACCAACACATGAATGTATGGAAAAATGGCTATAATAAGGTATTAAAGTTCACATTGTAGAGAAAAAGGATACAGCTTTCGCATCGCCTAAATCAGCATAAATAAACTGAAGCCTCCCAGGCTCTGGAAACAAACGTTGAAGGACTCTGACAGCTCCCATGTTCCCTCTAGAAAGGTTATCCTGTAAAGATCACATGGAAGAAATTGCTGTAACATAAAAGCTCTTTGAGTTAGGAATAAAAACATGAAGCTGGAATAAGAAATTTACCACAATGGTAACTCGGTAGTTGTCCCTAAGTAGACGAAGAGTAGCATGTGACCCAATGTATCCAGCTCCTCCAGTCACCAACACATGAGTCACACCAATTTCATGGCGAGAGAACTATAGAGCATGTGAATGTATCATGAAAACTAGATCAGATGACAATCTGAAATGCTTCACAAAAACAGCTTTGCTTCCAATGGAATTATGAATGTGCTTTATTGGAAACTACGATGGTGCATAGAAAATAACCACTACTAGCACAGAACACAGATAAATGAACAGTGAATTCATCAAATGGAATGGACGATCAATGTGTTTCTTTCAATCATGTTAAAGGAACCTCTTTCTGTCAGACAATATGCGATTGTTCCAAATGAAACTTACGTGTCACAATTAAATCAAGTTTGAACAATACAACAACGAGAAGTGAGGACTCAACAGCAATCAACAATTCGACAGTGAAGTGGGCTAGTTGTGGAGAGATTCGGCACTTACCACACTTGTACTGGTAAAACCAGGCGACTGTTTCAACACAATGATGCACATGACCGTGAGTGCAACAGCTACGGTGAACTTCCCGACGACATTAGGCTTGCGTCTAGAATCACCGAAGTCCATACCTGCAAATGTGACTTGGCAAATTAAAAGTTGTACCGGCAAATTCGGGTGTAAATTCAGAATTTCCTGCCTCCAACTCTGTACTGAAAGCCACCACAAGGTGTACAACATTCACCCATTTGAGGAAATCAGTATTGCATTTACACGTAAGTACAGGTTAGAAAAAAAATTGCTAGAAAATTTGATCGGGCATACACACAGTCGAAGCTAAAATTACAAGATAACACACCTCATTAATTAAAACCTAATTCATGAACAACCCAAAATTGGGGCATATTTATATTTGAAAAAAAAATGGGTGAAAACAAACTGGAATAAGACTGCGCATCAAAAACAAACGAAGGAAATCATCAGGAGCAAAACGGACGGTTAATTCGACTGAAATAAATCAATCAATCGAAGGATTCCTTTGGAACGCAGCACCTTCACGGGAATCCCGTAAGCAATAAGAACCAGACAAAAATTCCCGCGTTGCAAAAAGAAAGTCACCACCAGTCCGGACGGATCTCCAGACTAAACGCAAGCGGGAGAGAGACCGAGAGAGAGATGCATGCAAATACCTTCACCTTCAAGCCGATCCGAACCGAGAGGCGCAGGGCGGTGGAATGAGGCCCCGAGGCCCGAGGCCCAGCCTGCTCGCCGGAGGCGGCCCCGCGCAGCGTGGAGAGGCTAGCTCGGCGACGGGAAGGAGGGGAGGTCGAGGCGGGCGGCCCGTTCGCCGGAGCCCCCGCGGGCGAGGCGGCGACAGAGAGGCGGCGGTGGCTCCGGCTGGCTGCGCAGATCGGAGGAGAGAGAGATGGCGAGAGAGGAGAGGAGAGGAGAGGGAAGGAGAGTAATAGACGGTGGCGCAACAGTTTGGTCCATTTTTACTTCTCGGGCTTTCTTTATTTTCGAAATTAACGTCGCTGTCAGTTACTCGGACCCTACGTACAGTACAGCCATGTAGGGGAATTTTTGAAAAGTCAAATTTGTACTCCCTGCTTTGGGACTAGATTTTAATCAGCAATTACTATAGATTTTGTATCATAGATTTAACGTTAAATTTGTAAGAAAAATATATTTAAAACTAAGTATCGTAAAACTATAATATAAATTTATTGTTGAAGTTATCTAGAAACTACATATTTTGAAGGAGCTTAAATTTCTAGTACTAATGTTATGTTGGTGTTATAAACATTGTAGTTTTGTGATTAAATCAACACTAAATTTATAGGTTTTGTGATAAATTTGCTACATAATCCGTAGTTTTGTCATATTTCATCTTAAATCTGTTTTGTGATAGTTTGATCAAAATATCTTGATCAAAATAGAGTAAATTTACTCTACTTAAAAATTTAATACAAATATAGAAAAATATAAGTTATGCATAAATTACATTTAGTGATATCGCAATAAATGATACTCGTATAGTTTTTTAAGAAGACAAACAGTTGGTTTTATAGGTTTAAAAATATATTTTGTGAGCAAGTAATAAAGGTCAAATTTTGATAATAATGTTCTTTCCATTCTTGACATTTAAATGAATAAAGAATACACCTAGCGTCCCGGGTTTACGTAGGGATTCAATCGTAGAAACAACTTTATGTATTTCCAAAGGATCTACAGTTTGCTTGCGAGCAATATCTACGCAAGAATATATTTTTAGCTTGCCATGGCAACGATAAATAAACTGATAAAGCCATCAAATTTGTGCAAGTCAAAGCTCCACAATTCTGCCACGCTGCTCCTGCGATTGCAAGGCGCCTTCCTCACTTGTTTTACCTTGCCGACCGATTCGTCAGTGCAATTATGTGTGGTGCTGCCTCCAATAAACACAGGTCTCTCTGAATTAAAAATACAGTAATAATAATCTACCAGTAAGTACTTCATCAGTAAAAATACTAAACAACACCAGGAATACGATTCGAATCAGTTCCTAAATACGATAGTATAATGATTCAAACCAATTACGAATCAAATCTGGATACATCGGTGGATCAAGTGTCAGTATTTTGTCGGTGAAAACCAACCATAAATAAACACGAAGAAAAAAAAAAGAAGGATGATGACAGAAGCCTACAAGTATAAACGAGCACTGCTGGGTCGGTTGATTGATTGTTTCAGATTGGCGCGTGCGCAGAGAGAGAGATGGTCAACACTTTCATGCCAAGAGATTTTGAGATTGTACCTAACAATTCCTACTTAAACGTCAGCACTTGAATTTCTTTTCCATCCATTACATCTGTTTCCTCCTCTTTTTTTCTTCTCTATTTATTTATTTCTGGGAATCTTCTGTTCTTGCTCTCTGATTGGGCTTCAGCTATGCATGCACTTGCAAGAGTATAGATCGCATCCTGCCTAACTTGCTGCAAATCACTCGTTTTTCATTTAGTTTTTGATGGATCTTTGTGCGTTTGGAGGAACTGCAATCAAGGAGAAAATTTGGTCAGGCTCAACAGTTTCAGTACTAGTAGTGGTACTAATGGTCATGGGGCAGAATGGCAGATGGCCCACCTCAGAAACAGTACACGTCTTATGATGGGCTCATTGAAATGATGAAATGTTCAATGTTCAGATCAAGAAAATGATTGATGCATTTGATACCGAAGTTAGGTAGGAGGAAACCCAGCCAAGCCGATGATAGCCACGTTTTCAGTGGCGACCAGGCTGAAATGAGATGGGTTAAAAATGAAGGCGAAAGCAGCCAAAACCTGAACTTTCCAGCACCAGAGCACCGTTCAGTCACCTGTCTGATTCCTGCAGCATGTGCTGGTCTAGATTGATGCACATTGTGATGACCCTGTTGTCATGTGCAGTGGCTAACCGGCTGTTCTTGTTGGCATTTGCAAACTGAGCACCAGTTCATCAGCATGGACACATGTCCCAGCTTCTCTGCAGTCTGCATAAGCCCAGGGATCTGTGGAGTCTGGACATCTGTCAAGGTAAATCTCAGCTTAGATAGAACAATTAGATGTAAATAAGCTTCTTTTCCATGGAGGCTCCATCATCTCCAGCTTCGTTCATGGCGATGGCGACGATGGGTTCGCCCATGACACGTCGTTCTCAGATCCCCTGTTGCTGCCTGCACTTTTGTCAAACCATTAGTATGACATTGCAACTACTAGCTCTAAAACACTGGAGGCATAAACAGAAATCGCCTTACCAAAGGATTTATTTTTCAGTTTATGTTTCACCAGATCAAAAGTTAATGAGACAGGAGAAATTGTAAGACTAAAGTTAGCTGTAATAGGCAATAGTTCTGTACTTCTGTACCAGCACTGTACTGCAAGATATGCAATTTTTATTCAAGATTTCTGGTGCGGATAGTTGACTAATCATAGTTTACAATGTCAAAGTGTCCAACACAAACTCATGATTATTTTTAGTACGCCGTACACATTAGTCGCTTTTACTTGGTGCAATCAACTGACCAAGTCATCTCAGACTAGTTCCTGATCAACCAATAGACAACTGTTGGTTTGTTGGGCAATCCAGAGATGCGAATTGAACATATAGATATGCATGCCATGCCCGATAAGTTGCTTCGTGCAAAAAACAGAAGACAGGCAATTTCTTGCTCATGCAACCACTATTATCCTTTAATCCTGACTCCTGAACTTCACTTCTTCATGAAGTTACTTCTTTACCGCACCAGATTCTTTTCCTTATAGTACACCCTCTGAAAACTGTAACAAAAAAAAAACTGGGTCCATCATTGTGATTGAAAAATTTTCACCACTTACAGTTCAACAAGACTGTGAGGGTCTCAGATGTCAGTGAAACCCAGGAAGGCAGGAAGATAGGTGTACTGGCATGATGGATGGTTCAACAATCACATAGTAAAGGAAAGAGGCGAAAAACTATTTTGTAAACACTGTTCCCAGAAAGAAACGGTATGGACGTGAAAAAAAAAAGCAATATCATAAGATGTAAAAGACAACAAAATACCTCATCATGTGCATCTTTCAGGTTGCATGCATGAAATTTAATGGCAAGAAGGTCCAGATTCAGAAGAAAATGATGGGAAGGCCAGAAGGCAAGACTATAAGAGTGAAGATCAGCTGCAATTATATACATTCTCTTCAGATATTTCACATTTTCAATCTCATAGTGGACAAAAGATAGTTACTTTTTGTAAATAATTATCTAATCTCACAAACTTACCAAAACGAACAATACCTTTCCCAGCTTCACACAATCCCGATCTATATTAGATCCTGATCACATACAGCCCTAGTGAAAAGGTCTTGGCCATTATAAGACCCCAATAGTACCAAGCTACCATATCAGAAATATTACTATTTGAATATTTGAGTTGTTCCATAAATCACTGGCATGAGACCACAATCTAGCACATTGATGTAACAAGTTTTGTCCAAGTACCCACCCGAGGAACGAAACCTTGCTCCACCATTTGCTTCAAGACAAGATGCGCGTCGTCTAAACAGTTTACACTACAGAGTCCATCTATCAGTAACTTGAATGATGAGAAACCGGGCCTCATACGTTCTGCCCTCATCATGCTAACAAGGCCCTTTGCCTCTACAAACTTTCCTGAGCTCAAAAGACCATCAAGAAGTACCTGATATGTCCCTGAATTGGGATAGCATCCCTTAGGAACCATTGACTTAAACAAATTGAATGCCTCTGTTACCCTTTGTTCTCTGCAAAGACCAGCGATCAAAATATTGTAGACAACTGCATCTGCAACAATATCCTCCTTCTGCATTCTCTCACAAAGCTCGAATGCTTTGTCCACCTGACCATGTTGACAGAGGAAATTCATCAATGTAGAGTAGGTCGTCACATTAGGCACGCAACCTTGCTTCGGCATCTCATACAACAGCGAAATCGCATCGCCAAATTTGCCGAACTGACACAAGCCCTTGACAAGAATATTGAAGCAGCAGGTGTCCAATGTCACTCCCAACCTTGACGCGCTCAAGTAGACCTCATGGACAACTTCGTACTGCCTCTTACACACAAGCATGTGAAGAACATAGTTAAAAGTCTTGGTCGACGGCCAACAGTTATACCCGGGCATCGCAAAGAGAGTCTCGATTGCTTTCTCGGGATGGTTCGCCACATTGCCGTACATCTTGATCAGCCTGTAGAAGAACTCATCAGAAAACCTGAACCTCTCAGCTCTTGCCCTGGCCAGCAACTCCTCCACATCACTGAACCTCCTGCAGGATGCTAGCCTGTCGATCATCATGCTATAGAGTGCCTCATTGGGCTTGTAATCCCTTCTATCACAAGCTCTCTTGAAGGAACTGGTAATAAGGCTAGGATCCCTGATGTTCGCGAAGATCTTGAGCAATTCGTTGGGGGAAAGCCAATCCTTGTGGTCCAACCTACCGATCCAGTATCCGTCGTCGCACACCGCGGAGCGCAGCCTCAAGAACGGCGGCAACGATCGGCGCGCCACGGCTCTCGACATGCTGTTGGCTGTGGCAAGAACAAGAAGACATGAACAGTGTGGGTTTGAAAGGCGGGCGCAAGATAAGCGAGGGAGGAGAGGGTGGGGGGGGTGAAGGAGTAGTACCTTGGCTGGCGGGAGGTGAACGGTGAACCGGAGTTGGGGTTTGAGGATTCGGGCGGCCGGCGGCGGGGGAGGAAGAAGAGAAGGAGGCGGTGGTTGCCACCGCGGGCGACAGCGGCGATGTGGTGCGCGGACTGGACCAAGATGGTGGGCCTATGGTGGGCCTTGGGCTCTTTCTTACCAAAAAGCCCAAGTACGATAGTTTTTTTATAGTTTATAAAGTTTTGTGCTGAGCTATTATACGAAGTGACCGCGTGGCCTAATGGATAAGGCGCTCGCCTCCGGAGCGGGAGATTGTGGGTTCGAGTCCCATCGTGGTCGTTTTTTTCTCTTTTTCCCATCGTGGTCGTTTTTTTCTCTTTTTCCCATCGTGGTCGTTTTTTTCTCTTTTTTTCTCTTACAATGTTTTTGAACGTTGAATTCCTAACAGGAAAGGATTCACATGGTGGTAATTACGATGTAGTACTACATTCAGCAATGAGCCTCTCTAGACTCTACTAGGAATATGCATGCAAATATCTTGATAGTTTTTACAAAGTAAAGATATAAGGGGTTGTTCAAATTTATGTCAATTTAAATCTTATTATTTTTTTAAGTTATCAAAGATGTACATATATTTAGTCCTTGCACTGTGTTTTTAAAATCAACTACTAATTCCATTTCAAAATAGATGACACCATTAATTTTTCTCGTAATGTTTGATCACTCATCTTATTCAAAACTTTAATATAAACATGTAAAAGTATAAGTTACTATTATATTTTTTATTTGATGATAAAACAAGTTAAAGAATAGATAATATTTATAGTTTTAATAAAACGAACGACCAAGTTATGTGAAAAGTCAACGGTATCATACTTTTGAAATAAAGAAAGTATAACATCCATACTACTATAAAAGACAATAGTGATGGTGGTGGCTTTATCACCAGCCCAGCACCACTACTTTTGCACATTATGTAATAGTTTAATAGTTGGTTGAATCAAATGAACACCATATATATTTTAATAAGTATGGACATTTTACCCATAGCAAAGCATGGGTATTTTGCTATTAAAGTTATAATATATGCTCACCTAAGAAGCATGAAAATGAGTGTTTGTGACGAACCGCATCCTACGATGTCGAGATTATTATCATAGTGAGGCTAGCTCTGTAATAGATGGTTGAATGAACTTGGCCAAACTTCTCTTCTTCTTTTTTATAAAATGCCAAGTCCCACCTCCCATGGTCGATACGTGTCCTAGTGTGTTAGCATTGGATAAAGAAAGTATCTTCATAAATAACTCAAACCTCTACTGCATAAACACACACAAAGCTGGGGTTTAGGTGCTATGCATATCGCTCTTCCTTTCCAAGATATCTGTGAGAATGTGACCCCTTCTCACTGCACAGCCGCCACACCCATCAATCTTGGGCAATTAAAAGTCAAAAATTTATGCATATCCAGGATAATCACTAGAAAATGGGACATGACCTAATAGCATTATGTTACGATCGCAGGCGTCACCCGATGAGAAACTGATGATCGACCACTATTAGACATCGGGTTATTAGAGGCGATCCAAAAACCCCACTAGAGATGGTTTTGTGAATTGTCTATGCACGTGCGTCATTGCAATCTGCCTTAGACATATTTCAACAAATAAGTCAGAAAAACCTACCCACATAATCTACTTACCAGAGATAGTAAAAAAACCGCCTTAGACATATGTCTTGTCAATACAATTATGAACGAGGTACAATATTATATTATATATATTTACAGACAATTATGTCCTATGAGGATTTCTTATTTAATATTTATGGTTTTATGGATCTATCTTATGACTATATCTCTAGAATTAATTAGTACTCCACCTCAAACATCATGTCCTAGCTAGGCCCGTTCGGTTTATATTATTGAGTGGATAAAATTGACATATATTATTTACTTAATTATAGAGATAGAATAAATATTTTAAAATATAAACTTAAAAAATATCATCCTAAGATATAAGCATTAGTGGCTATGATTTTAGACATACATTTATCCAGATTGATAGCTAAAAATAGTTATATTTTAGGATAAAGGCAGTACCTTAAAACAAGTGGTCTAAACAATCCAATACAAGGATGCATTTTTGAAGCGTTGAGCGAATAATCCATTTGCATAATCCAGCGAATATGTTGTTGTATGTATCGGACATTGACAATATTATCTGTAGAATATAGCTTTAATCTCCAATTTTTATTTAAAAAATATGTTATATTTGAAAAGATAATGAAATTTGTGATCGTGTTTGGATTCAACCCGAGTTCAAATCCTGGTTACAAATAGAAACATTTACGCTTAGAATCGACCTATAGAGACAGGGTCCTCGTGTATTAGACACAGGTTGCCTGTTTGGTAGAGCTCTAACTCCTAAATTTAGCTCCAGGAGTTGGGTCTAGAATGGAGTTGTGGAGCTGCCTAAACCCAGCTCCACCTCTCTAGTTCATTCTATGAGAGAGCTCCACCTAACTCTGCTTCTATTTTAGGTGGAGCTGGAGTTGAAGCTGTGCCAAATAGGCCCTTAATTAAGGCACGATTCATAGGGGATAGCTCCTGTCATCCTGTGCAGGGGACCTGCTTCTATGGCCTTTCTTGAATCCAAATTTAGGTATTTCTTATTTGAAATACCTTGGGTAGGTATTTAATTTCCCTTAAAGCCGAGGGTTTCTTTAAAAAAAGAAATGAAATTTCGATATTTTGATAGTATTGTTTTTCAATAGAATTTTTTTTTCATGTTTTCAATCTACTCACTCCTATTCAGAGAAGTACTGACAGCAATGTTTAACCCCACCTAACCCAAAATCACTAATTTTTTGTACTCAATGGAGTATCTTGCTAGATTTTCCAATTAAGCACATAATCGTACATGCATGCATGTACATTCCACAAAGGATGTATACATGCATACTCCAGGAGTATTAGTGATGTCATCCGCAGGGATATGGAACTGTCACTTCTTCAGAGACTTCAGTGAAAAGTAACACTTGTTTAAGAACAGAGATATCCTATATCCAACGTCGCCGCAGGTAGTGGAGTTTACAGAAATCTTTTAACTTGCTAGTGGACGCACGACGCATGTTGGGGCGAAACTGCGTATGAAAATTTTCGTTATCTTCCCCAAATTTTCCACCCATATCGTGCAGGTATTCCACAGACCAAGGATACATATATTATGCATATTTATGCACGTGATTACACTGCATAAACAAACAGTTAGTGGGACTGTAACAAGACAATCAAGCAAAAATAGGTTGTGTCTTACGTAAGAGTAATAATTAACACAGACACAGCTAGCTCGTATTGTGGTTTAATTGTGGATTCCTACTCAAACTACACACAATGAACAGATTAATTTGGAGTAGTAGTGGAATGCAGTGAATATAATCATGTACTACAGCAGTATATTATGCAAGTAGTCCACTTCTTCAGGGTTCAGGGGTTGCCTTTTACGCCTGTATAAATTGGTACTCTTGCGTAGTTTACAAGCAGCTCAAAACACTTAGCTAGCTAGCTCACAAAAGCATCAGAGTTAACGTACACTCATCTAGCTAGGGAAGAAGAAGCTAACTAAGCCATGGCTTCTCGTGCATTTGCTGCAGTGTTTGCAGCAGTAGCACTTGTAGTGTGTTCTTCAGTCTTGCCTCGTGCTCTGGCCTCTGACCCGAGCCAGCTCCAAGATTTCTGCGTTGCTGACAAACTCAGTGCTGGTATATATATACAAACTCATTTCATCAATATATATGTTGCTACGTGTAAATTACAGGGATATGTCAGGTGCTAATTAAGTCACGGTATTGATAACAAACTTGTTATTCGCCGTTTAATTTAAACGGCTTACTGCATATTCTTTTCAGCATCATGCAGTTGGGTACGTTTTATTATAACAACATAACTTGCAGCAACCCAACTAGCCAGCCCGTTGGACCATATATATATTTGTCAAAAATACAGTAATGAAATGAGAACAAAAATACACCATCAAATTTGTGATGAGAACATTTTTGAGACTGTATACATTTACTGCACCACATTTTTCATCAGAAAACACTTAAATTTTCCAAGGCATGGTATTTTACCAGCATATTGAATCATATAAGGAACTTCACGTATGTATCATCTCGGTCTTTAATTTGCAAAATTGTAATGCAGTGTTTGTGAATGGTTATGAAACTTTGACTACAAAATCCAATAAATTTATAGTATTATGATATTACTTTTCAAAGAAAATCTACGTATACCATTCCTTATGTTTTTAAAACAATCATTTAAAAAAGATATTTTTTATAGTTTTTGAGATGGTACTAAAAATTTAGAACTGTAAAATTTCTCTTTGAAAAAATATTAATGATCAAAGTTTTAAATGTTTGACTAAATCTTATCATAAATGTCAAAGAGGTTTGACCAAAGTATTAATCTATGAACAATAAATTGCAAATGCAGTGTTCGTGAATGGTTTCGTGTGCAAGAACCCAAAGCAGGTGACGGCGAACGACTTCTTCCTCCCTAAAGCCCTCGGCGTTCCAGGCAACACCGTGAACGCACAGGGCTCCGCGGTAACCCCTGTGACGGTGAACGAGCTGCCGGGCCTCAACACGCTCGGCATCTCGTTCGCCCGCATCGACTTTGCCCCCAACGGGCAAAACCCGCCGCACACCCACCCTCGTGCCACCGAGATCCTCACCGTCCTCCAGGGCACCCTCCTCGTCGGCTTCGTCACATCCAACCAGCCGGGCGGTGGCAACTTGCAGTTCACCAAGCTGCTCGGCCCCGGAGATGTCTTCGTCTTCCCGCAGGGTCTCATCCACTTCCAGCTCAATAATGGCGCCGTCCCGGCCGTCGCCATCGCCGCGCTCAGCAGCCAGAACCCTGGGGTGATCACCATTGCTAATGCCGTGTTTGGATCCACCCCGCCCATCCTCGACGACGTCCTCGCCAAGGCGTTCATGATTGATAAGGATCAGGTCGACTGGATCCAGGCCAAGTTCGCCGCGCCACCGGCTGCCTCTGGTGGTGGCGGTGGCTTCATTGGCGGCGGCGGTGGTGGCGGCTTCCCCGGCGGCGGCGCGCCATAGACGGCCTCATTCTCGACGCGCTTAGCAATGCATGCAAAGGCGGCGTCGTCGTCATGCATAATGCATGTTACTATCTTATAAAACCTTTATTACACATGTAAGCTGCGTGTCTACGTGGCTTGACACGTAGGATACATCTCGATCGTGTCCAATAATCTGGTGAAATCGCATCAGTGTATTATGCTAAAAATGTTACACCTCTTTATGAAATAATAACAAAGTTGGATATTTATGTGCTGCCTATGCACAGGAATAGCAAATATGATTGGAGTCTGGCAGAAACGTAGGTGCAAAACTTATTTATTCCCTTGAAAATACAGAGGTTCAGCAACATGACCAACTCTGAACTCATACAGAGTGAAACTGAGCTGCTAGACACGCCGTTTGATGGACAACACAGATGACAACTCAAGACATCTAGCATCCAAAATTGCAATAACGGCCGGACATGTTTATTTCGAATGCTAAATGTTACAGAAGAATAGATCATGAGAACAGTGCTAAATTTGTTCCTTTTTTGGTGATCTAGTTAGCAATGGCTTCATGTTCTGTTATCGCAACCAACGGAGATTCCCAGGGTAAGTAGGACTCGAGGAGCTGTAGAGGCCATTCCATTTGTTTCCTTTGAATATTGCAATCTACAAGGAACAGTAGCATGCACCCCTTGTTTTCCAAACCTGCAACACTATGACCTTGACAACACACCTTTTGAGCTGCGATCAAGTCAAGAAAGATACGTTAATGTTTCAATATCAGCAAAGGTCAGAGATAAACCATATGCTTAGCAGGTGTGAAGTTTTTGAATCAGGCATCAACAGTGTAGTTGGGCACAACATAGAATTTCCTAAACGCTATTTGCAATAAGCTAAAACGAACCTGGGGACAGTGCCGCGTCGGCGCAAGTCATATTCTGTTGCTTGTCGAAGGGCTCTAGCAAATGCTTTGAAAGTTGCCTCAATAATATGGTGTGAGTTTTTTCCAGCAAGCTTCATAAGAGCAAAGAAAAGGCAGGCTCAGGTATGATATACGTACTTCTTAGCTCGCTTAACTGGAGGAAAAGCAAAGATTGACTCTTATGTTCAACTAGGGATGCAATTTATTCAGTGCCAAACAGCACTCTTGTAATAATGATCCAACACTGGATGGAAATTTGATCTGAAGCAAAGCAATATGTACCTGACGGATGTGAAGTGTCATCCCAGATGTATTCACAAGAGATTGGAAAAAGTGCTCAACTAGCTGGTCATCAAAGTGAATAAATCAATAGCTGTCTAAGATGATAGCAGGAGTATACATGACTGAAAAGATAGCATGGCATCGATGATAAAAAAAAAAGAAGTATTATTTAAATATTTCATCAAAAAGAATTGTCCAATGATAGGAAGAACGTCAGAGGATGAATACGAATGATGCAAGACAACCCAATAGCCATGTCACATTAGACGATTAAGGATAAGCCATATTGGATCTGGCATGACGAAAAGAAACCATCACAAGTTTTTCCCAAAAAAAAAGGATAATAGCTACATAATTTCAGGAATTACCTGAGTATCGTATGTGCCAACTCTCTCAGTCGGAATACTTAAGCCGCAACTCAAATGAGGACGACCAGATAGATCCTAGATATGGGGGAATAGTAAATAATAGAGTAAGTCACATTATCAATTAGCCTGACTGATGAAGTGGTAGACATGGATATCCGCACTAACAAAAAAAATTAAGCTAAGATGAACCCAAAATGGCAAATAATTGGTGTATATATGACAAAGGCCAGATGACTGCAGTCATCTTCTTGCTAATGACGTTATAGTGTGATAGATGGGTCTGTGCTACAAAAACATTACCATTCAGTGCAAGTGTTCAAATGCCATTAGTGCAGATGGGCCAGTAAACCAGAACGATAGATACTCATGACAATTATAATATCATTAAAAACTTCATGACTAATTGCAGGACTCTAACTCAATTATGTGCTTGCATGGCATAAGAGAATTATGGCCACATGAATACAAACGTAGAAATGCAGGGAAGTATATACATTTGCAGTATGTAAACGCAATGCCAGGATGATAGCATGTACCAGTATAACCTCAACCGCTGCCTCATCAAGTGGTGCTGTAAAATGCCCAAACCGATTAATTCCTTTTCGATCTCCAAGTGCTTCAAGTAGTGCCTACAAGTACCAAAAATAAAAAAGCAATCATACTAGACGTTTTGCTTACCTACACAGCTTGCAGACATTTACAGTACTGATGATTCAGCATGCAATCAACAATGTAAATAGTGTGTTGATAACGCGTTCAATTTTGCACAAATGAAGGGGGAAAAGAAGTATGAAATTATGGATACCCTAACCTTCAATTCATAATGATCCTACAAGTATTTCTAGAAGCAGAAATGATAAGGTGAAAGCAACAATTACCGTTCCAATTGCCAAAGCGATGTCTTCGTTTGAGTGATGGTCATCGATGTGAGTGTCACCCTTTGCCTTAACACATACGTCAAAGAGCCCATGAGATGCCAGTTGCTGTAAGTTATAGACACAGAATTAATGGCCAGATTTGACTAAAAGAGCATATTTATGCAGCATGTGTAAAGACTGGTACCTACAAGAGAAACATATACAATAGTAGAACCATTCAAAATGCAGAAAACTAGACAAAAACACTTCTTTCGAATGAAGCGCTGGCAATTTGCTACACGCAACTGATGTTGATAATTTTGCGTGATTTCTCTTGAAATATTGATTCGAGGTTAAAGGACTTGGTCACATGAAGTGGTCATTTATCATGCTCGTGGAATAACCAAAGCCATACATGAGTTAATAGGTGGAAGTTACATGTATCACATCATACCAGGAAAACAAAACTAAATAGCATTTCCCAAATAGTGAACTAATTGCTTGATAGAACAGTTCTTAGCGAACAGCAGCTAAAACACGTGGAACTTGAAAAGCGGCAGATTTTTTCCAAGTAGGACCTATTCAGGCTTTAATGGCCCCAACACATCACTTTCTCCCAACAATAATAAGATTGCACCAGTGGCACTCAAAAACGTCTGAAGTGAATGCAACTTAAGAGCGTCTATTCAACCATTTAGTGGATTTGACCTAAGATGTTTTCGTTAGTTTAATAGGTATTGTTTCCCCTTCCGCACTAAGCAATTGCTTTTCCTCTTCGAATGGTTCAACTGATATTCTTGCTTTAGACAAGCCCCTAAGTCAAAAACCAAACATTTCTACACACAACAGTATACAAGCACATTCTATCTATATAGGAGAAATCCTCATTCACAATCGCTGCCACAGGAAAACCATACTTACATCGAGCATGTGATCCAAGAAAGGTATCCCTGTGCTGCAATCGGCAACACCAGTGCCATCCAGGTTGATCTTCACATGCACATTCGTCTCCTTGGTCACCCTCTTGACTTCTCCTATCCTGGACAACGCTGAGAATTCCGAACACAAACCAGAGTTTAAAAAATCAAATTAAATAGGATTAGCTTTCACAAAAGAGAGTAAGAACTCTTGGAATAGCTACTGCTACTGCCTACTGCTAGTGGAGATGTCAAGCATAGCATGGTAGCAAATCACATGAAGCGCAACAGAACAAAAGCCTAATCGACGACGCAGAATCCACCTGTGGAGTCCTCCGGCGCGGAAGGAGAGCCGTTCCCGGCGGCGGCGGCGGAGGCCATAGCAGGCGGCCTCAGGTGGAGCGAGAGACCGTGCGGCCGAGCGGGGAGGGCGACCCCAGCCCTGGACAACCACGACGACCCGGAGACTCGGCCGGCCGGCGAGGGGGACACGCGCGAGAGGGAGGGGGAGACGAACCGCGCGGTGGTCATCGGCGTCGGCGAGAGCTCGCCGCCGGCGCCGCCGGTGACCGCGGGGGAGTGGAGGGGATTCGGGTGGTGTGGACTGCCTTGCGTTTGTTGGGCCTCCGCCCGCCCTCGTAGTCATTGGCTCATCCCGTAGTTGGGCCGGGCTTACATTTTAGGCCCATCTAGTGATGGGCCATAAGCCCAGGAGAGACACCAGGAGTGTTTGAGGAGGATTAGAGAAGATAGGTAAAACGAGTTAGAATCATTAGCAGTTTTTGATACTTAAAAAATAAATTGATATGATTTTTAAAGCAGTTTTTGTAAAGAATTTCTTTAAATAAATATTATTTAGCAGTTGTGGAAACGTGCAGGTGAACAATGCGCTTAAAAGAATCTTATAAACTTTTAACACTGATGTGACAAAATGTGATTATATATTGATTAACTGTAAGTACCAACTGATTAAATCGAACGACGGTTGAGATTTTTGTTTTTAAGAATTTAATAAATATGTATATTTCTCTTTAAATTGAGTAGATCCTTGCTAATGTAAAGTAGAGGATTGCTAAAAAAAAATTCTGAGCGTTAAATTTCTTGCAAATTTTGAACTTGTTTAGGCCCATCCGTACTACATGACTTTAATTAACTGGAAACACCTAATCCACATTCCAAACAGGGTCTACTATTAGAAGCATGTATTTAAAACGAAATAAATACAGGTTAATGTCATCCTGCTGGTAGTTGCATGTATACTACTACTCGATAATACCACAATCCTATACCGGCACGTACCAGGCGAGTATAATTGTCCAGAACTATATATAGCTACATCTAACCATATTTAGGAGTGATGATTACATATGCAGCAAATTAATTAACACCAATAGTTAATCACCATTCTTAGCATGCCAAATACCCGGCCCCTTCATAGCAATGAAATGATGAACAGTCCATTATCTCCTCCTATTAGTATCTTTCACTATCACAATGAACAGTGCTAGCTTCTCCTTCCATCTCATTTTTCTTTTTAGGGTGGAGGAGATAGAGAGAGCCATTCAAGGTGCATTAATTGCAACAGTTGGAGCAAATTGACATGCACTGTATACACAAGCCTGCTCTTTCTGTCTTAAAGTAAATTAATTTCTCAAACCCAAATTTGGACTTTAAATATCAAGAATCAAGAAGTTGTATTCTTAAGTATCTTCATCTATCCAGCGGTCAATATTATTTTTATTTTTCTATGTTAATGAAGGATGTTATAGTTTTTTATTAAAATTTATATCTAGATACGAGAGTTTGATTTATTTTATGACGGAGAAGAAAGAGGGAGTACTCCATCCTCCAACTCCAACTGCAGCCAAATGGATTTGGTGGAAGCTTAGATCACCAAGGGTTGATAAATGTGCATGTGTTTTGTTCCTTTGCAAGCATGGGGGGTGCATTAAATCCATAAAAACGACCTCACCCCACCTCTCCCTTCCTCCTGTGTGTGCATAAATTTTCAACTAGGAACCACTCTGCATTCATGGAACCATTAATTGTGCAGGCTTATTATTGAAGACTTGTACTTTTCCTACCTGCTGCTTGCTGCTTTTGTAGGGAGTAATGAACTTGTCTTCTGACTCTTCTCTCTCTCTCTTCTTTCTGCTAATCCTGAATATCTCCTCACATTATCCATGCAAATTAAACACAAATTATACAATTATGGAGATGTTTTTGCCATCAGCATGATGACAGTCATCAACTAGCACAGGTGCTGTGCATGCATGCATCTAGTCAATCTTTCTCCAAGCTTACAAGTCACAAGCTTAGAGCAAGTATAAAAGTATAATAGTAGGTTATAAGCCGACTAAATGTTGAGGTGGAGGAGAAAAGAGAAGAGAAGCGGTCTGTAAATTTACAGTCGGCTTAGACACAAGAACCAAAAAACTCTGTGTGAGAGACAAGTGTCCTATATTAATCGTAAAGAGCTAATTATTATATGGATGGACTGAGAGAAGTCTTAAAAAAATCTTATAGCCAACAAGTCAGCTATATTATTAGCCTCGCTCTTAATGGAGTTTGTAGAGAACTTGCAATAGCATATTTTAGAGCAACTTTTCAACCTTGTAATAGTAGTTAATTTATTTAATTCGGACGAAAAGACCTACTAGGCATGATCAGTCAAAGGTTCTCCAAACCTACAAGTCACAAGGTTGAAATAGTTTTTCAGAGAATTTGCAACCCATGGAATATAAATTCTAAAACCTTATTAGTACACTGCAGAACGACAGTGCTGCTCATGACTCTGTATTACCAGTTTGACGTGGATCCATCATCGGATAATTAAGGAGTTCGATTGTAGCATCAGGTACAGAGATAACTAACGCCTAAGCAAATGGGACTGGTTCTGGTTCAGTATCACAGTTTTTTCAGACGAAAATTATGGGTGTCACACAAGTACAGAATTGATATTCTGAACATGATGCTGCAGTGTTTTAATTGGGCTCTGCAATTAACTGCAAAATTTTGGTACTACAATGACTGAAGAATACTGCTCCACTACAAGCAACTACTGCTTGCCAATGCATTTTTCTGTTAATTAACAGAAGCAAGCTACACTGCTCTGGAGTACGTACTTGTTGCAACAGTAGTAATTAATTCCTCGTTTTAATTAGCAGCGTAGCGAGAGTACGTTCGTCCTGCAGACTGCATATACGACTACTGGCAATGGCAATAATCAATGTTGGGTTTTCAGCATTTGGACGAAAAGCATACGTACGCTAATTAAGCTACAATTGTTCTTTTCGTTCATTTATTAATATTACTTTTTTGCTTCTGGTCTCGATCGATCAATCGATGTATATCAATTGGAAGAACGGCGTTGCAAATGCTGCTGCAGTTAATTGAATCTGTACCACTTGGTTCGGTATAGAGACAGTACTGTCCATCCAGTTGTTGATCAACTTGACCTCTGAACAAATCAGCAAATTTGTTTGGTTTAATTGCAAGCAGATAGAAGTCTATGTTTTGTACTGTGTATTGATTTGTTTGGTCTTAGTCTACTACACTAGTTAAAAGTATATTACAGGTGGGCAATCAATTAGTTTTAATTGTTGATTTATTAAGTTGTGCCATGCAAGTTGAGAAATGGGAAACCATATTCAACCTCATATTTTTTTTCTTTCTAAAATAATGAGAAGCCATGCATTCAACTTGTGAATTTCTTATCCATTTCAGTGGGTGAGAGTCAGCCTTCAGCATGTCATGATCTCTTTTTTTTTTCCTTTTTGACACATTGACTACTACAATTATATGAAGTTTAGTTTTTCAGAGCCGCATAAGAGGACGAGTTTTTTGTTCTCTAGTCAGTTTGATAATGAATTAAACAGGGATTTTAATTAATAATATGAACACCAATTCAGTACTCTCGATACAGCTGGGCCGTGCATGCATCATATTGCATCACTGTGCTCGATTTGCAAGCTGTGCTTATTGACGGTCAAATTGAGCCGACACGCACCGGCAAATGAAAGATATCTCTGATAATCTCGCTTAATTTCACGAAAGTGAGAGATGGACATTAATTGTAACTACCACTAAATCTGAATAGATCCATTTTTTCACCGTCTCAAATCTGAATGTCAATATCTGGTCGAGTGACCTACGGACACGCGTAAATTTTATACTATCATTTTGGAAGAAATTTTTGTTGAAACATCAGCGTTACTCCAAATAGAATTCTTCCCATGATCACTCCCTCCCTTCCTCTTAAACCGACTCCTAAATATTTTTTAGACAATAAAATGGAAATAGTTTAGGGTGTGTTTAGTTGGATGGATGAAGCTAGATAGGAGATAGCTGTAGGGGTATAAATGGGTCAGCCGCGAACCCACTTATAGGTCAAAATAATCGGGTTCGTGGCTTATTTTAGCTTATAAGTAGGTTTCGCTGGTTAGCCACTTACACCGCTAGATAGCTGGCCGATTTTTTTTTAGAGGCCAAGATAGATGCGGTCCACAAAAGATAATATTTCCTCAATATACTGGATAAGTAGAATCCGGCATATTTAGCCGGATGAATCCATCCATGTTTTGGTATTTGGGTGACGTGGCATATTCCGATTTGGCTATGGTTGATTTGATTTTATGTTAGCAAATTCCAAATGATTGTTTTTCTCCTAAACCGTTTGTCTAATTTGTGATCCGATTATACCTTTATATTTACTACAATTAATTTTTTAAAATAATATATCGGATGAAAAGTGTACATGCATTTTCCCCTCACGGTGCGCACGAACATGAGAGAGTAGAACGGTATTGATTCTACAGTGGTGGAGTCGTGTACGTATGATCCTGTTCACCGTAATTTAAATCTTGAGTAAATTACATCCGCGGTACAACAACTTGGTAGGTGGGAACGATATAATGTAAGAACTTGAGAATTGAACGTCCGAGTGTTACAACTTAACAAGTGGGTGCGTTCTAGTAAAAAACTTGACAATTTAGTATTTTGGTGAATCAATTTGGCTAAGCATATACTAGGTGAGGTTTTTCACGATGTCAATATGCCAATACACAGTAATCCTATGGATATTACCTTATAATATTGAATTTAATCTTTAAGAATTATATTGCACATACAATTTACATTCAGTTACCTTTAAGAATTTTTTGTTTTCTTCACCTTCTCAAATATCAACCGAAATATAATAATTTCTACATCCAGTTTAATTGACTTTCAGTTATTAGTTATTAGAGTTATTAGTTATTAGGATAAAAATATAAATATGTTTACAAATCCACGCTAGTATATTGTCAAGTACTTAAAATTTTGAATTTATATAAAAAATGCTCCAAATAATTAAGTTGTCACAACTTCTTAATTTATTGTATCAAAATCGTACCTACCTTGCAAGTTGTTGCATTTATATGATCACTTATAAAGTTATTATACTTAATGCACCTTCTTACTAAGTGTAGCACCAGCAACGCTCATTTTTCACGTTATTACACCAAATAGCACCCCACCTGCGCAAGTTGTTGCACCGTGGGTGCAATTCACTCTTAAATCTTAATGCTTATATATATCATATATATCATATATATCTATATATATATATATATATATATATATATATATATATATATATTTGTCTTACAAAAGTACTATAATGATACTAAACATGCATTTAGTTATCGCATATATCATAATAAAAATACATAACTAACGATATATTTCGGAGCCCGTATCATTGTCCAAAAGACAAGACAAGAATTATGAAACTGAAGGGAATTGACGTATATTAGTGTGTGAGAGTGTAGGTCTTCCTGTAAAAAAAACAGTAAATATTAGAGAATTACCTAATATCAAATACAAGCCGGCTAACTCACCACCCTGTGGAGCTATCCGGAATACCCCGTGTATTTCTAGGTGGGTCTTCCCAGTAAAACAAAACACGTTGAGAGCACACATGTCAACTCGGTGCATCCCCCACAGAGAATCCTGCATTAGCATTGCCTCGCATTAAATGCGAGGATAACCAAAGGCCCAAACAATCCGTTCATTAATAAGTGCAGTCCAAGTATCAAGAAGTTGATCGCATTTAATGGCTGTTTAACTCGTGAGTGTGAAGATTTAGGAAGCTACTTTTCCCATGAGCATTCAGTCGTTGGTGGTTAATTAATTTGGTTTGTTGGAGGTCGTTTTACCTGGCCCTACATCGAACCAATATTGTTTTTAAATTAATTATTAATGCACCTTAACATACTGTTCCAGAAGATAATTCGTCCAACGTAGCAGAAAATAAAATCAGAGTACGTACTGTACGCAGAAAAGGGAAATGGAGAAGATGATTATTGTAACCCTGTTCAAAGCTTTTTTTTCTAAAAGAAAAACGAAAACATGTTTCTGAATTAACCGAAAATAATTTTAGCATAATAATTATATTCTTCTATCCTAGCAATCTATAACCCAGCTGAGTTACGAAAGCAGTTGAAAACCTTCTATGTTAATTCTAAAAATTATTTCCTCTGTTCGAAAGTATAGCTAACTTAGTTAATACTCCAACTGTTAGGAGTATATTTCGGGATTAAAGGAGTAGTTCCTAAAAATACAGGTCAAAACACATGTGGAAATATTTTCTGCTTTTCAATCAAAGGTTAGATACATGCCATGTATTTATGGTCAAGCTAATGTTAGGAGAGATTAATGGGAGGAAAAGAATTCTTCATCTGTAAACTCAAGTACAGCTAACTACTCCCTCCCAGCTACTCTGGTACTCCTACATAATTAAGACGTTGATCTGATTCGAAATATCAAAAGTTGCAAACGGGTTTAAAGAGAGACAAATCCAGCGTACTGAATACTACTGAATAGTGTCTTGCAAATTGCAATGCTTGTCGATTCAAATTCAATGTGATCAAGCGAGAGGTTGATCCAGCTTGCGTGCAAATAAAGATCGTCTTCTTCACAGGTTGGTTGCCCATTAAAACCTTTCTATTTTCCTGTACTAGTTATGGAAAACAATCTTCGCTTATTTAATTCGTGATTAGACCCGTTGTGATTACAATATTTGTACAGCTTTTATAACAAAAGATACGTGCACGATCCTTTTTTTTTCTCCATCTTAATAATGTCGACCTGCTGCAATTGAAATATTGAATCGTTTAGCAATCTGAAAATTGATAGCAATGCGTACCTGTTCTTACTTGCGAGTTGTCTGAATTGTGAACTTCATCAAAGACATATTGTTTTAATTTTTAGAGTGAATTGATGACACCCTATTTGGCCACTAAAATTTTACTGTCATATGCCTGAACTATTTTTTCTTCAATATTCGGATCATATCATTATTAGTAAGATTATACTTCCTTAATATTGGTGTGGGTTGCCACAAATTTACGGAATTGGATCACGAATACATGCCATTTGGCATATCAGCACCATCTTTATAATATTACCACCATTTTAAAATATAGATATTTTTACATGTTTTTAAAAATATATACGGACATCCCTCCATTTTCTAATTTGGAACAAAGAGTAATTAAAAAAATCCTAAAATTGCAATATTATGAAAACAAATTTCTATCTATCTATCTATGTATCGATTGGCAATGTATTCTATGCACGCACCAGCCCTCATGCACTAATGCAATCAACCCTTTAATTTTAATACAAAGGATATAATTCAGCCAGAGCGTTTGTATAGAAAGCCATCACACATCTCCTGTTACAACTTCGCAGATAACCGCTCGTTGTATTTCCTCTTCTCTGTCCAACTCCCTTGGATAGTTGGATCTATCCCCAAATCCCTCTCCGTGCGGCAGGGCTAGAGGGTGACGACGGTGGCATCTTGAATCCCTATGTCGACGAACACGCCATCTATCTATCTATCTACCTATCTATCATCTTGTCTATAAAAGAGTGTAGAAAGTAGATATATTAGACTGTTTAAAAGAATATATATCTAGTGTGAGAGTGCCCTTTACGTTAACAAAAAGATATGGTACTAACCGTTGATTAAGTTGATTGTATTATCACGGCTATATATCATATTGAGATTTAGTGTGATATAAAACATGCCATTATACATGGAGTCTTGAGTTTAAGTTTTTTCCAAAGTTCAATAATTTGTAACTAATAAATATGAAGTTGTACCACTTAGAATTATGCTCTCAATTTATTATGAAATTAAAATTAATAATTATCATATTATAAATGACATGGACTCCCTTTTAAATCTAAGCAATACTATCACCGTCCCATAATAATTGTATCTGTACGTTTCAAATTTGTGCCAAAATAGTTGTTATAATAGAGTACTAATTTTCCCTTTAATCACTTCTGATTTAAAATTTTCCATATTCTACCCCCAACCACCACCCCACTCTTACCTATACACCATTTAATGAGGGACACCTTAGTCTTTCTTCTCAAATCTTAATATATGCTAAATAATACGAAAATAGGACAAAGGTAGTAGTAGTAATTTGGAGAAAAAGTAATCTATGTATTGAACATATGATTCGAATTCTAAGATTTACCTTATGAATAATTGTAGCCATGCAACGCACGAGTTGATGACTATTATTTACAAAATTCATTGAGATCATATTGAGAGCTAATTTTTAAGATAATTATGAATATATGAGTTTTATACAATCAATCTAAAAAGATGTTGCCATTCAAAGAATTAAAGGTTTGTTTGGGACGTTTTAATGTTTTTACGACTGCTGGAGTATCCATACCGTGCATGTACTCCAATATATGACTTTTGACAAAGAGATTAATATTATTCAGCTCCAAGAAATATACGATAACACGTTTTAGCTATGTTCGTTGACAAATCATTGTGATTTATTTTTAATAAGATTATATATCTAAAAACAGATGACGCGCCATGCATATAAATTAATATAGCATGTTCTTTCATGGTAGATGGAACTAATAATGAATATCATAATGAACATCTGTTTCTAGATGAACTAATAACTACACATAAGGAACTGAATAATGCAAATAAATTGAGGATCATTTCTCATTAAAGACATGACACTAAATGAATATATTTGCATCACTGCATAAAAATAGCCCTCTCTAAATGAACCATTACTACAATTTACAGGTGGGCAGATCAGGTTTTCTTCATCTTTTTCTGAATGCCAAATGTGGCACCACACCACAGGTATATGGAATGCAGAATAAATGCAAACTTTAAACCAAAACAAATCCAAAAAATCAAAATGCATTTAAAACTCGACTAGATCAAACCACAGAGAGAGGCCTTCTTTCTTTCTCCTCCTCCTCCTCCTCCTTCCCCCTAGAAATCGGAATTAATTGGCATTAAATAATTCCCCCAACCATTTCCCAACAACACCAATAAATTAGTGGCCGCCCATTCGCCGCGTGGGTCCCACCTGTCGGCCACGGCGGCGCGCGCCCTCTATATATATATAGGCGAGCCGCGCCCACCACCACCAGCGCCACCGCTTCTTCTTCTTTCGATTCTTCTTCTTCTTGCGGCGACGCGGAGAAGCAGAGGAAAGCCGCCACGGGGGAGAGGGGAATGGCGGCGGACGTGAGCTCTGTGGCGAGGCTGCTGCGATGGGAGGCCGGGAGGAGGGGCGGGGCGGCGGGGGAGGTCGTGACGATGGATCTGCTCGGCGGGTGCGGCGGCGACAGCCGCGGCGGCGTCGTCGGCGGCGGCGGAGGGGAGGACGACGTGGTCGACCTCGAGGTGAAGGTTCCCGCCGGGTGGGAGAGGCGGCTTGATCTCATGGTGAGTCCTCGCTCTCTCTGATCTCGTGAGCGCTGGTGATTTCTGAGTTTCGGTTTATGTTTCTGCCTCTGACGAAATTTGAGACGAACTGTTCCATTCGTTCAGTTATTGTTTTTTTTTCTTTGATCGGAGACAAATTCTGCAATGTTTGCAACGATTAGAGATCGGTTCATGTGTTGCATGCTGTATTTCTTCCGAATATTAGGAGATTAAGCACTCTGTTCTTAATATGAAGAACATAAAAAAAACTTGTTCCATCTGAATTTAGTTTCATGAGGCTCTGATCTTGCCATGTTCTTGGTTTGATCTTGAAGAAATGGAGTTTACTGATTTTTTTTTTGTTCTTCTTGCAGTCAGGGAAGACGTTCTTGACTCCTCGGCTCCAGGGCGTCCATGTCGGCCACCAAGACCTCAACCTGCCTCCGCCGCCGTCCTCCGCCGCCGCGGCCGCGTCGACGTCGGCCGCGGTCTGCACGCTCGACATGGTCCGCTCCGCGCTCGAGCGCGCCACGGCCGGGAGGTCGGCCGCCGCCGCCGCCGCGCGTGGCTCCCCGGCCACGTCGTCGTCGTCGTCGGCGTCCACCTCCTCGTCCTCCTCCTCCATCGGCAAGCGCCACCGCTCGCCGCCCTCAGGCGGTGCCGTCGCGACGCCCGCGAGCCCGTCCATGCGTGCGGCCGCCTGCCCGTCCTGCCTCACCTACGTGCTCATCGCCGAGGCGGACCCCCGGTGCCCGCGTTGCGCCGGCAACGTCCCGCCGCTCGCCGGGAAGCCCCGGGAAGCCTCCGCCGGCGCCGGCGACGGCAGCGGGAAGAAGCCCAAGATTGACCTGAATGCGGCGGCCGACGACACCGAGTGATCAGAGAAAAATATTTGGAAAAGAAAAAAAATTGGAAACGAATTTTTTTTCAATTAATTTCTTTTTCTTTTTTTAGTGATACAGAAACATTCTGATAAGTTTTACTTATTGAGATGGATCAGTCGTGTAGGTCTATATATATACCTCCTGAAAAAAAAATTAAATAGATATTATGATCGTAGGATCGGATCAAACCTGCAGCTGGGCAAATATATAGAAGCCCAACCTTTGTTAATCTCTTTGTTCCTTATTTGTTGGTTTTTCTTCAATTTGTAGCTGTACAAACTAATTAGTTGAAACATGTCTTTTGTCAATTTTATTGCTTGTTTATTTGTTTCTTTTGACGTACAAATCAAATCTGATATTACTAAGAGAAAAGGCTAAAAATAGGGCTTCCATCTTTTTTTTCACCTATCAATATTGTGGACATCAATAATTAACTTGATACTATACCTTCATAGTTTAGAGCAGATAAATTTATTATCATTTATTTTTAACAAACTGTGGAGAATTCACTTATATACGCCTCCTAAAACCTGAAGTGTGAAACGGTAATAGGTTTTATGTTTTTATCTAATTGCATCGCAGCTAAGGACTTAGCTGGATTCGAATTCGAGGTCTTTTGTGCTGATACCATATTGAATTACATTAATTAATGCACCAAACATATTTGAATTTGAGATCTCAAACTGTGACACTATATTGAATCGTATGCACTAAATAGTTTAACCCAAAAGTTTATGCTAATGAGAAAAATGCATAAATTCACTATACACCAACATCTATAATACACATGTTTAATCATATTGTTTTTTTTCTAATTATACATCGATAAAAATAGTCAATGGTATAAGTGCAAAAGTATTTCCGTGATAAGCTTACAAACATCATTTCCACAATATTAAATCTTAGCTTGTGTGTACATAAGTGACGTAAGATTCTAATTAAGGTTTGATTGTCATCATTAATTGTAAAATGACATCTCTAGTTTATAGAAAAAAAGAAGGTAAGACTAAGCTGAGTGGAAGAAAAAGAGAGACAAAGACTTATATATGCTGAGTAATTTATAGAACAGTGTAGTGTGCATAATACAATACAAGTATTTATAGAAATAAACTTTAATCTTGCTTCAAGTAATTTTACACATGGAGTTCATCTCTAGTTACTGCCTATATGAACAATGTTAGGACATTTATACTACATGGCAGGACCTGTCTTTGCATGGAAAAAACTGTTGTCATACTTGCTAAGTTGCTAACATGGAGTATATATCTCTATGAGCACCATTTATACGTACACCAGAAATAATAATAACATAGATAGTTTACTTAAGTTAATCATGTATTTTATACTATACGCAATACGAGAGTGTCATTGTCCATAATGTTACTATAAAAATGACTAGTGTCACTCCATGATGTTACTATAAAAATGCGTGGTCTCATCCAAGTAAACCAAAGCTTATCAATCTCGCGACAGTGATAGGATATAACTACTGGACAAGAACTCGTCGTGAGATAGTTATTTTTGGCTCCCATCATCTCTATTGGCTTCACATCGACAAGTCATCGAATTGAAATAAATATGCAATTCAATTGCGTTGATATGTCCATCAAATTTATTAATTTCATTATATGCTGAAGATCTGAAATTCAATTATTCTGATAAAGCATACTCCTATCAATTCAACGGCAGCATCTCTCCCGTGTTCAAACTCAGATAATTATTTTTTTTCTTTTACAATTTTCTGTTGAAGGATAAGACCACTATGTACTACTATATAATTAATGAACAGATTATTTTGCCAATTCATTTATCTTGGTTACAAAATATCTTCATTCATTTCATACTAGCTACTACCCTTGATTTTTTTTTCCAAATATAAAGCAACTTCTCTTAAGTACATCACTAGCCTGTACGGCCATATGAAATAAAACCAAGTTCCAACTCATCCAATGAAAATAAAACGGAGTACAACATAAACCAAGTAGTACTAGTACATCTGTCTATCGAATTGCAGAAATTTCAGGAACGAAATGGTCATAGCTGCTTATGGATGAATTTCAATCAATTTGCACGTACAAATTAAATTGAAATTGGTCGACCTCCATGTGTACAATGGACGTACGCCCTCTTTTTATTTTTCAACGGCATATCCTCACATCTACGTATCTTAATTAAGCAACATTAATCATCATCAATGATGAACACGAGCCGATCGATCAATATACAGGAGAGCTATAGCTAGCTAATTACCTACAGTACGTATTCGGCACACGATCTACTAAACTAATTTTAGTACCTATAATTTCTCTATAAACTTTGTATCAAAAAAATTATAATCATATAAAAATATATTGAAATATAATCCAATTATATTGTTTTCAGCAAATAAAATTCAATACATATTATACTAATTGTTAATTAATTAAATGTTTTGAAAGTTAAATCTTAAAATGCGTGTACGTCTTACGCTATGGAATGGAGGGAGTACGTGGCAGCAAAGGAAAGGGGATTAATTAATTAACTAATTAAGGGAGGCAATTAATTAGCATGGCGATTATCACCGTAATTAACTGGCAAATTGGCGAGTGCAGTGCAAGCAAGGCCAGGCGAAGGGATAGTATAGAACGATGCATGCATGCGTCTACCTAGAGCTAGCTAGCTATATCTCAATTAATGCACATTAATCCATGCAGATACGATCCAATGGGGTTACGGTTAATTACTGCAATTAATCACGATGATTAATGACGACGACGATTTCTTTCTTTTTCATATCTGTAGCCGATCAAATTAATTAATACTCCTCCTCTCCCCGGCTAGCTTGCTTAATTGGAGTCCTCCCATTGGCCATGCAAGTAAAGTCTTCTCGATCAATTGAACAACTAATTAATATAGCACGTTTGGGTATTTACTGCCGATAGCTGCGTCCACCTAATTTATTCATTTAATTTTATTTGGGTTTTTGTTCTCTTGGTCAATTTAATTAATTAATTAATAGTATTAACTACCTTGGACTTGCGACCGTGGGTGCTAATCAGGTGAGGTTGTGTCACGGAGAAGCTTTTGTTTTAGATTAAATTCGGCTGCAGCTTGCTGCTGGTGGTGGATTAACTGTCTTAATACGTCACTAGCTAGCTGGAGCAATTAATCGCAGCTGACACGTCCATGGTTTCATTTGTATACCGCGATTTGCAAAGGAGGAGTAGGTTTCATATTTCATTCGCTGTGGAGAAGAATTTGAAAGGGAAAGAGATGAATGCCTGAATTTTCACTACTGGCTGGCTGGCTGGGATAGATTGAGAAGTGAGTTAAGACGATCTAATCTAATTAATCGAACCTAACCTATAGTTGGAATAGCCGGCAAATCCAATCAGTTTCTCGAAGTCGCGGTGTAGCTGATTTGACATAGATAAGCACTAATATTTTGTACTACTACTCCCTCCGTCCAAAAAAAAAAAGACAAATCATGGTTTCCGTGTCCAACGTTTAACCGTTCGTCTTATTTGAAAAAATTATGAAGAAAATTAAAAAGATAAGTCACGCATAAAGTATTAATCATGTTTTATCATCTAACAACAATGAAAATACTAATTATAAAAAAATTTCATATAAGACGGACAGTTAAACGTTGGCACGGGAACCTACGGTTTGCCTTTTTTTGGGACGGAGGGAGTACATTATCAGGAGAGGAGAGGACTAATAAATTAAAACGAGCTCTCATAGTTTGTTTTTGAAGGCCTAAAAACAGTACTATTAAATAGAGGGAAAATTTCACTACAAATGGAGTATATGGTTGGAGTAGAAACACCCCTATACGATGGTGGAGTCATAGATGCATGGTTTAAATCTGGTATTACAAATATTTTCAATAAAATTTTGTTAACAAATGTATAACAAATTCAATTTCATTGTGTAAATATAGAAAATGGTGATAGACTTGTATAACAAATACAATTCTACTACAAATAGCATGCATAAGTTGTATGTGAAATTCGAATGGTTATTGCTCCATTAAGTCATCACAACATCTCCATATAAACTTAGTAAATACTATATATATGTATATTTATAATGATATATTCAGAATTTAATTCCAAATCCTTGTTTTGACTAGCACACACTAAAACAAACATCATTGACTTATATAGAGAGAGCTTTATCTCTTCTCTTACTCTCTTTTTTGGGCGTAGACAGATCGCAGTTGGACATCGTAATACTCCCTCCTTTCAAAAATCTGAGACCTATTTCTTTTTCATCAAAACCAAGAAGCAATTAACGCACTCACCATGTGGCAAAACCAATGAACATGTAACCAATAAATACTAGAATGACTTTTTGGTTTCCGATCAATAATTTAATTTACCACATAGTGACTACAAATAGGACTTAAATTTTTGGAGAAACCAATGAATGAAATAGGTCTCAGATTTTTGGAAGGATGGAGTAATGTGTTTCAATTAATAATACAACGTGAAATAGTTTAACGAATTAAATATTTCTCAGTTGTGTTGATTTGAATTGAAACGAGATGGAAAACTGTCCATACTTTGGTCAACATTTTCATAGAAACCGACCGAAATAGCTTACCAACTACCCTTGTCTAAATCTAACATGGCCCGCTTGGTCCATCCTTTTGTGGATTTTCAGCTCTTAATTCAAAATTGGAGTGTTAGAAATAGATGATTTAAAGAAGAGACATGACGATTATACCTTGCAAAACATACCTGCTTGCGTTAATGGGCCTACTGGACTGGACTCAATCCTAGTGCACCAAAGAAAAGATTTAGCCATTTATAAGGGCTTATTTTTACCGAAAATCAAGACCTTCATCAATAGTCATACACTACTCCCTCTATTTTTAAATATAGAAAAAAAGTTCATTTCACTCTCCCGAACTATTTCATTGGATCACTTAACCCCCTAAATTATTTTTTTCTTATTTCACCCCCAAACTATTAGAAATGGTTCATCTTAATCCTTAATTAACAGTATCTATCAATCCTACAAATTAAATTCCATTACAAAATATGACTTATAAAGCGAGGAAAAAAGGAGATGCCATTAAAGATTAAGATGAACCGTTTTCAATAGTTCAGAGTGTAAAATGAGCTGAGAAATTGTTTAGGGGTTAAGTGCCCTGGCGAAATAGTTCGAGTGAGTAAAATAGACTATTTTCTTAAATAAATGATGATGTTGACCATTCATATTGTTATAAAAAATGTAAGCATCACTTATTTTGTTGTGATTTTGTTTATCATCAAAGATATTTTAAGTATGACTTGCATTTTGCATATTTGCACTAAGTTCTTAATACAATAAATGACCATGCTCAAATATTGACAACGCGATGTAATTAAAAACTAAAAAAACGGAGATACTAGTACTCCTATGTCATATAAAAAATTTTAATAATAGCTATAAATCTGAATATGTGTAGATTAAATTTTTTATGGGACGCAGGGTGTAAATTGGATATTATATAGTTGAAATATCTAGTACTAACACACATACACCCATCTGATCAAAGAGTAGATATATCTGTTCATTTCCAATACATAAAAAAAAAAGAAGAGAAATTGGTCCATATATCTCCAAGCTAGCATTTCGTAGCTTCTAGCTAGCATGATCACTTCACCGATAGCTAGACGGATGGATGGAACCCATCCGTATGAACATGACGGGGCAGGTGAGAAGAGATGGGATCGATCGTCGTCGTCGTCGCTTGCTCGAAGCCGCTCTGCGCTATTCATCCCCGTTCATCAGTTCAGGTCACAGACGACGACGACGACGACGGCGAGGAGGAGAACATTTATGGGCGGGTGATGTGTGCACCGAAACTGGGTTATGCCTTGCAATTTATTGCAAGCGCTAGCAGTACGCTCGCCTACGTCCTCCTCCTCCTACTGCCGCCGCTAGCTGCTGTCTTGGATCGATCGCCCGTAGATAGAGTAGCCATAGGTAAAGGTAGGTAGGCTGCTGGAGCTAGCGACCGTCAGTGGCAGTGACTGCAGCAGATATAGCTAGCTGAAGCTGATCTGACGTAGTAGTAACGTGGTACGAGTACAGAGAGTACTCGATCGGTCTCTCCCTTTGGATGATCGGTGGTGATGATGAATTGATCGATGATGCTGGGATGCATGGATTGTAGTGGATGATCCACTTGATCAGTGTCTGAACTCTGAAGTCTGAACCGATGTGCTCTCCAGATTCGAGTCTGTACACGGATACACACGGCTGCAGGATGCATAGGTGTAGTAGTTGTAATAAGAGCAAGTATACTAGTAGGTTATAAGCCAACTATAAGCTTTTGTGGATGAAAGAGAATTTGAAAAATAGAGAGGGTTGGCTCTCATACAAGAGCTAGCTATTCACATACTTCAAAATAAATACATTAAATGCATAGGTGAGAGATAGAGAGAAGGAGAAAAAAAAAAGATAACCTTGTAGCTCACTTACTGTACATGCTAACTTTAATATAAGCTATAAGCTCATAGTTGGCTCCATTATTAAACTTGCTCTAATACTGTTCAGGTACCTGCAGATTGTTTCAGACTCAGATCTGCACTGTCTGAAAGACGAAATCCGGCAGAAATATTTGACTTCGGGCATGTTTAGTTCACGAAAAGAAAATTTTTGGGTGTCACATCGGATGTTTGACCGAATGTCGGAAGGATTTTTCGGACACAAATAAAAAAAATAATTTCATAACTCGTCTGGAAACCGCGAGACGAATATTTTGAGCCTAATTAATCCGTCATTACCACATGTGGGTTACTGTAACACTTATGGCTAATCATAGACTAATTATGCTAAAAAGATTCGTCTCGTGATTTTTCTCCTAAGTGTGTACTTCCTCCGTTTCACAATGTAAGGCCCTGTTTGTTTCCGCTTAAGATTATTGTAATCTAGATTATTAAATCATATTACTCTAAGCTGGATTATAATAAGCTGACATAGAATAAGCTATGAATTGTTTGTTTCTTTAGATTATTGGAGGCATCTAAGGGTAGTGGGTCTTTAAGAGATTATTAGATTATACTAATATGGCTTATAGATTATTATAATCTAGCATAATAATCTAATTGTTTGTTTTAGCTTACTCCTAATAATCCAGATTATAATAATCCTAAGCTGAATCAAACATGACCTAAGTCATTCTAGCATTTCCCATATTCATATTGATGTCAATGAATCTAAATAGATATATATGTCTAGATTCATTGACATCAATATGAATATGGGAAATGTTATAATGACTAACATTGTGAAACGGAGGAAGTAATTAGTTTTTTTATTTATCTATATTTAATGGTTCATGCATGTGTCCAAAAATTCGATGTGATGTTTTTGTGAAAAAAATTCGATGTGATGTTTTTGCGGGTGTTCATCGCTATTCGCCGAAACAGGTCGTGATTAAGCATAAGTTACTCAAATTGTATCACGACAAAGCTAAGTTTAGGTACATATTTAGCGTACACCAGATGGGCCATAAGACGAGGTAACAAATTAAGCATGATTGAATACAAACTACAGTAACCGACTAAAAACATTCGTTCATCATCTACTACCAAACTACGTGGCAAACAACAACGTGGTTTTCAGACTATTTCATCCCCATAATTAAGGCGATGACATCCTTGCGCAACCTGTGCAAGTAACCAGTAATTAAAACCGGGTCGCTCTCGGAGAAAGAATTAGGCAGGCGATCGCATTGAACATCTTGAACACGATATGATATGATCGGCGTACGTGAGCACGTATAGTAGTAAATAAACTAGCAGTGGTAGCCATACTACATGCATAATGCATCTACCTATACTAGCTAGAATGACTCGGGCTCTGTCGTGCTCACGCATTCACTACTGCTCGACCCGATCGATCGATCAGACTTAAGTTGAGAACGTTGAATTCGTGTTAGTCTCTAAGCTAGCTAAGCTCGCATTGATTTGAAGGAGTTGATGAGTGAGCACGTCGACGTCGTACGTCGAGAGTTATTGCTAGCTGAGGTGCGTGCGTGCGTGTGTGCAGCATCTGCATTTCCGATCGTTTTGATTGACGCTCGACGATGAGTTTTGGCCTGATCCTGCGGATCCGGCCGCTTGCAGATCGCAGTGGTTAATCGTTCGGGAAAACTCAAAGGGATCATGCACTGTTCAGATTAGTATCATTTCTTGATAAAATTGTTAAAGATATGTATACATTCAGTTTTTTTTTTGCCAAACCTTAATATATACATAAGAATCCTGTCGAAGTTTTAATAATACTGTCAACCTACCAAAATTTTAGCACTGTTAAAATTTGATAAGATCCATTTTGGTTACAATCTAAGGGCATGTTTGGTACAGCTCCAACTCCTAAATTTAGCTACAGGAGTTAGGTCTGGAGTGGAGTTGTGGAGCTTGTGAGAGAGCTCCACAGCTCTAGTTCATTTTGTGAGAGAGCTCCACCCAACTCCACTCCCAGTTTTGGTGGAGCTGAAACTGTTTGACTAGTTTTAGTGGAGCTGAAACTGTTTGACTGAGATGCAGCTCCACCCAACCCTTAGGGTCTATTTGGCATAGCTCCAGCTTAAGCTCCACCCAACCCTTAGGGTCTGTTTGGCACAGCTCCAGCTTCAGCTCCTGGAGCTGCATCTCAGCGAAACAGTTTCAACTCCATCAAAACTGGGAGTGGAATTGGGTGGAGCTTTCTCACAAAATGAACTAGAGTTGTGGAGCTGGGTTTAGGCAACTCCACAACTCCACTCTAAACCCAACTCCTGAAGCTAAATTTAGGAGTTGGAGCTGTACCAAACAGGCCCTAAATGCCCCCTATGTGATTTTGCTGTCTTCTCGCTCGACCTCAGGTCATCTCTGTGACTCCGTGTCTGCCAAAGTACCACGGCGGCGGCCGAATCTTGCAGCCGTGAGGCCGGGCGGTCCACCGGTCGGACACCGGCGGCTGGCCGTGTGGTGGCGCGGCGTGGCTTGCGTGTGTTGTGTCGTCGGCGGGGGATTTACAATAATGACACTGCAAATATTAACTTTTGCTATAATGACACTAGATCCATATTTCATAGACACATATGGGCCCATTTATCATCCACTCAGAATGTCAAAACAGCGAAGCTCCGATATTTGGCACTCCCAATATTGGGATTTTCTCGTCGGGGGCGGGGGGGACCATGAGACCGCGGCGTGGGTTCGCAGACGCCCACGTGGGCTGGGTTTTTTCGACAGGCGGCGTGTGGATTGTGTTGTTGGGCTGGGCGGGGCCGCTTCTGATCTGTTAGCTGTCGCTACGCATATGGGCTCCCACATTCCACTAGTTTGTAGTACATTTTTTGGTTCCTAAAAAGTTTTTTTTTTAAAATAGTCTTTGATAAAACTTGAAGCAGTAAATTACAGTTTTCAGTTCTGTTTTGCTAATCGTGCTTGTCTGCACGATTACGATTAAACTTTCTCCAGAAGGCTGTTTCGCACGTACGGTGCATACCATATATTCAGTCTGATGATCCATGCTGTCTATCTCTCTGTGTAATTCAGTCGCAGATTAAAGAGACAGATGGCAAAAAAACAATTTTATCATGAAATCGATTTGAACTCTAAACTGTCCCAGTAATCAATTTGGCAGCAGTTCGTTAGCCCTACGGCTTTCCTCTCCTCGAAATTTCTCTCTTTTCTATCTTTTCTCATATTTACAGTTAATTATTCTTCAGTGGTAAGAGATATATCTATTGACAACGAAACGTATGTGATAATTTCGTTAATCTAAACAGAAGCAAGCACAGTTTTTCAAAAGTGCTTATAAGAGTAGGATATTCGTGTATGTGTTTATACATGTGAGTAAACGCATGTTATGGGCGTTTATATTTGTACTATATTTTTTCTGAAAAAAATGTAAATTGTCAGGTTCATTGATTTCAACTCAGGCCGTGTTTAGATTCAAAATCTTTTAGTCAAACTTCCAACTTTTTCGTCACATCAAATATTTGGATATATGCATGGAGCATTAAATGTGGACGAAAAAAAACCAATTATACAATTTGCATGTAAATTGCGAGACGAATCTTTTGAGCCTAATTACACCATCATTTGATAATATAATGCTATACTAGCCATTTACTACTAATAGATTAATTAGATTTAATAAATTCGTTTGCAGTTTAGAACGGAATCTGTAGTTTAACACAGCCTCAGTCGGTTTACTGATTTCTCTGAACCTCTCTCTCCTCTTCTCCCTCGTGTGGACTCTCCTCTTCTCTCTCTCCTCTCTCTCTCGCGCGCGCGTCGCAGCCATGGTGGAGGCGACGCGGCAGCGGAGGAAGCCGCTGGTGCTGGCCTCCACGCAGGCGCTGCTCGACTCGCTGCCGGGGGACCGCCGCGGGTCGGCCCTTCCGCCGCCGCCGCCGCCGGAGCCGGTGCGCATCAGGGCCGGGGTGCTCCGCTTCCCCAACTCCTCCTCCTCCTCGTCTTCCGCGGGCGGAGGCGAGTTCGGGGAGGCCGCCTCCTTCGTCGCCCTCCCCTCGTCCGCGCTCCGCCGGCTCGCCGTCGTCACCGGCACGCCGGTAAGTGGACTGGTCCCCTCCCCGCGCCTTCTCGGATCAAATATCCCATTATCTCGTCTCAGTTAGATCGTTATGATTGAGTAATTCGGTGGAAAATCTGGTCAGTGAATTGGATTTTAGTCGATTTTGGATGGTCACATATGGGGTTTACCTGTACACTGTTCTGAATTCTGATTAGTTGGATGGGAATTGATGATTAGCTTAGCCAAATTGAGCTGTAATAAGTACAATGGCAAGTGATGCATAGAGCAATGGTGCTACAAAATTTACCTTTGTGAGCATACGATTGCATTTATGTTACACTTGATTCAGGCAATCTAAATGATGATAGAAGTGCGCTAGTGTATACTCCTAGCATAAGGTTGGGCAGTATATAGGAATCTATTGTGCTGAAAGTAATAAAGGGCTTTCAATCTGCAGGTGCTTGTGAAGAATGCTGACAATAATGTCGGAAGGATTGCCAAAGCAGTAGTACTTGATCACCCATGCCTTGATGATTCCCTGACAGAACATACTGAGCCTGTGGACGCAGCCTCTCCCTTGGATAATGCCATGGGTATCTTACCCTGTCGCTCTTTTCCAACAAACGGCTTTCCGCCCTTGGATGAAGAGGTCGCTTATGTTAGCCCACTTCTGGCATTCAATCTGGGAGTCCATGTCTCTTGTCTCAAGCTTCTTGTTCAAAAAGGAGAGAAACCTTTCAAGTTCTGTTCTAAAGTTGAAGATAGTGATCTGGCTGCTGGTGAAGAAAGTAATCCTATTCTTCACTTAGAGATTCTTCCATCCCCTCAAGTGCCGAAACATGCTTTGCATTTGCGGGTTTCTGTTGTGAGGATTCCTGAATGTGGTGTGTTTGCTTCTCTAAAGGCAAATTCAGCCATTGGAGGAAGTGACTACCAAGATATGATTGATCAAGCTCTGAATGAGCACTTTAAGTTTGATAGGTTCCTAGCGAGAGGGGATGTTTTTTGCATAAGGAACAATTGGAATTGTGGCGCAACCTCCTGCCTTGCATGCAACAGGGAGGACAATAGACTCCATCCTCATGATATGATTTACTTCAAGGTAACTTACCTATCCGTCATCCTCCATACATGTTTTAATTAATATGCTGGAGAAAGGTGATCTATCGTTTAGCTTATGACTGGCTTTATGCAATCATTCATAAGCTTGATATGTTAACATTGTAACCCCTGCACTAGGTGACTGGCATGGAACCATCAGATGAACCAGTTCATCGCGTCAACTGTAATCAAACAGCCCTTGTTCTTGGGGGAGGTGCTTCTGCTTCAATACCCCCTTACAGTTTGTTTGCTTCTCCTGGTGCTTCAGTTCCTTTGCACAGTGAAATAGTGGAGCATTTAGCATCTATCATTGCACCAGCACTATGTCCTTCAAACATTTTGCCAAAAGTCAAGTTTTCCACTTTCTTATACGGGCCTTCAGGTTATTTCACTCAAGCTGTAATTTCCAGAAATTTATTTTCAGTGTTTACTACTCAGCTTGAACTAAACCGTTACTAACGAAAATGATGAAAGTGCAGGATGTGGGAAGCGGACGGTAGTCAAGCATGTTGCCAACCATTTTGGTTTGCATGTGGTTGAGTGTAGCTGTCATGATCTAATGACTTCATCAGATAGCGGGGCACCAGCTGCACTTGTGGCTGCCTTCAAAGAAGCTCATAAGTACTCATTTTCTTGTGTCCTATTACCTTCTTATTCTCTACCGATGAAATCTATTCATGCTTTAGTCATCAAATGATCAAAAACATTTTCTGTAGTTCGTTTGTTTTCTTCAGGTACTGATTTTTTTACTTTGTTCACATAATTAAGCTGAATAACTTTTCATGAAGGTATTCACCATGTATAATACTTCTTCGCCACTTTGATGCTATTGGGAATACATCCTCCAACGAAGGGACACAATCTGCGCAATCTGGCACTGCAGCAAACATTGAATCCGTCATCAAGCAGTACATTGGACAACATTGGGTTGCTACGGAATCGCTCCCAGCAAGAGATATAAATGGAAATCCAGTAAGTATTCCTTCCACCTTCCTTTAGGTTATCCCTCGTTTTGTGGTATAAGACCATCATGTTCCTTATCATCAAACCTCCCTTTATTTCAGTACCTTGTGGAACCTGAATGTGTAAGCCCACTTCAAGTTATACTAGTTGCAACTGCAGATCGTGCTGAAGGAATGCCACAATCAATTAGGCGATGTTTCCGCCATGAGATAAACATGAAAAGTATAAATGAAGAACAGAGGAGGAACTTGATATCTGAAACACTCCATTGTGTTTCAACGTCAGCTGATGAGGTAGAATTTTCTCGCTATTGATCCAAAAGTGAAGTTTTGTGCTTTTACGTTACATTTGATGCTTATTTTATTTCAATTTCAGAGTATAAATGACAAGTTCGTAAAAGATTTAGCAGTACAAACGTCTGGTTTCATGCCAAGGGATATACTTGCATTGGTTGCAGATGCTGGCATATCTTTTGCACATAAAGTTGAAACGGATAAAAATAATAGCGAAGGTGATAAGCTTAAAGGCATCCTTCCTACAAGCTCTTCTAGCTCTCAAAATGAAGAAAAAACTTTTTGCAAAGAATATATTTTGTCTTCTCTAGAACGGGCCAAGAAAAGGAATCGTGCTGCACTGGGTACACCCAAAGTAAGACATTTTAACGTCCTGTTTTTTGATATCTTATATTCTTCTAGCTCTCAGACCCATTAGCAGACTGCTTTGGCATCGTGTATATGTGATTTAACTTGCTTTCATCAAGTACTTGATTTGGATTTTTATGTGCTACAGGTTCCTAATGTCAAATGGGAGGACGTTGGTGGTCTTGAGGAAGTGAAAAAGGTTATTCTAGATACTATTCAGGTAAAATTTTCTTATGTTCATCAATGTTTATTGTAACTTAAGAATATGAAGCTGCTTTAGTAAGTTTGTGAATAGTAATTTGCCTCTTTTCTTTGCTATACAGTTACCTCTGTTGTATAAGCACCTTTTTTCTTCTAAATTGGGGAAGCGGTCAGGTGTCCTGTTGTATGGACCTCCTGGCACAGGGAAGGTTGGTTTACGGTGTTTTTCTATTTTATACTTTGTTTTTAGTTAAGCTTTACCTTTTCGTTTCTTCCCATCTGTCCAAAGAGGATAAGCACATAGAAAAGCAATGTATACGTGCTCATTATTATTATGTTTCAATTTGCAGACATTATTGGCAAAAGCTGTAGCAACAGAGTGCTCTTTAAACTTTCTTAGTGTAAAAGGTCCAGAATTGATTAACATGTATGTTGGAGAATCGGAGAAGAATGTAAGGGACATTTTTGAGAAGGTAAATTGATTTACACAACCATACAATTGCCATAAGATGTGCATATATGCTTACGGTTGCAACTCTTCTGTCAACCTCAGGCAAGATCTGCACGGCCATGTGTAATTTTCTTTGATGAGCTTGATTCCCTTGCTCCTGCACGAGGATCCTCCTCAGATTCCGCAGGTGTGATGGATAGAGTAGTTTCACAGGTATGGTTGTTTTCATCACTGAGGCAGTGTCTCAATGTTTTTTTTATTATCTCTGTTCAAATATTGGACTTTGTGGTCTCAGTTTCCCCTTTCCTCTCTTTGACTCTTTGTTAGTTGCTTGTGGAGATTGATGGGTTAAGCGATAACAGTCAGGTATTATCCTTGTTCATACCAATTTGTTTTCCTACTTGTTTTTTTTTTCCTGAGATGCTTTGACATGAAGGGGAACCATTTTCCCAATTCTTTTCTAGGATCTTTTCATTATTGGAGCTACAAATAGGCCTGACCTTCTTGATTCTGCACTTCTCCGGCCTGGCCGCTTTGATAAGCTTCTCTATGTTGGTGTAAATTCAGATGCATCATATAGAGAAAGGTTGGCATCTGTATTTGTTCATAAAATTCCAGATTTCGTTGCAAAATTGCACCTTTGATCCAAGTGTAATTGATGTGCAGGATCCTGAAAGCACAGACACGCAAGTATAAGCTCCATGAGAATGTTTCTCTCTTGTCAATTGCTCAGCAATGTCCTCCAAACTTTACCGGTGCTGATATTTATGCGTTATGCGCAGACGCATGGTATCATGCTGCTAAGAACTTGGTGAGTAGCAGGCAGTTCCTTCCCACTTCACTGACCTTTTCTTGTCTTTGCTCTGTTGGACTTACACCTGGTATTTCAAGGCCAAAACACTTGAGGCTGATCCTTCAAGAACCAGTGAAGCCAGTGCTGATGACGTCATTGTTGAGATAAATGATTTCATGACAGTAAGACTTTATATCATTTTGGGCATGACAATAAGTATGATTTGTTCATATCAACTAATTTCATTGCTATTCAGGTGTTAGGGGATATCACACCATCGTTGTCTATAGAAGAATTACAAAACTATGAACAGTTGAGGAAGAAGATTGAGGGACCATCTAGATGACGTCAGTTAAGCCTTCATTCTGTGCTACCATAGCAACCTAAGGTTCATATTCGTTTTCCTGACGTGAAAATGTTTACATTATTTCCTCCCAAGGTTTCATGAAATTCCACGTCCGAATGATTTCATTCTTCAGTTTCAGTGTATTTGACACATGGTGGCCATGACGAAAGCATTGGCTAGTGATGAATGTGGCACCATTTTTCTTTCCACCATGCCAGATCTTCCGGGCTCCAGTTATATTTTGACTTCAACACGAGCTAACTGACCTTATCTGCAAAGGCATTATCATCTAGAATCTAGACAGTTTCTGGTTCTGCTTTAGTTAGGGTTCAACGAATTGACTCAAAATTGCAAACGCTGCATAGCATTCATATATAGAAAGTGAGTATACTCATGTATCATCTCAACTATGTATCCTCCTGTCCTCTATCCTTCAGAGGACAATACTGCTACGTTTTGTTGGCAACCTTTTCCTTTGTCAACTAGATAGTCTGCACCTTCAGCAAACTAATCCTAGCATACTTTTCTTTCTAACATTTGATTCATTTGTTGATGCCCTTGAATAATTGTCATAAACTCGTTATCAATCATCTACGAACGCATCCTCCTGAGTCTACGAAATTAAAGTTACCAATATTTCTTCAGCAATTCACTCTCGCTGGACGTACAACGCGTCTGATGCGGTCGCCTCACCACGGCGTCCAGACGGTCCGGCCGTTTACACAGTAGTACTGAGCTAGTACAAGGTCTGCTAGGTTGGGGTCTCCCGGTCCCCGGAGACCGACGCTGGCATTGGCTAACGAAACTTTGGATAAGCGATGTGAGGTAGTACTACATACGCGGGGCACTCGTGCTACCCTGTTTAAATGGCACTAAAACTTTTTTAATCCCTATCACATCGGATGTTTGGAAATTAATTATAAATATTAAACGTAGACTATTAATAAAACTCATCCATAATCTTGGACTAATTCGCGAGACAAATCTATTAAGCCTAATTAATACATGATTAGCCTATGTGATGCTACAGTAAACATTCTCTAATTATGGATTAATTAGGCTTAAAAAATTTGTCTCGCAAATTAGCTTTTATTTATATAATTAGTTTTGTAAGTAGTCTATATTTAATACTTTAAATTAGTATCTAAATATATAGACTAAAGTTAAGTCCCTGGATTCAAACACCAATCATGTAGTAGAGCAGCTGCTGCTGGTGGTATTGCGCATGCAGATATGTAGTACTCCTACGTGACAGGTACAGCCGCTGGCCACCGCGGCGACGACGACGAAGACTTCACGTATGGCTGTGGGCGCGGCTCGAATCGGCAGAACAGGGATTCGCTACAGCTGAGCTCCCCGATGTGATCCCGCTGGCGCGGTGAAGCAAGCGGCCACACCTATCGTTCTCGCCCAAACAGGCGGAGATCGACCGACCGATTCGTCGGCGCACGGCAGGTCGGCACGCGCGGCCAGCGCGCGGCCCCGCCCGGCGCTGCAGCCGACGAGAGAGACGATCCCCACAGCTAGCAGCGGCTAGCGCGCGCGCGCGCGAAGGCGACGACGGCGACCTACGCAACCAAGATTGCGCGTAGCGATGCAAGTGGACCGACCCGCAAGTTTACTTATAGATCAAATATATGATAATTCATGAATTTTTCGTATCGTGGTTCGGTTTGTCGTGTCTAGATATACAAATGGATCGATCTATAGACCCATTTATAAGTCAAATTAACAGATAACCTGCTAATCAAATCCACGGGTTACGCACTAATTTTGTCTATAAACGGGTTCATGGATAAGCCTACTTGCAAATCAACCTCTAATTGCGCGGTGCGCGAGTGGTGGTGGAGCCGGTTGCTATAAATTGTCGCATTCCCGATCAGCCGAGCGCTATTCTCCTTTTTTATAACGGATACTGTTTCCGACCGTTGCCCTCTCTTGTTATACATAATTTTTGTTTTTTTAATTATTTTTCTATATCGTATTGATTAAATGATAAATATGATCGACTACCAATGGATCAAACTTCGTTTCTAAAGAAGATGCTATCGATTCCGCCCCCTAGCTGCAATCTGACGCGGTTTAACACGGGAAGGTGAGGGGGGAGAGAGTCACGCACGTCGCGAGCTCGATCGGCGGCGCGGGCTGTAGCAGATTCGCGTATCCGACGGAGTCAAATAATATAACCGGCTTTCACTCGACTGGCACGTGTTGTGAATATACAAGGACCGACTGAGTGATCACTGACTGCATGGTGCATGCATTTGCAGGTTGTACTGAAAGCCTGACGGTACAAACGTCGCAAGTGGAGAGCATGCTAGCCTGCTGGGGAGTTCAGACTGCAAAAAAAAAAAGAGATTTTAACAAGCCTGAAACGAACCATCCACCAACTCGAATTCATCTCTCGCCGTTCGCCGAGGCATTGGAGCCGGTGAGGGATGCGCGGCGTCGGCGAGCGTCGCGATACACCAAATTACGCCGAAAACCAGCGAACTGAAACCCCCGGATCAGGTCAGCGTGCACGCCTGAATCGTCATCGTTCATGCAGCGTGCGTGCGTGCAGCAAGCATCGAGAAATAATTTGGCAGGCACGAGAAGAGCCCAACGCGCAACTAATTAAGGGGCTAGTGTGGAGAGGTTTTAGCTGCCGCAGCTTCTTAAGAATCAGTAGATCACTTTAACAGTTCAACTTTTGATCTAGATTCTGAGAAGTTGTAGTCGTAGAATTCAAAAAATGAAATAGAAACTAAAAGGAAGAAGCTAGGAAACCCAGCTTTTTTAGATTCTCAGAAACTAGCTACCCCTTCTGTCTCATAATATAAGGGGTTTTGGAGGGATGTGACGTCCTAGGATATGTCATATCCCTCCAAAATCTCTTGTATTATAGGACAGAGAGAGTACCAACTAGTCACAGACAAAAACTGAAACTTGAGAGTAGAGGAGTGCGATTGATTTTGAGTAATCCGCTTTTGATTGGATTCTCCATGTATTCATCTCAAATCATCCCCAATATAAACACTTGCAGATCACGATCATCATCCAAAGATCGATCATGCGTTTGCCCTTCCAAGTTCTACCCTCTACGCTCTATGCAAGTTCAAGCCTATGTACTGTACGTCTCGTCAACCCCCTACACGTGCACGAAAGGCACGAAAGCCCCCCTATACACACACACCATGAACACCGCACACGCGCGCACGTCGCGTGCACGCAAACACGTACGGCGCGCGGCGTCATCGCCGGCGGCACGGAGCTCCGGCGGCGGCGGCGCCAGCAGTCCGCCGTGAGAGCTTGTCGGAACTCGCCGGCGGAGCAAGGGACACGCAGCACGCCCTTCTGGTCGTACCCGAACTCCCTCGCCGCCTTCTCCAGCAGCGCCCCCACCCGCGGCCGCTCCAGCGCGCGCACCTCCACCACCACGCGCTCGCCGTCGTCGCACGTCGCACGCACAGCACACCGCCCGCCGTTCCCGACCAGCAACAGCGCCACGCACCATCTCGGCACGGCCGCACACCTTCTCGCCGCCGGCGCCGCCGCAACCGGGAACCAACCGCTCGCGCGCCTCATCTTCGCCGGCGGCGGCGACCACCCTGCTCCTCCTCCAGCTCACCATGGCGAATTGGCGTTCACTTCGCCGGCGGCGAGGCTAAGAAAAATTTGCAGGTGAAACTACAATGATTTGCCAATCATGGAGCAGTATGCGGGGATGCACCAAGATCCGGGGTGCATTTTATAGGCGAGAAGAGCGGGCGCGCGCGCGCGCGTGTTCGTCCCAATGGTCAACGTGTAAGAAAACCAAGAATGTCATGTGACGGCGACGGCGCACTAGCGCGAGACGTTGTCGTCGTCCAATTCTTGACCGATCTTCCATTCGTTGCCAAAACAAGCGAGCCTCTGGCTCTGACCGGGCCCAAACCGAATATTTTTGTACTGTAACTCACTAACTCGCAGCAGACAGATCGAGCCCAACTGACGCAGAAAACGTTGACATGGGGTCATGTACGTGACATAATTCAAACAGCTTTTTTGTTTTTTGTTTTTTGTTTTTTGTTTTTTGTTTTTGCTGTAGCAAAAAAAATCTGACTTGGTCCAGATTATGTGCTGTTATCTGAGATATTGACAGGAAGTCAGGAACAGAGACACTTTGTGATTGGCCAAACCAGGAAATCAAAAAGGAGTAGTAGTAGAGTATATCCTTGAAACAAATTAAGCCCATCTTATTTTACCAAAGTTGCATATGTTTATGTACATTCTCTTCTGGCGATGAACAACTCTAACTAAAATTGCACGTGCAGACGCAAACACCGCTAAAACGTGATTCAGACACGTAACGTGAAACGTTGAATGACTTCAGGAGGAAAACCTAGTATATGAGGAGAATTTACCTTTTGTTCGTAAAGGCAAAACGAGAATCAAATTAAAGGCGTCAATTGATCCAGTCGATTCGAAAAGAAAGCTTACGAAGGAAAAACACATGTGCCTCCAAAAACGAGCAAGCAATTAACTACTACTAATCAACTAGTAAAAGTGGACGGTGTGAGTACATATAAAACCAGTGTGCGCTGCAATTAGTTAACTTATAATTAAGCAACTTTAGCGTTTGAGCCCAAGTGTCAAACATGATTACTCGCCGTAATCAGCAGCGTTGAAATTAGCGGGCAGGGAATCGAGCCAAACTAAACCCATCCGCCTCTATCACCAGCTAGTCCTACGTGAGAACATACTGAGGAATATAATCCTTGGTTCAACTGTTCAAGGATAGCAGCATGATTAATGGAGATGGATTAATTGGAGCCCAATCATGCCCATCCATCGATCCCTATGAAATCGCTGTCAGCACAAATATTTGACTTGGACTTCATGAAGGAGATAATAAGCTAGCAAGTAGCTCCTGCAAGGGGTTGACCCCACGTACGTACAAACTGTGTAAAATGAATGGCCAGGATGTCACGAATAGGTAGTTAAAGGAGTTTTGTGCCAGGATCGAGTTGAAACCATATTTTTTTTTAAAAGCAATTTGGCAAGTCGTTGTGTGGATGCATGTAACATCTGAAGTTTCTGGACTCGGTTTTGCCGAACTCGATCGGTTTTGGTGGACTGAAATCATCCGCTCCGGCCCAAGGGAGGAAGAATATATATAGTGTAAACAACATATGTAGCGAAAATCTGAAAACTATCATTGATTAAAAATAAACGTTTGAGATTTGTTCAAGTCACTAAAAGTTAAATTCACTCTCATTAAAAATTTTACTCGTGATTAAATCTGTGAGTAAAATTTCTTAGACATTACTTCCTCCGTTTCATATTATAAGACTTTATAGCATTGTCTAGATTTATTAACATATATATGAATGTTGGCAATACTAGAAAGTCTTATAACTTAAAACGGATGTAGTAACATTTTATCCAGCAGTAGCTTTCAGATTTTCACTATATTTGTGCTTTGCACTATTTTTTTTCTCCGAAAAGAGAAGCGGCCTCTTGCAGATGCGGCGTATCACATGGAGAACATCAGAACAAGTCAACAAGAAGCCCCCCGTCAGACTCCCACTCTCGATGGGGCATCGATCGATCCATCGTTGTCCATCCTCACTCCCTGCGCACGCGCGTGCGTGCGCCTAGAGTCTGAGTAGTGGATGTTCAGTGAGATCGAGCAAAACAGGCTAAAATCGCGATCCCTGCAAGGGTGCAATAGAAAAACGTGTAGTGTAGTGTGTACTCCAGTAGGAGATCCTCCCTTATATATGTTTTTTGTCGTTGCACGTGCTACGCGAGTACAGTTGGATTACAGAGAACTATACATGCCATTTCGCACACAAAAGAAATGATGCGAGAATGGGTATATACGGCCAAGTAAAATACGGTACTATTCTAGTAAAAAACTAGTAGAAAGAAAAATAATTTCGTACCGAGGAGTTTAAACTAGATTCTAGGCTATGTTCAGAGATATTGGTAGAAACTTGTATCCTTGAAACGTAAAACGATGGGATAGATTAGTGTATAATTAATTTTGTATTAGCTAAAAAAATGAAAATAGATTAGTATGATTTTTTAAAGTAATTTATCTATAATTTGTTTAAAATATATCGTTTATTAGTTTGAGAAACGTGTGTGACCGAAATTTCTTAACCAATTTGTTAAAAGCCGGTTTGGTGGGTGCAAGTGCAACACCTTATTCCCGTCGTCCGAACCAACCGAAGGATTGGAGCCTGAGACCAACAGCGATCGATCGCGGCGGCGCGTGTCCCACAGGCCTCGCTTGCTGCACGAGTTCCTCCCGCAGGTGCGGCACACGGCAAGGATGAGGAGATCGATCGACGACGCGCGTCAGATCGAGTCCGTCAGATCGGATTCGCGGAGCCATTGGTCCATCCTTTGCTCTGCTCCCTGCGCGCGGCGTAGCGGAGTAGCAACACAGGGCACGCGAAAAACATAGTACTACGAAACCAAGGTGGTTAGCTCTCAAGGCTTGGGTTGGGACTTGGTAGACAGAGGAAGAGCTGGGCACCGCACAATGACACTTTAATGGAGTCACTGTTGTAATTTTGTTGTTGGCACCGCACAAGTAATTATTTGTCTGATACTCTGAACCTTATACAGTCGCGAATTAATCACTAACACTTCTTCTTCTTTTTTCCCCTGAAAGAATGAATACATATGAACTACTACTACTACTATCATATTTGCCGTCAAATGTTACATTTACGTAAGTACATGCCCAACCCAAGGCCGGCAGCTCCGGGGCGCCGAACACTTGCGTACATGTACGCACGCGCGCGCGGGCGTACGTCAGCGTCACCGCGCGCACCGAGCCCCGGCGGCGGCGTCGGCGGCGAGGGCTCGTCGGAACTCGTCGGCGGAGCAGGGGACGCGCAGGACGCCCTCCTGGTCGTACCCGTACTCCCCCGCCGCCCTCTCCAGCAGCATCCCCACCCGCGGCTGCCCCAGCGCCCGCACCTCCACCACCACCCTGATCTCCTCCCCTCCTCCGCCGCCGTCCCCGACCAGCAGCAGCGCCACGCACCCTCTCGGCACGGCCGCGCCGCCGCCGCCGCCGCCGTCGTCGTTCCTCTTCCTCCAGCCCATCGATCTCGACGGTGGAGCAGCACGGCGGCGACGACCGATGGTGGCGGTGTATTGATCGGTTGGATCGATCGATCGAGACCGGTGCAACTTTGCAACAATGCGAGAGGCGTTTGAAGAGGCATATATAGAGGCGTACGTAGGTGGCGTCTGGCGTGGCGAGAGGGATATCGGATTATCAGAGTGCGTGCGAGCAGTGGTCAACTTGTGGGGCTATCTATCCGGTGATCGATCGAAAGGAATGTCTCACACATTGTCACCCGATCGTGACGAGCGCACTAGCGTTAAATTGCCCCGATAGTTGGTTGACGCGGATACATACTCGCTCCGTATTTGAATGAACGACACCGTTGACTTTTTACCAACGTTTGACCCTTTGTTTTATTCAAAATTTTTGTGTAAATAAAAATATTTATATTGTGCTTAATGAACATTCGACTATGAATCAAGTCACAGTAAAATAAATGACAATCACATAAATTTTTTCAATAAGACGAATGGTCAAACGTTGAAAAAAAATTAACGGTGTGATACATTAAAATATGGAGGTAGTATTTCGTATTCCATATAGGCAAATAAAACGACCGTCTCTCTGACCAATCGACCGACCGGCCGGTCTGGGGCCAAACTCGTCCGGACCTAGCCAAAATACTGTAACTACCAGTGACGCAGAAAAGGAATTCGTGTCTATTCATCAGATGCCGTTCCCTCGTTTTCTTTATGTCGTAAAAAAAGTCATCGAAAATTTAAATTGAACTTATATAAAATAGTAAAAACAATAAAGTTGAACGTGTAATTTACAATTAAATTTGTTGTTTTAATTTTATTGTTTAAATTTAAATCCATATGTTTGTAGAGTGGTATCTATTTTACTATTGTTTTTAAAAATATAATGATTTTCTAGGTAACTTATACAAAACGAGGTGATGATTCCTAGAGAGAGAAAAAAATACTTCTCCATGTATGTAAGTATAGTACTTCCTCCGTCCTAAAATGTAAGCATGTGTCTAAATTTATAGCTAAAAATGCTTATATTTTGGGAGCGAGGGAGTACGTGTTACGGTGTACAGTACATGACAGGATGCAGAAACGTTGTTGGTTTCTGACTTGACGCAACTGGGTCCAGATTACATTACTCGCGCCGCTATCTGAAAGGCAAGTCACGATTCCGTGACGAACAACTGTTACCGAGACCGATCGGATCCTTAATTAGCCCATCATATTTTACCTACATGCAGAAGTTGCATACATTCTCTTCTTCTTGGGTGATTGATACATGCAAAAGTTGCACGTGCAGAGTGACACGCAATGCGGCGAAACTTCAGTTCCCGAATCCTGGGTGCTACTCATGTGAATATACTTCCTCCGTCTGACACCATCTTTTCAAATAAATTAAACTCGACAACTTTTTACTAATAATCATACTAACCATATAATGCTAAAAATTACTAAAAATTATTATATTATATCACTATATTTATATTTTAAAGTATTTTCATGTGATGTTAATTTCATATTCGTTAGAAACATCGTATGAAATAAATTAATGATCAAAGTATATCACTGGACACCGTATAAGAAAATATAAATCTTATAATTTAGGGTGGAGGCAGTATGTTCCATCAGATTTGATTTGGATTCCTGAATTCTCACTAGCTTTGCCCACCTGTTAATCTTTATTTTCAACGTCGCTGCAAGCCGGATTCAATCCAGTCTCCCTGATTCTATTAAATTGCGCCAGTAATCCTACTGCTGAATGAACACAACATCCAGAGCACGTAAACGTTCAGACGACGACGGAGGAGAAAGCTGGCAGCATCATGACCATGGTCAGCAAAATCACCGGTCGTTTCCTAAAGGCAAAACAAGATGGAATTGATCCTCTGCATCAAAAGGCATGCCATGCATCACTTGGAAAAAGAGAGGAAACAAACAAGAAATTGATACAAAAAGCATGTGCCTGAGAAAATGATGGAACAAATTATGAAAAAAAAAATCAAACCACGGTACATACATACAGAAAAATCAACGTGCGCGCCCAGGATCTGTGAAGAATTTTCTGTTCTTGAAATTCAACCGAATGTCATGTCGGAGCAAGCTGCCGAAGAGAGTAACTGTGGTTCTGCAGCCAGCTAGTCATTAGTCTTTTTTTCTTCTTCTTTTGTTGCTAATCACAAGTCTCGATCACGAGAGAGAAACTAATCTTGATCTCGTAAAGCGTCCCCTTCCAGATCGTTGCCATCCCCAGATAATTCACGATCAAATAATCTTGATCAGCCATGGATTTTGGGAACAGGAAAAGGGGAAAAAAACCTGCCTCAGTTATCAATTCCCTGTGCATGCCTAGCAATTACTGCTAGTAACGGTTCTTGGAGATGATTTGCAGTTTTGCACTTAGGACCTGTTTAGATCCTACAAAATAGCAAAAGTTTTGCCATTTTGTAGCACTTTTTGCCATTTTGGATCTAAACACTAGTAGCAAAAGTTGGCAATTTGACATTTGGCATTTACTAGTCCATAGTAGCAAATTGTGTCAAAAAGTGCTTTGGGACCACTCCCTCTCTCTTTCTCTCTCTCACTTTAGTGCTAGAATGGCAAAACTTTAACATGCATCTAAACACCAACTAGTACTTTTGCAATACCAAAACTTTTGCCACCAAAACTTTTGCCATTTTCCATTTACCATTCCAAATGGATCTAAAGAGGCCCTTATCTTCTTTGCTGTGCACTATAGATTCTAGCCATCTGTCTCATCAACATTCAGATAAGTTCAACTTTCTTGAGTGCTTGTTTTCTGGAACCAAATTCTGACGGGAATAAGTTCACTTTAGGTCCCTCTACTTGACGCCCAGTCTGATTTTCGTCCCTGACCCACAAAACCGGGTATAACTCGTCCCCTAACTTACGAAAACCGGACAAACGAGATCCCTTAGCGGTTTTGATAGTGGTTTTGGCTGACGTGGCGCCTACGTGGCTAATTTGACTCGGTCTTCATCTGACGTAACGCTTACGTGGCAATTCATTCCTGAAAAATAATAAAACACATGGGACCCACATGTCAGTTTCACACATAAAATAATAAAAACAGAGGGACCCACGTGGGCCCCACCTGTCATCCTCGCTCCTTTCTTCCTCCTCTCTCCCCATCTCCTCATCATCTCTATCCCCTTTCCTCTCTCTCTTCTCTCTCCAGCGCCACCACCACGACTCCGCCGCCGCCGCTCCCGCCACCACCACATCCCTCGCCGCCGCTGCCGCTACCAACTCCGCCTCCACCACCACCCTCGCCACCTCCGCCGCCGCCGCCTGCGCCTCCACCATCCCTCGTAGCTCTCCTTTTGCTTCTCAGTGGCCGTCTCCGCCGTGGGAGGTCGTGGCGGGCGGCAGCGGGAGGCCGTCTCCGCCGCGGCCACCTTGACGCTGAGGAGCCCTGCGATACTCGATGGGAGACGGAGTTGACATCGATTCTTGTTGCCGGTGGCCGCACCGTGGTCGGCGAGGCAGCTATGACGGGTTCTACGGCGGTCGGCGACGTGGTTAAGGCGGCTTTTGCTGCTATCGCCGGTGCACAAATGGCGGCTCCTGCAGCCGTGACTAGGTGCGGATGAGCTTCACGTGTTTTTTGCATTTTGTGTCGTTTGTTGATTTGAGCATTTTAGGTCGTTTGTTTTTTGTTTTGTTTTTTTTTTGCAGTTGATGGAGCATGTAGCTTGTGGTGCTAGATAGGTTTAAGTTTTTTTTTTTGTATTTGTCTGAAATGGATCGGAGTCTGCAACCTCTCACCGTCGGCCAAGAGCGTAGCTTGTGCCTTTTCTGGGAGGACGGGGAGGCGGCGGATGGCTTGTTATTGAGCTTGAGCTTGGCAAAGAGAGCCTTGTTCTCCTGGTCAAGTAGGTGTGCCTTCTTTCGCAGTGGCTCAATCTTGGCGGAGAAGGGGAATGAGGCATGACCGGAGAAGATGCTCCCGCCGATGCCGCCGACGCTCTTCTCCACAACACCGGAAGTCACCGCCGTCTGCGCTCTATGGCCCCGCGCGCCGCGGCCTTGACCTAGCCCGCCGTCGGCCACTGCCCCGCCCCGCTCCGCCGGCCAGCCGCTCCGTCCCGCCCGTCGCCCGCTCCTGCCGGCCGGAGAGAGAGAAGGGATAGAGAGAAGAGGGGACAGAGAGGATAGAGAGAAAAGGGAGGAGTGAGGATGACATGTGGGCCCATGTGGGTCCCACCATTTTTTAATTATTTTGTGTGTGAAACTGACACGTGGATCCCACTGGTTTTATTATTTTTCGAGAATGAATTGCCACGTAAGCGCCACGTCAGTGCCACGTTAGATGAAGACCGAGTCAAATTAGCCACGTAGGCGGCACATCAGCCAAAACCGCTATCAAAACCACCGAGGGACTTAGTTTGTCTGGTTTTCGTAAATTGGGGGACGAGTCGTACACGGTTTTGCGGTTAAGGGATGAAAATCAGACTGGCGACAAATAGAGGTACTTAACCTGAACTTATTCTATTCTGACGGCCCTGATTGGAAGAGGCCCTTTCTTGGGCTGGGCCGGGCCTCACTGTCTTCTCTTTTTTAAACTGGGCCTCACAGCCCGGTGGCCTGCTAGCTAGGAGAACTTCTCTGATCCCTTCTCCATTTTCCCTTCTTGTCCTGCAGCTTGTGCACATGTGTGTGCCCCACAAGTCAGTCAACATTCGATTTTTTAAGAATTGTCAGCATAGTACGATCTAGTAACATCCCCTTTTCACTGAGCTGAGTCATTAGACACCACAGACTCACAGAGCATTTGCCCATCACTCAATCTTTTCCCCTAACAAAGCCCCGGTTAAGACTGATATACATGCATGCATGCCTATCTCAATCTCTCATCATCAGGAGGAAAATAAAAGAGAAAGTGATTGCTCTATGAACCGAACATGACAGTACAACTGAAGTGCAAAGTGGGGCCCACAGCNGGATCAACGGACACACAAGTAAAAGAAAGAGAAAGAAACGGATCACACTCATACCTCACACTAGCTGCCGATCTAAATGAAACGAAAACGAGCACCAAACGCTACCGAAACAAAACAAAACCAGACCGACGACCGTACGGCAGCATTTGGTACGGAGTCGTACGGTACGGCACGGTGCGGTCCAGCGAAAGGGAGCACCTAACCTCTCTCTTTTTATACTCCCTCTATCCTATCCTATTGTAAGTATAGACATAAATCTTCGTGTCCAACTTTGATCGTCCGTCTTCCTATCCTATTGTAAGTATAATCATAAATTTTCGTGTCTAACTTTGATCGTCCGTCTTATTTGAAAGTTTGTTATGATTAGTATTTTATCGTTATTAGATGATAAAATATAAATAGTATTTTATGCACAACTCATATTTTTTAACTTTTCAAAAAAAATCTTTTAAATAAGACGGACGATCAAAATTGTACACGAAAAATCATGGTTGTATTTTAAATGGGACGGAGTACTAGTTTTTTTTTTCGGTCGAGAGGAAAAATAACTAATTCGATCACATAGCATGCACGCGTGATGACATGACACCCTCCCCGGTTTGATGGGTCACAGCCTTTGCGTTGCATCACCGGCAAGGCTCTTTGTCTTGCGTGCCGTCTCATCTAGGAGGAAAAAAACACACGAGCTAGCTGTACGTTTCATGGCCGAATCAGCTGGCAGATCGATCGATCGGCTTCATTATTCCGTGTAGGCACCGGAAAGTTTCAGATCGATTAGCCAGCTGTTTATGTCAGGTAGTTATAACTAGGAGTACTTGTTCTGTTTCAAAATAAAACAACTTAGAATCAAACGCGATATTTAATTTTCTAGTACTACGAATATGGATAAATCTCCTATCTAAATTCATAGTACTAGAATATATGTCTGTCTAATTATAGTTTGCTATATTCTGAGATAGAGAAAGTATTAATCGACCTTGCTAATTAGCTCATCGATAGTCTCTACTTGTAGGTAATTACAGTACATACAACAGTTATTAGTATAACACACACATCATTTTCTAGAATAAAGGATGTTGCTGTAGTAATAAATTGCTCCATCAGACAGAGTAATTAACACCTACTAGTAATTAATTAGTGTGATTAGATATAGTCAGAGGATCGACCGAAGACTGATCGGATCTCAACATCTGCTTTTTCTCTCCCCCACGTAGAGGTAACAGACTACATTACCGTCAATACTCAAAAAGAATTGTCACAATAAATGCGCTTTTCTCTCAACCTATCCATGCACAAAACAAAAGCATCGCTAATCATTCCACCTTATCAAAAGAGTCGGACGTACTGATTGGAAACCGATTAACTGAAGTAGAACCGAAGAAAATAAATTTTCAGAACATTTATTATTCTCTATATCCTAAAATATAAAGAATTTTAGACAAATAGAACAGGCGTGTCCCCTCCATCCCAAAATATAAGCTTTTATTCATAAATTTCTCAATATATTTTAGGATGGTGAGAACATTTGGACATAGAGAATGCTATCTCATCTGGAAGGGCGCACTGGAGGCGCATGGTGTGGCGCATTCAGTGCGGACGAGACAGGGCTACATGAGATGTCGGCAGCCCACGCGCCGGTGTCTGCCCTCGCACTGCACCACACCATGCAGCGCAGCGACCCACTGCGTCGATCGATCGGTCGGTTTCAGCGGTAACGGACGGAGCGCGACGGGTAACCGTACGGAGGTGGGGCCCCCACCCCCACCCGCACCCGCATCCTCCTTCCGTGCCCGTGCCTACGGAACCGTACAGGGCCGGTACGGAAGCCACGGCCCCCGCGAGGCGCACGTGCCGTCCCCCCCTCGGATTCCGTACTCCGATGGGGACCCGACCCGACTCCTCTCTCTCTCTCCCCCTCCCTCGCTGTTGCCTGCATCACACTACCGTACTCCGACGACACGTGTACGTGAGGCTGCAGCTGGGCCCCACTCGTGAACTCCGCGGTGGCGCGAACGCTGTGCGGTGTTCCGCGGCGGCGCACGAGATCCCGGCTCCGATCCCACTCAAACCGGAGCGCAAGTACGCCCCCCGTGGTCCTAATCGTACCCGCACCCACTGCCATGTGGGGCCCATGCGTGCGTGGGACCCACCTGTACGTGTTGGCAACCTCAGCCCCACGCGGGTATATAGCGACGTGCTCGCCCTCGTCTCTCCGCCTCCTTCCTCCCTCTCTCTGCGCGACACTGTGCTCTCTCTTCCTCCTCCATTATTGACGATGAGGGGGTTGATGCGGTGCGCGTCGACGGGGGCGTGCAGGGTGGCGCCGGGCGCCGTGGCGGCGAGGGCGTCGGCGGCGGCGGTGGGAGGAGGGACGACGAAGGTGCCGGCGGGGCACGTGCCGGTGGAGGTGGGGGCAGAGGGGGAGGAGACGGAGCGGTTCGTGGTGCCGGCCGAGCTGCTGGGGCGCCCGCCCATCGCCGAGCTCCTCCGCCGCGCCGCGCAGGAGTACGGCTACGCGCGCCGCGGCCCGATCCGCATCCCCTGCCCCGCCGCCGCCTTCCGCCGCCTCCTCGGCGCCCTCACCGGCGGCTCCGGCGAGGGGGGCCTCGCGCTCTCCTACTTCAGCGTGGTGGTCTGAATCTGATCGAACCTGCAGCTAGCTAGCACATGTAGTAGCGTAGCGTTGATCCCTTTCTTGATGAGGAGGCGTGTAGCTGTTGTGCAGGAGGCGTGCGTTGTGTCGTGTGCTCGTGTGGCTGTTCTAGCTCGCTCACCTTCTTGCTTTGCTTTCTGGAGGCTCTCTTTTATTAGCTTTGATTCCATTTGTTTCTTGGCTTCTTCTACTACTACTCCTTTTTCCTTCTTTTGTGTAATAATATGCATGTAAATTTTGTAAATCTAGATCGATGAGATGTTTAATTTTATATAGTTGTAGATTATTAGAGCAGATCTGAGACTTTTTTATTACTTGCCTGATTAATTGTTTGGCTTGGTTTGATCACCTCTAATATAGCTTCACATCCTGGTGATCCAGAGATAACAAGCACGTAAGATTAGTTGCATTTTTATACTTCCAACTAGTAGTTTCGTGCTACTATATACTTCAGATTGGTTCTAGCGCCGGATGGTAAAAACAAAATAATTGCCGATCCAATCTTTGATTACAGAGAGGAAGACGTTTGATTAGTCACTCATTTGGCATGACCAATGCAAAGCAAGTATTAGCTCATTTCAGCTGTAATTTTGTCCCATGCCTGCATCGTTGTACGTGTGTCGTCCTCTGTATAAAGAAGCATATAGCGAGTCATTTTATATGACACTTAACCAAATCGATTCTGAAACTAAATATTTTCAGTTAAACAATTCGTTGCTTTTGTAAGATATTTACTACTCCTATTTTCTATCTAGTTGTTTTTCAAGATACTTTCTTCCCATCCCCTCCATTTGGATCCAGTTGATCTTAAAGAAGTTTGTGCTAATCCTAAGGACAAAGTAAAGTAGCGCAGAATCAGTGTGCACTCAGCTCTTTATCTTAGTCAAAAAAAAAAGCTCTGCTTTATTTTGCTGGTACGAGAAAATTCGATGCTCCCACAAAGGAGCTTAATTTAAACCAAAGAACAAAAATAAAGTAGAATTTACAGATGGTCCAACGATATTTGTACATTAAAAAAATTCCAAAAAGTTGGCGATGGATAACCAATTAAAGGAGGAGCGTGTGGAGGTGATAGGATTGGAATGGAATCACATATAAAAGAGACACCGGTCTATTAAGCTAAGTTGCTGTCCGTGATTAGTAAGCAAGCTAGTAGTAGCAGCAAGTGTACGCCACCACATTTCGGATACGTACAATATGATCTAATCTAATTGATGGTCTATCGATCGGAGGACCATCCAAAGTGGAACTCATTAGTGGCGGCTACTAATTTGATCATCATCGTGGATCTCTGGGAGCTTACCACTCTTCTTTTCGATGCTAACAGAACGGCTTTGATATTTGAAGAGCAAGTTAACAGAACGGCTTTGATATCTCTAGCAAGTTAATTTGCAGATAATTTTAATGTGGTTTTTACTAAAAGAGTCGTTGGAGCGATGCTCTATTTTTAGTCAATTTGATCCCCCTTTTCTTCGGAGCTATATATACTAACAGATATTAAAAGGTATATTAAGAGGTAGAGTAATATGTAGACAATTGATAAAAAAAAGGAGCCCCTTGCCATTGTCCTATAGGGCGATCTTTCTCTAAAAAACACTCTCTCAGAGGGCGTTAGGGTACATTTCTGTAATTCTTGAAAAAAAATATGTTCCTGCATATTAATAAAAAAAATCAATAAATAGAAAAAATCGTTACTGGGCCACACCGGTGTGATTTTTATGGGCGAAGGCCCACGGGCTATTTTAGTATAGGCTTAGAAAAGGAGGAAAAGGTACACTGAAGGTCTCTCAACTTGTCATCGAGTTACAAAATCGTCCTCAAACGCAAAATCGGACATAAGTCATCTCTCAACTTACAAAACCGTTCCCTTTAGGTCCTTCAGTGGTTTTAATCCGGGTTTTGTTCGACATGGCGGTTGCGATAGTGCGGGCCCCACATGTCCGAGATGCTACTTTAACCAACAATATATATAAAAGTAAGATATTTTATATAAAAAGAGTTACATATTATGATAGTTTGTTTAATGATAAATATAGTAACATTAATTTTACATGATTGATTTTTTTTATTTTTTTGTTACTAATAGTTAAAGTTGAAAAATATTTGACTTGTCATTATGTTAAAAATACTTATACTTTAGAATGGAGGGAGTAACTTATGGCGGTGGAGTGGCTGAACACAACGTGCCGCACGCAAGAGCAGATGGCAGCAATGGAAGAAACAGCAAACACGTGTAACACATCAGCCAACCGACAAATAAAAGGAGCTTCAGCAAATTTTTGCAATGGCGGACACGACAACGTACGTAAACCTTCGGCAAGAACACCTCACTTTTTTGCATACAAGCAAACACACAGACACACACACTATTTTTTTTTGGAAAGAAGGCAATTTTTCATTACCCGGCTTTGGGAGAAAGCCAAAACAGCACACAAAAGTCTGGAAAAAAAACTAAAGCAGAGAAACTAAAAAGAAAAAAACAGGGCATGACAGCCCAGATAGAACATCACAAGCACAAGGAAGGATCTAAACCCAAAAGGCACCCAGTACACCTGGTAGCCTGGTAGAGCACCTAACCCATCATCTAGTCTACTCCCTCTGTTTTAGGTTATAAGACGTTTTGACTTTGGTCAAAGTAAAACTATTCTAAGTTTGATTAACTCTATAGGAAAAAAGTAATAATATTTACAACACCAGTATAGTTTTATTAAATCTATAATTGAATAAATTTTCAAAATATATTAGTCTTGGGATAAAAATATTACTACTTTTTTCTATAAAATTAGTCAAACTTAAAACGTCTTATAACCTAAAACAGAGGGAGTATTACATCATGAGAAAAAGCTATAAGATAACATCTGGAAATCCAGACACTCGGAGGTGCAACATCTTATCCATCAGTGCTTTAATCCAACCATTGAGCAGATCGCAGCCTCATGTTTTTTTGTAGCTTCCCCCATCGCTGCAAAAAAGATAAAGATTTGTAAACTACTTGCAGAGCTCTTTTAGGTAGCTTATTCTCAAACGCCCAGGATCCTGACGACATCACCTGGAATTGGACCGAGTCTGGCGTCTACACAACAAAGAGTGCTTACCTTTTCCAATTCGAAGGCTCATTTGCCACCAATGAGTTTGATTCTCTATGGAAATCCCCGACTGAACCAAAAATAAATTCTTTGGTTGGCTAGTTCTCCATCAAAAAACTTTGACTGCCCAAAATCTGCTCCGTAGGCATTGGCCTTGCAATTGGATATATTGCCTTTGTGGTTGTGCCTTTGAAGATACAAATAATTTGTTCAGTGACTGTGTGTTTGTCAGAAAAGTGTGGACCCTAATTTGTCAATTCCAAAACTTGTCTTCGGTCGGAATAAATCCTGTCCTGTATGTGTCAACATGGTGGTCTGGAACCAAATTTGCAGGCTCTAAGAAGGATGTGCAGCTGGTCAGAGGAACTCTTCTAACTACTTGGTGGAATATTTAGTTGGAAAGAAATAGAAGAATTTTCCAAAACTCTTCATGTTCAGAGATCGAAGTAGCTTATTTTATCAAGCAAGCTATTGATATGCGCAGCTTGGTCTTTAAACCCCTATGAATTGTTTTTAGCTTTTCCTGCAGCTGTAATTCTCTTTCCATCCCTTGGCTTGTAACCTCTGAACCTCTGTGCTACTTTATAATTTTTCTCTTCTAATGTTAATTTCCGGCAGATCTCCTGCCGTCGTTCTCCTAAAAAAATCGTTACGAGCTAACCAAATCCCCCCACAAACGCAGCAATGAAAACATTTTTTTTTTGTTTTAAACTTGTCATTGATCAACCTCACCCTATCTTCCAAGGAGGAAGGCACTTGCTGCAACTCTAGAGCATCCCTAACGACACACCAAGCAAATTTTGACACCGGGCAACTAAACATGACATGTTTTGTTGTTTCATTCCTTAGGCACATCTTACACTTTTCATCCCCACCCTTAGTTGCTGTAATCTTTCTCCTCATTAATTTCAATCTCATCTAGCATACTTCTTAGTTGTTGTAAATCTCTCTCATCCTCCTGAGACGGGTTTCTTCTAAAGTTGAGATCTCATTCTCCTCCCTTCAAAATCTTCCTCACTGAAGCTTGCCGATCTCTATTAATCTCATAGAGACCAAGAAACTAAATCCTTAATGGAGTCTATCCAACCCAAACATCATTCCAAAAAAGAGTCTGGTTCTCATTGCCTACTTTTTTCCAGACAATTTTTGCATCCATCTTTTACAGTCATGCAGCCCTCTCCAAAATTGAGATCCCCCAGTAGTCGAACTATGAAAGAAGCCTCCCTCCCCCATTTAATTCTCAAAAAATGTATAAGTGGATAATGGCCCTGTTTGGATCCGGAGGGCTATCCCTCCGAAATTTTGCTATTTAGAAGTATTAAATGTAGATTACTGACAAAACCAATTCCATAATCCCTAGGCTATTTTGCGAGACGAATCTAACGAGGTATATTAATCCATGATTTGCTACAGTAATGCTACAGTAATCAGTCGCTTATCATGGATTAATATATATCATTAGATTCGTCTCGCAAAATAGCCTTGGGGTTATGAAATCGGTTTTGTCGGTAATCTACGTTTAATACTCCTAAATAGCAAGATTCCGGAGGGCTATTTAATAGCTCGGAGGATCCAAACAAGACCAATGTCTCTTATAGATGGTGTGATAGCTAGTTTAGATAAACAAGCTATCACTACCTACATAGTCACGTCCATATAGTACGCGATCGCTCAACACTGCCGTTTCTTTTTCCGGTCCGATCGTGCGATTTTTCCTTTTCTTCGTATGGTGTTGTTCGTGGGCTGCACGTAATGGTTGGCCTTCTGGCCATGTGTTCTAGCCCGTATGTTAGTTTGCTAGACTTTTGGCCCATATGCTAGTGATATTTCTATGCATGAATATAAACTTTGTACATGTAGACTTTATACATAGAAATATATTTTCTATTCTATATAGGAATTTTATACATAGAAGCTTATAAATTTTATACAGGATAAATAATGTTGCTAATTTAGTTGTTTGTCATGAAGTTCTCCTCTCCAAGTATACGCCTACACAAATATGGCACACAGGAGTAGAGTATCAACGAGGGTACTTAAAAAACCACCAGAAAGGAAGCAACAAAGAAGAAAGTTGGACTGATGTGTCAGCTGAAGAGTTGAGTGAGCCAGAAATGATAAGCAAATAAAGATTCCCTGGGAGGCAAAGAATAACAATGATCTCATTTAAATGGTAGCATAAAAAGTAATTTTGTGAGTGGCAGTATTCATCACTGACGGTCTATTAAAGGATATGGAGTGATAATTCCACGCCACAAGAAAACGCCCTATAGGGCTTAAGACAAAAGCGAAACCAGTATATCCAAGCCACAAATTGTGATTGTTCTAAAAATGGTAAAAATTGACATAGACTACACTAACTAAATATTCTAACAGCTCCCTTAACTCATTCAATTAAGTCTCCCCTCGATGAGAAGCACAAGAGAACACCGAAACCACCAACCCAAGTCACTGAACTGGTCATTCTTCCGGCCAGTCCGGCTAAAGAAGTCATCAACTCGAAATTTCAACGGATGAGCTGCAACCACCACCGAAGGAACGCGACCTGGACGGAAAAATTGAGTATAACTTGCTACATTTCTCATATATGCAGAAGATTGGAAATAAATCAAAGCCAAACTTGAATGATGCCACACATTGTAAATTAAATTAATCACAGAATCCATAGGGAAGAAACAGAAAACTCACGAATTGGAAATAATAATAAAATAGGCAAATTCTGCTAATGTAAGCCCCTCCAAGGGTCCCAGTATTCAAAATCCAGTAAAAGCATTGTTGAAACTACTTGGAGATTGACAGTAAACCTTAGAAACCAGATTTGTTTCCATGCATGAAGGATTGGATTAGCAATGTATACCTTTTCATGCCACTTTCAACAATTCTGACTCTTCCATCCATCTGGGAGTTGTATTCTTGAAATTGTGATTCTGAATGCTGAGTAAAAGAAGTAAGTATTGTTACTGCCCTATCAATTGGCAAGGTTCCAATGCAATAATAGAAATATTTTGTGAAAATATACTCTGCGTTTGATGTTGAATCAAGCTAGTGATAACTCCACATGCCCCACCCTAAAGAAGTAAAGAACACACACAACAAAAAGAAAACAAATTTGTATGCGATCCACGATCATGGTTCATGAACAAGAGATCATATGTAGCACAAAATTATTCTTAGAAAAGAGCAGCAGTTGGAAATCAGTAAGCAATCGTTGGCCTATTGTAGATGACTAAGGTGAGGTACAGTACTGAACTTATTTATTCATTTTTGCAGTCAATTTTTTCTTGTTTATAGAAAGTGCCAAGTGATGCTTACTTGAACAAACTCCGTAGTTATCTGTTGCGTTGTTGGACTAATCGCTTGGTGAGCAGTTGTTTCTGGCCTTGTTGGATTGTTTCTTGCAACTGAACCTTGACCGATATCACTAATGATCAACGGACGCATCATGTCTGCACAGAAGTACTCTCAAGTTAGCTGGAATCCTGGAGTAAGCATCATTGTGGTATATTATTACCAACTCAACTACATGGTTAATATTCTCCTGACAATATATATTTCATATATTATAGTTATAGATGAAAAGAGAGGGTTGTTCCCATTTGATTTTACAGATGTGATTTCCCTCAAAAAGAAAAAAATGCTGACTCAGCGATATACTTTTAACAATGATAATAATCCTAATAGTACATATATAGGACGCTAAATTGGGGCTTCATGGTGCCTGGGCTTCAATGATAACTATCAAGTAAGAGTGTGCACTTAATTCACATGCAAGAATTTGATGGTATTCCATCATTTTAGCAGGAATTGTAATACAAAACATATGCATGTGACCAAGAAACAATATGCTGCTCTATATAATTGAATAATGAAATTGAAATATGGCTGTTGGCATGGGATGTTATTACTAATACATTTTACCTGCAATAGTTTGTGTTGAGATCCCATAACTGTTAGCAGGACTATCCAAACCAATTGGAGCACCAGTAACACCTGCAATGTTTTCAGGAATTAGAAATGACAGCAGGTACCCACCAAGTGTAGCAAGACTACTAAGCTCAATGCGTTTTGAAATCTGAATTGCTAACAATTAGAAAATTGGAAATCAATTAACATCTAAATGCTTCGATGGACCACTGAACGAAATCTGTTTCCACAAAGGGTTTTAAAAGATTGATTCATGGTCCTACAAATAGGCCCAGAGATGTAGCAAGAACAAAAAATAAGCAGCGCCAACAGCATGTACATGCTGTGTCAGGTGAATATATAGGCCATAATACAGGAAGATCTAAGCATAGAACACAGTGAATTTGTTTGATTAAGAGAAAACAAATTATTGTAAATTGTAACACTGATAAAGTCAAGTGCAAAAAACGAATTATGATGGGCTGGTTGACTAGTTCATTGCCATTTTATATGAGTTTCTCTATGTTCTCTAAACATCCTGCGCACAAAGCCAACACTTAAATTGAAAGGAAAGGAGAGGTCAAACTCGAAAGCAGCTAAAGAAATCTTATGCATAATTGGCCCAAAAGGCTCCAATGAACTTCACGCAAAGAAAATGGTACCGATATTTATCTGAGCAAATACTCCATAACTGTTTTCAGCTACCTTCGTTACAGGAGTGTTTAAATGGATATCCATCACGCAGCACACCAGCTTGCAAAGATTTGTCTGAAAAGGTTCGGAAGTCAAGTGACAATGGGAAGTCAACAAAGGCAGGAGACACAAGGCAAACAAGTATTACCGATGATATCTGCAAGCCAGTTTGCTGCATTACGTGATAATCCTGACATTGAAAAACATGGTTATAAGTATCATGCCTAATAATATTGCTGGTTCTGCTTATTAAATCTAGATATGAATATGGAGAGATATAATCGATTTATAAACTTATATACCTGTGTAATATCTCTCCTGACAGATAGTAGAAGAGGGCAGCCTGCACAAAGCAATGCACATGTGTCATGTGTGTCAATGTCGAAAATCCTGAAACAGTGGAAAAAATGGAGAGAAATTGAATTGTGGTCTACCCTCTCTTCTTCTGAAGATAGAAGCGGGCAATATCAGGTGGAATCCGGTCTTCATTCTTCACGTGGCGCCTCCGATGAGAACTAGTAGCAAAGATTTTCAGTTAATATATAAAATGAAGTCACAGCAGTTGATACATACTGACAATGGAAATCAGCTGTACACTGATAGTGATCCATATGGAGCAATGCGGGCACAAAGGGTCACCAAATTCAGATCAGCTGCTGAATTACTGCAGTATAAATCGAAGGAAGTAGCATTACCTGGACCCAATGGGGAGGATGTTGTGTGGCTTGATGGGGCCACCTTTCGGTAGCTTTAGCAGGTCGTTGAACTCGGGGATCTGAGGGATCAAGTCCTTGATGATCTCGGCCGCCTTGTACCTCACCAGATGCCAGTTGAGGAACGCCCTATGCATAATAATTCCGTTCCAAGAAAGAGATGGATGGTGAAAGATGCTTGGAAAACAGTAAATTAAGCATGCAAAACTGTTAAGACTTGTGAAAGGGCTGGTTGCAGTGTTGAGGGCTAAGTTCCTTGTTTGATGGGGTAAGTTCCCAACTTAAAGGGCTGTATATATCCGGTTGGATGTTGAGGCTAGGTAAAAATTGTCTTTCTCTAAAAAAAAAAAGAACTGTTAAGACTTATATATGTCTCTGTTGTTATCTGTTACACCGATCTCCCTAAATCCCTCCCATAATCAACCCATTGGGCTGTTAAGTTAATCTACTCCAGGGTTGGAAATTTCCCCTCCGATACGATATTACTTCGGCCGAAAATTTTTAATTTTTTCATGAATTTTGGTAATATTTATTTAAATTCAACTAAATTTTGTTTAAAATTTCAGACCGAAATTTCGGTATTTTGGTGAGGCCCGATCAAATCCGCTGAACCGATAGGATTAATCCTGATCTACTCTACAAAAAGTGTTGTTGTAGTCGTACCTGATTGGATGGCAGTGGAGAATGGTGAGGAGGATGCGTATGAGCTTGATGGCGCCATGGGAGGGGTTGGGGTTGTCCCTGACGTGGCGCTGGTAGCTGGCGGCCACCTGAGCGCCCCGCAAGTGGTCGCCGGCGACGATGCAGTCGAGGACGTGGTGGATGTAGAGGAACTCGTGGAAGACCAGGCCGGCATCGGTGAGCACGCGAGACGGCGGCACGAAGCGGTTGACGTAGCTGGCGGCGTCCGCCCACCGGCCCTGCCTCACCAGCGCCTGGATGTGCCCCACGCGGAAGAGCACGGACGTCTCCTGCACCAGCCTGCGTTGCAAACAAGTCGGTGCCATTGAGGCGAGGCGAGAGATCGAGAGGATGAAGGAGGAGGAGGAAGATTGGTGGTGCTCGGGCTTACGCGTCGAAGGTGGAGTCGTAGTCGTGGCGGCTGAGGAAGGCGAGGAGGCGACGGTGGCGGAGCCGCGACACGCAGGGGTACTCGAGGGAGTGCTGCTGCACATGGCGCTTGCGCTTGCGGTTGCCGGAGCCGGAGACGACGGCGGCATCGCCGGAGAGCTCCATGGCAGCCAGATTCGTATTAAGCGCTTGAGCTTGAATTCGAGGGGGGAAGCGAAGCGGCCGATCTTATCTAAAATTCGGGTGTGAGTATGACACGTGGGATCCTACTGACTTCCTCCATCTCCGTCCTCGTCCCTCCGTTTCCTCCACTTTCCTCCGTACCTCTGTACTGTCCTCTCCCCCTCCCTAACAGTTATTTTGATTTACTAGAAAATATGCCCGTACGTTGCCACGGGTGACTATTATTTTAATCTTACTATTGTTATACGGTTTAGCTAATATGAATTTCACTTTGGAATTCGCTTAGATATTTTTTAAGAAAATCATGAACTGCAATTAAGAGTATGACTTTCATCTTAAGTTAGCATGCGAGTTTTTTAAAAGGGATTTCTTATACGACACCTTTAATATTTCTAAGCAAACGAATTTAAAATCTGACTCAAACACGGATCTGTATTTTCAAAAGCGAACGGACTAAAAAACTGACTCCAATACAGGTGACGTACCAAAATACTAGCAAAAACATGTTCAATTTTTCATCATTTCTGCCCAATTGTGATATGTAGTTTAGGATTTTAATTTATTTCAATGAATGTTATTTACAACCCGTTGCAACGCACGGGCATTTTCTTAATAAGAGGAGGTGATAAAATGTATAAAAACATAGTAGGAAATTTAATATGAATTTTCAAACATATGGATGTACTTTTAAAAAATATAATCAGTTTAGGAGAGAAAAAAATTGGAGAGGATAAGCATCATTGGTGATAAAGTGTAGAAAAACACGGTAGGAAATTACATATGTTTCTGGTTTAGTATTAATTTCAAACATATGGACATACTTTTCAAAAAAAATAATAATAAGAGGAGGTGATAAAGTGTAGAAAAACACAATAGTAAATTACATATATTGCTGGTTTAATATGAATTTAAAAATATGGGTGTACTTTTGAAAAAAAATATAATCTGCTTTGGAGAGAAAAAGCAAAAATTATATGGACATACTTTTCAAAAATAATAATAATAAGAGGAGGTGATAAAGTGTAGAAAAACACAATAGTAAATTACATATATTGCTGGTTTAATATGAATTTCAAAATATGGGTGTACTTTTGAAAAAAATATAATCTGCTTTGGAGAGAAAAAGAAAAAATTGGAGAGGATAAGCAGCATAAACCTGAGGGGTGATGGGAGTCGAACTCCAAAACCTTTGGGCCACAAGTTTCATCACCTAACCAACTAAGAACGTGGATGGTTGTGGCCATAATGTGTTGCTATACAGTATGAATATTTTTCGGTTAGTGAGCCCACATCAATCGGAGTCCTTCACTGTCACGCCCCGAACTAGCCCCGAGCGGGACTAGCCTGTGACGCTCCAAATTAACCTGTTAATCGATACCAGTCCCAGGAAACAGTGCTGGTATCACAGGAAGACAGAATATCACAGCAACAGAGATCTCTTTATTATAGAGTAGGAGTACAATCATGTTGGGCTGCGGACAGATCCCGAGCTCACAACTGCATTACAAAAGGGAAGCGGAAGCCAAGACTTGGACCACACATCACAGGCGCGACTTGGGAACTAGGCCGAAACCCTAAAACTCATCGTAGCCGACTTGCTCCTGGAAGAACTCCTCGTCAGCGGGATCCGCTTCATCTTCTTCAGCAACTGGCGGGATTATTTATATAGAGCAAGGGTGAGTGTTTAATGCAGGCTTTAAGGAAAGGATGTTGTTTTTGCAATTGATTTTATTTAAACTCTTTTCTGAAACAACTAAGTGAGTGCTTCTCAAACGATACGGATGAGACAGTGCGTCTCGTCCGGTCGGAGTATGTGCAATGTATCAGTCTTTTGAATTGATCAAGGTTGGCACCCGGCCAACAGCTTTCAAATGGCCACCCAAGCCTGGCTGATCCCATCAGCTGCAGATTTTCCAAACATCGAACCCAAACCACATCAGCAAATTTCACAAGCAGTAGTCAAGCAAAACTACGCTAGGAATCACCTCACATCCGCCCATGACCGTGGGCACGGCTATTCGAACAGTTTAATAACCTCTGCAGAGGGGGTACACTTTACCCACACGACATTACTAACCCGGATCATCCAGCCCGTGCAGAACGGCCACGACTAGAGACCTTAAGGCTTCCATGACAAGGCATTTCGAAAGCCGACACAGGTTCACCATATGCCAACGAGAGGGGTCCCAGACCAACACCAGATTAGGTCCCAGACCATACTGTGCCAGGAAACCTGGGGGTTCTCCCCGACACCACCCCGTTGAATCCACATGTCTCTTGGCATCATGGCTCCCCCGTTTAGCTAGTTACTCAGCCAGGGGTGTTCCATTCCACCCATGTAGTCGCACTTGTCTTATGTTCGGATGAAATTCCAAGGAAACGGTCCTTAAGTGCAAGAGCGGAAAACCGTACACCCGGTACGTTCCCCGGTCCGCGATTTTGGAAATTCATTTAGTTCGCAAGCACCGACCCAGGTGTCGGGTTTTCCAAGTCTTTTGTAAAACCCAAGTTTTACCCAAGATGTTTCTCAGATTTTAAGTTTGAAGGCGACCATCGATACTCGTACAGAGTGCACGATTACCGAGGCGCAACTAGGTGGTTACAAGGGAACATGATATAACAATTAACAATGGAAGGATCAGATGCAACAAGTTAGGTAGGCCCACCGATCTGCCTTGCAGACGGGGCAAACAGATTAAGTGCAATCCTATCAATGCATAATATTTTGCAAGCAATATAATTAAGTTCAAATATAGGTTCAAGATGTTCAAAGGTGGCTTGCCTTGCTCGAGATCTTGAGCTTGATCCTCGAAATCCTCGCACTGCGGGTCTTCGGGCTCCGAAACTACACGCGAAACGGGACAACTCAACAAACGGCGAAAATAAAGCCCTATTATTGATCTCTAAGCGTGCCATTAGATAGATCTCGAGATTTGAGGAATTTTGGAAGTTGAACGGAGTCAAACGGTCATACGGTTGAGAAGAAATTGAATTTCTAAGATTATTGGATTTTTGATCTAAAGGAAAAGGATTTATTTAAATCCTTTTTGAAAAAGAAAAGGAAAGAAAGGAAGGAGGGAGGGAAATTAGACTTTCCTCGGGTGGCTAGGGCGCGGCCCGAGAGAAAGGGGCGGCTCGGCCGAGCTTAATGGGTCGGCCGGCCCAAGAAGGCGGCCCAAGGCGCGAGCGGGCGGGGAGGAGAGAGAGAGAGCCGGTGGGCCGGGTCCATCCCGCGTGGTCCCGGGTGGGACCCGCTTGTCGGCGGCTCGGCTCACGTGAGCGAGGTGCACGCGGGGCGTGCTAGGTTTTGGGGAGGGGAGGCACGGCGAGTGCGCGCGGTTCGCGGAGGACGCGGTGCGGCGGGCCCACGCGCAGTCTCACGGTTCACCGCGGACCATGCGCCCCGGGGGGGAACGGAGGGAGCAGCTGGCCGGGTCAGCCGATCCGGTCGCGCCCGAGGTGGCGCCGACGTGGCGCCTACGTGGCTGCCACGCGGGCCGGCTGGAGGAAGACGAAGGCGCCGGCCGCGAATGGACGTCGGGCGTCGGCGGTTTCTCCGGGACGCCGTGCGACGACGAGGGGCGACGGGGCGTACACCGGGCTGACGAGGGAGAGCGAGAGGGAGCGACGCCAACGGCTTGGATTCGCCGGAGGGAGTCCGTCGGCGGCGGATTGCGGCGGCGGCAACCGGCGGAGAGAAAGGGGGGGAACGGCGACGAGGTCACGAGGGGCCGATTCCTGGCGGTGAGAGCATCTACGCGGCTACGGGAATCTGTTGCTAGCGTCGGATTGGGCGGAGCTACGCCGAGCGAGGCCAGCGACGAGCGAGCGCTACGGAGCACGGGCGGCGACGGCGGCGAGCACACAGCGAGCGGCGGCAACGGTCGGGGCGGCGCCAGCTAGCTACGGGGAGGCTACTCGTGCTACTACCCGAGTCTAAGGGGAGGAGATGGAACGAGAAGGGGGAACGTAGGACCTCGTCGGGTGTGGCCAGTCGAGAGCGCGCACGGAGTATCTCTCGCTCGGCGGAAAGAAAAACGAGGCCGATCCCTTCCGGTCTAGGGGCCGGTCTCGGACACNGACGCGGCGGTCGGCGAGAGGACCGGCAATGGCGTGGGTGAAAACGGGAAATTGGAGGGAAAAGAAGGAGGCACCTGGGTTTATAGGCGCAATGTCGGTTTGAACCGACCTTGGCGGTCAAGGGANGAGCCAGCGCTCGGCGGTCGCGGCCCAAACGGCGACAGGGGGGATGACGCCGCGGAGGAAAAGGAAAAAGGAGAGGGAAAGGGCTTGCCCCTTCCACTTTGGGGAAAAAGAGAGGGAGAGAGGCGACGCGGCAGAGGGGGGGAANTCTGCCTCCGTCCCTTGGAGGACGCGCAGGGAGAGGCGGGGCCGAGTCGATGCGCGCGATGACGGCGGGGCAGTTTGGAACGGAGCGGTGACACGGACGGCAGGCGCGCAGAGCTGACGGCGGCGGCGACCAGGCGGTCGGCCACCACGGGGCGCGCGCGGGAAGCAACGGGCGGCGTGGCGATTTCGGCGGCGTCGGCGGGAAGCGGCAGCGAGGGCGGAGGGCGCTCGGCTCGGGCGCGTCACGGACGCGTCGGGCGCACGGGCAGAGCGGGGGAGAGGGAGAGAGAGAGAGAGAGGGAGGGGGAGATGGGGAGGGAGGGGAAGATGGGCCGAGAGGAATTCGGCCCATCGAACCTGAGGGAGGCGAAATAGACTTTTGCGGAGGGATTTGAGATCTGAGATGGCATGGACACTAGACAACAAGCAAAGAAACAGGTTTCGCAATTAGGGTTTTTAAGAGATAGTTTTCCCGCTAGGCGCCACGACGGAACGGGCGCTACATTCACGCACGGACGAAAATTAATGGAATCGATCGCTCGTGCGGATAAAACGGATGACTGACGAAATTTTTCATGGAAGCCTTGCGTATTTTTTAATTAGGTATAGACTAGCAAAATGCCCATGCATTGCATTGGGTGAAGCATAAAAAAACAATAGTAATGGGTGTGTAGGAGCAAAATGCTACCAGATTAATTGAGGTCCTTATAGTCAAATCGAATCTTTCCAGTGCAAGTAAGACGCTAACATGACATAATTATTTGTTGCTCTAAATCCATTGACATGGATGATTATAGGAAAACTATTAATACCACTTTAAAATAAAATTATATATTATAGAGTAAAGTTTGAAACTCAAAAAGTATTTACTTTTGTCCATGTATTATTATAAGTTGGTTGCAATGCATGGTTATTTTTTGTACTTGATATTGATAAACACTTTTTTTTTACATATTGTAAAGAGTAGGAATAGTATAAGAAATGTATTTCGCTATCTATCAAATCAACCTCACTGCACTCCAATCGCATAATCATTTTCACTCAAAAAATTAGAAGGAAATTATACAATGAATAGAAAAAAAATCGATGTAAACACGATTCATTTTGTTGGTGATTACATTTTTTTTTTAAAAAAAAAGACATGTGATTGTTTTCTATTTTCTAAAAATAATTTATTTTGTCGTAAATAATTCATTTAGTTGGTGATCACATGTTTTTCTTAAAAAAAAAGACATGTGATTTTTTATTTTTTAAATTAATAAATTGCTCCTTATTTTTATCTGATTCCCGGTAGAAATAGGGATGGATTTTATATTCGGTGACAAATTAAGGGATCTATAGTGAACTTATTCCCGGTTGCTACAGTATCGCACAGTACTGTACTGGGCTGCTGCTTTGCTATGTGGGCTGACTGCTAGGCTGCGTTTGCTTTTTGTTGGGCCGGCCTGCTGCTGCTTTGGTTGGGCTGCTTGCTAGCTTTCTCTTTTTTTTCGTTTCTCTTTTATTTGTGCAGCGTCAAAATCGCCGTCACGCGTCCGATTCGCGGATTACTGGCGAAAATCACGTGGGCCCACCCATTAATGACTGCCGAAAAAATTAACCGGAAGATTTACCTATTTTTTAATTATTATTATTATTAGGTATATAGATATAGATATAGATTTTTCCTTTTCCTCTTTGGTCTCGTTCTTTTTTTTCAATAAGAGTCGGATGAAGATTAAGATTTTCATAGTACGTTATTCAAACTGCTAAACGGTATGTTTCGTGTGAAAATTTTCTATATAAAAGTTGCTCTAAAATATTATTAATCTATTTTTCAAGTTTATAATAATTAAAACTCAATTAATCATACGTTAATACCACCTCATTTTACATAAAAAAACTTAATCTCCATTTTTATCTTCATCTTCGTGAGAAAAGAACACCTCGTTTTCCTCCCTCACAATTATTTCAACTTTTTTTTTACTCCTCGCAATTAACGTGAGTTCATTGGTTGGACTGTGATTATCTGGTACTACTATCTGATGGACCTCTATATGTTGATGGACCTTCTTTCCAACAACAAAGTGATTGTGGAGAGTTTCCAGCGGGTGAACCGTGAACGTACATATAGGGCTTGTGGCAAAAAAAATTTATCCATATATGTCACATTGGATATACGGATATACATTTGAAGTATTAAACGTACTTTAATAACAAAACAAATTACAGATTCCGCCAGAAAACTGCGAGACGAATTTATTAAGCCTAATTAATCCATCATTAGTAAATGTTTACTGTAGCACCACATTGTCAAATCATGGCGTAATTAGGCTTAAAAGATTCGTCTCGTAATTTCCTGGCGAACTGTGCAATTGGTTTTTTTTACATTTAATACTCCATGCATGTGTCCAAACATTTAACGTGACAGCATGAAAAATTTAACATTAGTAAATGTTTACTGTAGCACCACATTGTCAAATCATGGCGTAATTAGGCTTAAAAGATTCGTCTCGTAATTTCCTGGCGAACTGTGCAATTGGTTTTTTTTACATTTAATACTCCATGCATGTGTCCAAACATTTAACGTGACAGCATGAAAAATTTTGTTTGAGAACTAAACATGCCTATAGTATAATTTTTACGCTGATAGAACACGGCGGTGAGGACCGCTATACATACAATTATGTGTTTACGATTTTCGTAGAAAGGGCTTGTTTAGTTGGCAAAATTTTTTGCCCCTGCATGTTACATTAGATATACGGACATACATTTGAAGTATTAAACGTAGTCCAATAACAAAACAAGTTACAGATTCCGTTAGGAAACTGCGAGACGAATTTATTAAGCCTAACTAATCCGTTATTAGCAAATGTTTACTATAGTATCACATTAGCAAATCATGTCATGTTTAGGCTTTAAAAAATTCGTCTCACAATTTTTTGGTGAACTGTCTAATTGGTTTTCTTTTCTACATTTAATACTCCATGCATGTATCAAAACATTTGATGTGACAGCGTGAAAAAATTTGTTTGGGAACTAAACAGGCCCAAAGTAACACTTCTCCGTTTATTAAAGGTTTCAAGCAGCAGGTTCGGGTCCCAACACAGAAATAAGTTGAGAGAATTCCTTATATGCCACTCTAAATTAGTCTGTTCCCTTATATGCCACTCAAAATTATATCTTTCCCTCTATGCTACTAGTTTAAAATTGTCCACCCTCATGTGCCACTATGGTCACTCCTCCGGCTCTTCAATGTTAACTTCATGTTAGAAAGACCTATTTTGCCCTTACAACTTGCTATAGAACCAGTTGTAGCAATTCGGTGAAATTTGGCAAGCTATTTGCATGACAAAATAAAGTTGGTTGATATGTATATGTATGTAGCATTTTAGTGCTAATATAGCTGTTGGATATGAAAAATGAATTATTCATCACCGCATACAATACCATCACACATGAATTTCCAACAAAAGCATGAAAAATCCGATTTTCCACCAAAAGCCTGAACATGCATTAAATATTGAGGTCTGTAAGTATTACTTGGTCATCACATAAATGTTTAAATCACCACAATCACCTCTCATCACAGATTCACAGTGCATATAACAAAAATAAGGGTGTGTTTAGATCCAGGGGTAAAAGGTTTTGGCGTGTCATGTCGGATATACGGACACACATTTGAAGTATTAAACATACACTAATAACAAAACAAATTACCGATTCCGCTTATAAACTGTGAGACGAATTTATTATGCCTAATTAATCCGTCATTAGCAAATATTTACTGTAGCACTACATTGTCAAATTATGGAGCAATTAGGCTTAAAAGATTCGTCTCGTAATTTACACGCAATCTGTGCAATTTGTTTTTTTCTCTATATTTAATACTCCATGCTTATGTCCAAACATTCGATGTAATAGGGTGAAAAGTTTTTGTGTAGGAACTAAACATGACCTGACTCCATTGTTGCTGCCTTCTCTAGGATCAACGCTGTGTCTGGCTTGCCTTCTCCATGGACCAACAATGAACAGCCGGAGGAGTGACGGCAGTGACACATAAGGGTGGATAATTTTAAACTAGTGGCATTTTAGGAAAGAGCCAATTCTAAGTGGCATATGTTAATATATGTGATCCGAATCTTAGGCCCACAATATATTCAGATTAGTTTACTAAGAGTCAAGTCTTTACCTATTAGGTGTTTTCCTATTATCTCCTATATATACTCTTGTAAGCCATACGCAAAGGGATGACGTTTCCATTGTTATTCATCTACGTTTGTAATCAACTCCTTTATAGTGATTATTACCGGTCGGCGCCCGTGGTTTTTTTTTTTGCAAGGGTTTTCCACGTAAAAGTTCGCGTCTCTGTTGAGAGCATCTATTTTCATAACAGTATATAAGGGGATGGGCTAATTTGGAGTGGTATATAAGAATTCTCTCAAAGAGTAAACATATTTTCATTCAAATCTCTACCTCCGTAGTGTTTTGCTTTTCCTCGTTCGATTCCTCCAGGTTGATTTCTGCTACTTCCGTCTTAGAGTTCTTGTTATTCGAATAATAATTCAAGGCAAATCAGTAAATTAAAGGAGTTACATCAGCATAATTGAAGGCATTAATTTATTATTTGACCTAGTCACCCAATTGTCTCTGCCTTTTTCGGACTTATCACGATCCAGTCATCCAGGATATCATTTTCTACTACATCCTTTCCAGGACAGGTCTTGACATCCGATTCATCACTTATCAATTTCCCAGCAGTGTTGTCCCTGGTAGCAAAGAACAACAATTTATAATATGCTTTTCCAAAGAAGAAAACAGATTCTTTACAGAATACTCCTTGTCTTGCAGATAACAATAATCCAAAAATATCTGCACAGTAAGAATACCTAGTAGGCTTTCCCACAGCAGAATATTCTTTGAGTATGTAGTACATAGATGCCAAGGTCCTAGTCCGGATAAAGATGCTGAAGAACTCGCGTCCATTTTTATCCTTGTGCCTTTCCTTCACCAACTCACACGTCAAGTTGGCTTCTCGCGTGATGCCCTAAAAGTTAGTAGTACATTGCAAGCAAGACCAAGACTGTCATAAACATCAAAGAGTTAATACTGAAGATTAAGTAGATCACAGTTTGTTTTGGTAGAGGCAAGACAAGTACCATCATGGCGGCTGCGGCAAGAATATATTCAGGCTCTTTGTAGGCCATAAATCTTAAGGCATACAGCCGGACTTTGTTGCACAATACAAACCAGTAGGGGTGATCTTCCGCCGCATGAATCAGCATTGCGCACATCAGCTCAGCCTCTTTGGTGATACACTTGGAAGTTGAAAATCAACCATGGTTCGCAATCGGCACAAAATAGTCATTTTCACAAAACAATCAATTGATGTGCATGTCTCCAAATTAAAAAAGAGCTTTAATTTGCTTGGTATTTTAAGGTAGGAATGGATCGAGACACAGTGACGACACACCTTAAACGCGACAGCGGCGGCAGGAAATTCGGATTCCAGCGCGTTCGTCGTCGTTTCACGCGCACGCTTGGTGATCCTGTCACTCGTCCGGCTGATCTTGATCTCGACATTTTCAGTAAACACTCCAGCACGGCACTTCAACAGAAACATCAGATGGCCCTCCATCTCGGCACACTTGAAATGACAATTTTGCAAAAAAAAAATGCACATATAAACTAATTAGAAGATGAAGCTAGAAATACTAGGAACTATAAAACAAGATAAGAAGGTGGCAATCAGGAAGGAAGGAACCTTGTTGGCCAGAGCTGTCAGGCTATCGTCGTCTCCAGTGAGATCAGCAGCAGCAGCAGCATTGGGTTTCTTTTGGTTGCGATTGTAATAATCCACGAGGTATTCCTTGTACCGAGAGAAAGTACGTGCCACACTGAACGGCAGTATGGTATCCCATCCCCATGCTCTCTCGAAAAGATCTGCACAAGCACAAGATAGCAAGTAAATTTCGATGAAAACGAAATAAGATGGGGGATTTAAATCCCTCTACTCTGGAAAACATTCCAATTACTGCATCATCATCGAAATCACATCACTGTTTAACAGCTACCACCAATTTCAATGGAGGAAGAAGATCTACCTGGGTGGTTGATGATCTCGAAAGGCGGCGCTGGCGGGTGGTAACCGAATTTCTTGCAACTTTCCGCGAGTGTAACAGCTGGCATCAGCCTCGCCCTAGCGGTTGCTCGAAACTCGGCATACAAGCGTGCCTCCATTTCGGGGGTAACTGCGATTTCCTCCTCCTCCTCCTCCTCCTCCACTACCTCCTCCTCCTCCGACGACGACGAGTCCTCCTCCGAGTCCTCCGAGTCCACCCAAATCCTCCGCGGGTGTGTATTTGCATCTGCATCACTTGGGTCGGTGGGTGACTCCAGGGTAGGGCAGGGTTGGGAAGGTGGCTCCCCGCTAGTCCATTGGTGAGACGATTCAATCCCCCTTCTTCTTCTCGATGCGGCGGCGCGCCGGAGAGGGCAAGGGCTTCTTCGACTCGAGGAATTTTGAGAGGGAGAGGGGGATCGGAGCAGCTTCCTTTTCGAGGCCTATATATTAGAGCAGCCCGTGGGCCGTGGCCCATACAAAATCGCACCAGTGCGGCCCAAGAACGGTGACGTCATCCTGCTGGGCGACGCTGGACTGGGTCGTCTTCTTCTTCTTCTTCTTCTTTTTTTTGACCGACTGGCTTGGGTCTTCTTCGAGTTCCTCTCCACATGCTCCGTGGCCACGTTGGAGATACTAACAGTTTTTTTTTTAATCATTACTCTCGGAATCGATCCTGTAACAAGTGCATCTTTCTTTATTTGTGCCAAAAGTAAATGGGCATCATTGAATATATTACATGTAACTAACTAAGATTAATTTCTATTGGTCCACCTATATACAGTATGTAAAACTTGATGTAATCCATGGAACATGAAGCGACTTAGCACCTTAACCAATGAGAATTAATTACTGAGTGATGAATGCTTTATTGTTCTTGATCTCTGCACTCTTGGTTAAGAATTAATTACTGAGTGATGAATGCTTTATTGTTCTTGATCTCTGCACTCTTTGCTTAGAGCAGGTACAATAGTAGGCTATAAGTTAGCTATAAACACATTTCGAGAAAATAAAATAAGAGAGAGAATAAAATCGTCATACAAATTTATAGCCAGCTGCAACACAGGCTTCAAAATGTATGTATGTATGTATGACATGTGGGACTAGATATTAATTTTGTAGTATATTTTATAGATAACTATTATATGAATTGGCTATTAAATTGGTTATAGATGATTTGGAGCCAATAGTTGGCTATACTATTAAACTTGCTCTTAGGTGATGATCAAAATGGGATGGAGGAAGTATTATTTAAGAGATGGAGTACTAACAGTTGTTTCAACATCTTGTACATTGCACAAATTGACTATTGGTTTGTAGGAGTACTATGTACCACTCCTTTGTACTCTAATATAAGGGATATTCACTATTTTTTTAATGTTTAATCACTCGTCTTATTTAAAAAATTTTGTGCAAATATAAAAAACGAAAAGTTGTGCTTAAAGCACTTTGGATAATAAAGTAAGTCACAAATAAAATAAATAATAATTTTATTTTTTTAATAAGATGAGTGATCAAACAGTCTAAGTAAAATATCAAAATCCCTTATATTAGGGGACGGAGGGAGTACTTGTATGCTGTTGTCTGAGGCTATGTTTATTTCACACCAAAATCGAAAGTTTGGTTAAAATTGGAACGATGTGACGGAAAAGTTGGAAGTTTGTGTGTATAGAAAAGTTTTGATGTGATGAAAAAGTTGAAAGTTTGAAGAAAAACTTTGGAACTAAACACGGCGTGAATGGTGATATGAAGAGATGAACAAGTTGGTCCTTGCGCATGCATATGTTCCCCTTCTGCTATCTCAACCGTGTCTGTCTTATCATAATCACGTCTCAACTTTCTGTCTATCACAATCAGTGTTCTCAGAAGACTTCAGGAGTCAATGGAGGGTGGTAGTCTGAGAGCTAAAGATTAGGTAGAGGATCAGAGGCAGAGAGGAAGAGTGAGGTTGATCGATGAGAGCACAGTGATTCGGCTCCCATGGCTCTCTCTGTGCTCCTGCTGCTTCTTGCAGCGGTTGCTCAGGCTCAGAAAGCACCGACGGCGACGACTGATCGGATTGAGGGTAGAAGATTCTCTCTTTTTTTCAAAACTGTTATCTCCGACGATGGAGCTATCTCGAAATTCAGTTAAATCAATACGTTTTTGGTTTCCTCTTTTCCTTCCTGAATTCCGGCTGTTTTTTGCCATCTCGTGTTTTTTTTTTAACTGTGTCTGACTTCTCCTGAATCAGTGAATCTTCTATCGTTTGCACACTGAGCTGAATTTCTGCATTAGAATTTTTTTTTCTTAACGTAAACGCACTTGCGAAATCGCGATCCAGATCAGGCGACCTGTAATATTTTTCTCTCTTTCTTTTTTGTGACTGAGGCGACCTGTAATCTGTTCTAGAGTTTCTGGACGCTTCAGAGTTGACCTACGTTGTCCTGCGCTTGCTCCTGGTTTCCTAGCCGTCCGATCTGCTCTGTTCCGGGCAATCGGACGGTCGAGGAGCAGCCGACCGTTTGCTCATAAGTTCTCTCTTGACGTGGCGTTTTGCAGCGGAGGCGCTGAAGGCTGTGTTCGAGAAGCTCGACCAGAAGGCGGAATGGAACACCACCGGCGATCCGTGCAGCGGCGCGGCGACGGACAGCACCGACATCAACGACTCCAGCATCAACCCGGCCATCAAGTGCGACTGCTCCGACCAGAACAACACAGTGTGCCACATCACCGGGCTGTAAGTGTACACGCACACGAGGTGTTCGACGGATTGCCTAGCCTGCAATGCGCGCACCTTCTTGCGCTAGTGTCTCTGACCATTCCAACTGAAAAGTGTTGATCGTGTGATTCAGTTATTTTTCCTCTTATCTGATGAGAAGGCGGAGCTAACACATTACGTGCTGACGCAGGAAGATATATGACAAGGATGCAACTGGCCAGATACCAGGAGAGCTGCGGAACCTCACACATTTAACCCATCTGTATGAACTCTCGGATTTCTTACGTGGAGTGGCCGTGCTCCAACTTCCAAGGCATTGCTCAAACATAGAGCATGGTTAATTAGTTTTTGGGACTTTTTTTTCTGCCAGGAATTTGGGGTAGTTTGCTGTGTGATAGTGCATTCTCCACACGACTTTATATTTTGCCAAAGATTGCACGCTCTTGTTTTAGTCTCCCCATCAGATCTCATTTCAGTAGAGCTGTAGAGGATTGCTACAAAGTTCAGTTGGGGTTACTGATTACCATCATTTGTTATGATGGCTACTATTTATTATAGGCTATTGTTGTAACTTAAAAAGAGTTGCCAAGCTCAACACCAAATTCAATAATGCCATGGAACTTAGAACTCAAATAATCATCTAAAAACTCAAAAAACATCTCTTTTGGATATTCAATAAAACTAATATTGTCGATATCTGATTTGGTCTTGTTTCAGAAATTTATCACATAATTTTTTGGTAGGGACTATACCATCGTTCATTGGGGAGTTGGCTGCTATGCAGTACATGTGAGATTCAGAACTCAAAACATAATTACATTAAATTCATCTGTTTTGCAGTAAGTCTCACATTTTATCTCTTGAACACACTAGGACTTTTGGCATCAATGCATTATCTGGATCTATTCCAAAGGAGCTTGGTAACCTTACAAATCTCGTATCCCTGTAAGAACTATACTTACATTACTTCGTGAACCTAGTTCATCATACAGCTCTACTATATTGAAAAGCTCATAATATAATTTTATCTTTTGTACTCTGACCCTGAATGTTTTAACTGCGTAACAATCATTTACATTAGCAGTGAATTAGTGAAACATATAATTCGAGAATACATGGCAATTTCCCCATGTTTATGATATTCAATCGAGGATTCCGAAATTCTGAGTGAAAAAACAAATTGCATATTCATTTTTTGTGAAATTATTTTATTTGGTTATTGGAGTTAAACTCAGTTGGAAGGATAGATATGCTGACAGCTGACTGTTAATTCTTCCTAGAATATAAATTCTAATACAGATTTATGTGGCTGACATGGAAATTTTCTGGGCTTATTTTCAGGGGTTTCAGCTCAAACAATTTTAGTGGTTCCCTTCCTTCAGAACTTGGGAGCCTGTTCAAACTTGAGGAATTGTGTGTTTCAACAAATAATTTGTCACTTTGTTCTTTTTTCTACGAAGACATTTTATTTTGTTGGACTATTCAGCCTAATGTGTTCTGCTATTTGTATCTCTCAATTGCAGGTTCATTGACAGTGCTGGCTTAAGTGGAGAGCTACCATCATCATTATCCAAGCTTACAAGAATGAAAATATTGTATAAACTTACAAAATATTTGGTATAGCTGACATTAATGTTCCATTCCATAAATTAAATCTTATGTCCTGTATCTTTTACTTGTTCAGGTGGGCATCGGATAATAATTTTACTGGGCAAATACCGGATTATATTGGGAGCTGGAATTTAACAGACCTGTAAGATTGGTATTTAGCTTTTGTTCATGATAAAAATAATCAAGAAAATAGGGAAGTTAACCTTTTTTTATATAGTTTAAAAGAATATGGGTAAATTCTGCTACAGTTTTACACAAACTGAGCTTTAGTTTGAGAGAAAAAACAATATTTTGTACCTGACTTCTATTCTTTAAGAGATTTCTAGAGTATACCTTGGCTGTGCTGAGGTCTCTTTATTTAATATATCCTCAGAGAGCACTAATAAACAATGCATCTTTCCTCTGTCGCCATTCATAAAGATATTGGTGCTAGTTTTGAATAAGGTGCTAGTATAAGCATTGAATCTGTTTCCCTGTAAAAGAAGTTGTAATTTTAACTACGCAAAGTTTTCCTCCTTTTGTTTTACTAGAGTTGAGACACTACTAGTTTAATGTATCACTAAATAAATGATAATCTAAATGACAAACTACATCTATGAATCTGTAGGCGGTTTCAAGGAAATTCTTTTCAAGGTCCACTTCCAGCTAATCTTTCTAATCTTGTCCAATTAACAAACTTGTAAGTGCCTACTGCTGGCAATAATAGTTATACACCGTTCTTAAATATCAAAGGTTTCATCATAGGAAAAACAAATAATCTATTTCTGTGGTGCAGGCGAATTGGCGATATAGCAAGTGGAAGCTCATCTTCACTGGCATTCATCAGTAACATGACATCTTTGAATACCCTGTATTTAAATTTGTTCACTTAATTAACTACTTAAACTACTATTCAGATTTTACTGTGGTGCAAACCAATTTGTTAAATCCTATACTTAAGTTTTATCGTTCTATGCAGGATTTTGAGGAACTGTATGGTATCTGATAGTCTTGCATTAATAGACTTTTCGAAGTTTGCAAGTTTAACCTTACTGTAAGATTTTTATTTCTATACTAGACTATAGTCAAGTGTATTTTGTGCAAGATATTGGATGCATTTCTATGGATCATGCACTGACCTCTGGTTGTTCTCAATTTGTTCTTAATATTACAGGGATTTGAGTTTTAACAATATCACTGGCCAAGTACCACAAACCTTGTTAAATCTGAATTTTCTTAGCTATTTGTATGGATTATCTTGCCTTCCAAAGCCTATTTCCTGGAATATAAGGGTTATTTGTTTATCTTGCTAATGTTTGCAAGTTTTACGTGATCAGATTTCTTGGAAATAATAATCTTACAGGAAGCCTTCCAAGCTCAAAAATACGTTCATTGAGAAATTTGTATGCATATGTGATCTATTTATTTGAACAACAAAAGGAGGTGTTTAATTTATCTCTAATGACAATTTGGCATTTTAATTTCTGCAGAGATTTTTCTTACAACCAGCTTTCAGGAAATTTCCCTTTTTGGGTTAGTGAGGAAGATTTGCAATTGTAAGTACCAATTTCTGAAACATCCATTAACTAATTTAAGCAAAAACAAGGACATGTTTGACCTATGTTAGGTTTTGTAAGCTGGGCATGTTAGGTGTATTTGATAAATCTGAAAGGTGTATTTTAATGTATCTAGCTTGTAAGTCTTCACAAAATTGTTGGATCTAGAATCTATAGGCCACCTGTGATTCAGATTCTTCATGGAAACAAGAATTAATCTTACAACTTAGCACAAAAACAAATCCTTTTTTTTATAGATTGAGTTTATTTTTCAACGAGCCAGCGAACACCCGCCGAAGTTTATTAAGAGGGGTAGAAACAGAGTTTACAGAGCTTCCAGTATCCGTGTCTTTAAACACTGGCAACAGGCCAAGCTGCTAAACTACAGACACCACACTACAACACAGCAATACACAGCAGCAGCCACAGAATCTACAGGCCGGCACCCACGATACCTTGCCGCAGTCCTGCTACAATCGCCATCTTAAGTTTATTTTTGTCCAACCTAGAGCAGACAAGCTCCAAATATGCTTGGAATTATGAATTACAGGAAGCCTTTTAATCTTAGTATTGTTTATTCTACTTAGGAATTTGGTGGCAAACAATTTCATGGTCAATATATCCAATAACAGGTGCACCCACCTTTGAATTTCTCCTTGATAACTCGAGAATAATTACAGCGTTTTCTCAGCTTCTATTTTGAATTAAAAATGTTGATATTTTGCATCCACAGTGCCTTACCTTCGGGGCTGGAGTGTCTTCAGCAAAATACTCCGTGCTTTCTTGGTTCTCCACATTGTGAGCCTTTCACCTTTTGCAATATGAAGAATGTTCTTTACTGTAGAAACACGATATCTGCAACCGCAGATTTCTTTCGTCAATACTAATACTAATTGATCTTACTTGCAGCTGCCTCCTTTGCTGTGGACTGTGGTAGCACCAGATTCATATCAGGCTCACGTAATTCCAGCTATCAAGCTGATGCTACCAATCTTGGAGCTGCATCATATCATGTTACAGAACCTTTGACATGGGGTATTAGCAACGTTGGAAAGTTCATGGACACACCAAATGGAACTACCATAATCAACAACGCGCGCCAGTTTCAGGCCACGCTAGATTCGGAATTGTTCCAAACTGCAAGGATGTCGCCATCATCTTTAAGATATTACGGTATTGGACTTCAGAATGGAAACTATACAGTCTCACTTCAATTTGCAGAGTTTGGGTTTGAAGATACAGAGTCTTGGAAAAGCCGAGGGAGAAGGGTTTTCGATATATATGTACAGGTAGGTTAAGGTTTGACACAGAATTTGGGTTTGAAGACACAGCCTTGGAAAAGCTTATAGATTATTCCTTTTTTTCGCTTAAAAAAATAAACTGCACTTTTCGGTTTAGCTCATAATCAGCTCAAGAATTAATTTCATCTTGTTTTTGGTGCAGGGTGAACGTAAGGAGAAGGACTTTGACATCAAGAAGGAAGCAGGTGGTAAATCTTACACTGCAGTTAAGAAGGATTATATCGTTTCTGTCACCAGAAACTTCGTTGAGATTCATCTCTTCTGGGCTGGCAAGGGAACTTGCTGCATTCCTACTCAAGGATACTATGGGCCCACTATCTCAGCTCTGAGTTTAAGCCCAAGTATTCCCCTTAACTACAAATCATCATGGTTCCAGTATGAAAACGATGTATTTTCTAGGGTTAACTGTTGCATTCCATTGTAAGATTGCATTTTTTTTTCTAACAGGTGAACTTTTTTTGTTAGATTTCACCCCTACAATTGGTAACGTGGCAGAACAAAACAGTAGTACTAGTAAAACAGTTGTAATTGTTGCAGTTGCAATTGGTGTGACAATTTTAGGTTTGGTAGCACTTGTTGGAATCTTTCTTTGGAGAAAGAAAAGGAGAAAGCTATCACTGGAGCAACAAGGTACATGGCACACTAGGCCAACAATATATCTTTAACCGAGCAAACAGGAAGCTAATAAATTGATGTACCTTTTCGTGTTTGCAGAGCTGTACAGTATTGTTGGAAGACCTAATATATTCAGTTATGGTGAACTAAGGTCCGCAACTGAAAATTTTAGTTCCAGCAACCGTCTTGGTGAAGGAGGATATGGGGCAGTTTATAAGGTTAGTTCATTTATATTATATATGAACATGAAAGTTTTACCTATGAAATCAATTTATTAACATATAGACAAGTACACGGGTATTGTATAGCTAAAAGATACATATGATTGTACTGATTCTTTCTGTTACGCACAATGGCTAGATTCGTTGTGCTTTCTATTCCTGTGCTTAGATGATGCATATGTAGTAATTTTTTTTTTTGGGGGGGGGGATATGCCAGTTTATCCATTATAAAATAGAAAAGGTAAATTTAATAAAACCCCACCTATTATGATCAAGTTACACAAAACTGTAGGGCTTTTGGCACGCGACATATAACCCCGGGTATTATAGTCTTACAGTTTCATAAAACCACACTGTTAACCATTTGACATACTCCTATATTAAAATAAAGAAAACGGATGTAACATTTATATAATAGATAAAATCCTCATAATTTTGAGATGTGATTGTAGAACTCAAAAATATGGTAGAATCAAAGTCAAAGTAATCAATAGTGTGGTTTTGTGAATCTCTAGGACCATAAGACATAGGGTTATGTGCCATATGTCAAAATCCCTGTGGTTTTATGCGACTGAGACCATAATAGGTGAGGTTTTATGAAATTTACTCAAATAAAAAAGATATTCAGCATTGCAAATACTTGAAGCTGGCATTTTGGTGAATGCAACCTTGCAGGGTAAGCTAATGGATGGAAGGATAGTGGCAGTGAAGCAGCTATCTCAAACATCTCATCAAGGGAAAAAACAATTCGCAACTGAAATAGAAACTATATCCCGAGTGCAACACCGTAATCTCGTGAAGTTGTATGGTTGTTGCCTTGAAGGCAATAATCCACTGCTGGTTTATGAGTATATGGAGAATGGGAGCCTTGATAAAGCACTGTTCGGTACAATTTATTTCATTTTGATGCAACTGGGATTCTGATAATTTATTGTTAGTAGATAGAAACATAAAAGTTCAATCCTGTATTTCTAGGAACTGAGAAATTACATATAGGGTGGCCAGCACGCTTTGAAATATGCTTGGGCATTGCAAGAGGTCTGGCTTATCTTCATGAAGAGTCAAGCATCCGTGTTGTGCACAGGGACATCAAGGCCAGCAATGTCTTACTTGACGCCAATCTCAATCCTAAGATCTCGGATTTCGGGCTAGCCAAACTTTATGATGACAAGATGACTCATGTTAGCACAAAAGTTGCTGGTACATTGTAAGTATATTCCATCTTTGCATTTTTTCTTTTAAAAAAAATAACTATTTTAATGGCATGCAAGAAATAAGAGGACATCCTCTTAAGGGGCAAAAAAAAGACCTTCCTGCCTTTGCCACCTTTGTGTTTATACTGCATCATTTGCTCATTTGGGGATTTGCTGTGCGGTTGTGCCCTACTCAGCACACAATCTGATTTTAATAAGCAAACTTGCATACAAACCCCTTACATAATGTCAAATTACATAAGCAGTTTACATATTATTTTTTTTTAATACATGTGAAGGTAATGATGTTTTTTTGGCTCTTTCCAGTGGTTATCTTGCACCTGAGTACGCCATGAGAGGACATATGACTGAGAAAGTTGATGTGTTTGCATTTGGCGTGGTCTTATTGGAGACTTTAGCTGGCCGGCCAAACTATGATGATGTGCTTGAAGAAGACAAAATTTATATTTTCGAATGGGTAAGCTCTCCCTAGCTCAAGGCGATGAATTCTCGGTCTGATCTTTGTATTATTTGAACGATATACTCTTATATTTATACTCAAAATTGATAATATAAAGTTGTCACGCACTCATGCCACCATGACATTTCAATTATACCCTCTTTTTTTTAGCGAAAAAAGAGCAGGAGTTCTACCTCAAGCATAATTATACCATCTAACCATAGTTTTGGCACACTCTAGATTTTTCACATTTTTATGTACAAAACTGCAGCCGAATCCCCATGTTACTTCATCAAATATGCAACCGCAAGATTTAATCTACTCTACATGGTGCTTTAACTATTTAACACAATTTGGTGGTTTTTATCACCATTGCTTGATTATGACATACTCCCTCCTTCCCTAAGGGTGTGTTTAAATAATGGGAAATGGAGGATGGGATTGGGATTGGAAAATGAATGAAGGGTTAGGATTAAATGGAAGAGGGAGAATGAATGGTTAGGATTTAAAAGATACCTTTTAATAGGTAGGAAATCATTTCCCTATTCCATTATCCTAACAATACCTAAATGTTTGACGCCGTTGACTTTTTTAAACATGTTTGATCATTCATCTTATTCAAAAACTTTTGTGAATATTATTAAAAAAAAACTTAAGTAGTAGTAGTATATTTAACAATGAATCAAATGATAGGAAAATAATTAATAATTGCTTAAATTTTTTGAATAAGACGAACCGTCAAATATGTTTAAAAAAGTCAACGGCGTCAAATATTTAGGGACGGAGGGAGTATTTTAGTACTGAATAGTACAAGATGTCAAATTTCAATCACTTTACAGTAAATCGCTTGCATATATTTTCTTTTTCTTTTTTTTTTGAGGGAAATGTCAAATTTCAATCACTTTACAGTAAATCGCTTGCATATCTTTTTTCTTTCTTTTTTTTTTGCATATCTTATGGTGGAAACATGCAAATCTGATTTTGGCCTCAAAAATAACACTGGAAATTTCTGAACTTACCATCTCAATACTTTCAGGTCTGGAGGCTGTACGAGAGCGAACGCGCCCTTGACATCGTAGACCCAAACCTCACAGAATTCAACAGCGAGGAGGTGCTCCGCGCCATCCACGTGGCCCTCCTCTGCACCCAGGGCTCACCTCACCGGCGGCCGTCCATGTCGAGGGTCGTGGCGATGCTCACCGGCGACGCTGAGGTGGGCGAGGTGGCGGCGAAGCCCAGCTACATCACGGAGTGGCAGATCAAGGGCGGCGGCACCACCACCACCACCACCGGCTCCTCGTCCACGAGCAGCAGCGCCGCCAACGGGCAGTGGAGCTCGGCGCCGCCGCCGCCGAGGGCCACCTCCTCGCCGAAGATGTCGTCGCCGTTCTTGAGCTCCGTCGTCGACGAAGGCAGGTGACGGCTTCGCGCCGCTGCTCGCCGGTGCTTGGTTCGGATCAAACTTCTCAAGAAACGGGCAGATAATAGCGTCAAAATACGTTGGTTTTTTAGGGACTCGAAATAAAACCGCTGCTCAAAACCACGGGGGGAGATAGATTGTACCGGTTTTAATAATTAGGGAGTTATCTCACACGGTTTTCCGGTCAAGACATACAAATTAGAGAGAATCTCTTATATGCCACTAGAAATTTATTAGTTCCTTTATATACCACTCAAAATTAGCTTCTCTCTTATATGCCACTGATTCAAGTTTTTCCATCCTTTTATACCACTCCCAGCACTACAGTGTTAGTTGACTGTTAGTCAAACGTTAGTTTTTTTGGTAAATGACCAATATGCCCTCTCAACTAAAAAAATATATAAACTTCAAAAAAATCATAACTAATTTATTTTAAATCCTTTTTGAGTGAACAAAATTTTGTTAGAACCAGTGAAAATGCTCTTTGTATTAATAAGGCTATCTTTGTTTAGGCTTAGACTTTTCGACTTATAAGTTGGTTTATAAGTCTAAACAAACAAGCAGCTTTTCCGTTTGGCTTTTTTGAAGCCATAAGCCACTCTAACACTATTAAGCCAAAAGCTAGGTTGAAGAAGCTTTTTTTGGCTTATGTGAGGTAGATGTATGACTCAACCACTAAACTTAGGACATTAAATCCACCGGCTTATAAGTCATATAAGCCACTAAGCTGACTTAAAAGTCTAAGTCAATAAGCCTAAGCCTAAACAAAGAGGGCCGAAAAATATTGTTGGAAAACTGCATGTTTCATGCTTTTATTGAAAATTTATTGTGATGGTGATGGATAAAATTGCATGTGATGAAAAAAATATCAATTTTCATATGTTTGTATCCAGTAGCTATATTAGTATTCAAATACTTATTATTGGTTGTATACCAACTCTCAAGGGCAAATGCGTTTTTGTACTATAAAATTAACGGTCAACTGACGATGGAGTGACGGCAATGGCATAAAAGGGAGGATAAACTTGAACCGGTGGCATAAAAGGGAGAAGCCAATTTGAAGTGGCATATAAGGGAACCGATTAATTTGGAGTGGTATATAAGGGATTCTCTCTGCAAATTAGATTTGGCATGTTTTTAAGGGATTCAATGTGAACTTTTCCTCCGTAAATACGGGCTCTATATTAGCCCGAATTCCCAGCGCAAGTGGACCGGCGAGACAGCCCACGACAACTGTATACAGTATATCTGTGCCGTGCGTGCTTAATACTCTGCCTAGTAAGCTCGCCTCTGTTCCAGTTCCACACACGCTTTGCCCCCTCTGTTCAAGTGTCATCCATCACGTGTAAACAGATATGCCCGTTCAATCGCTCATGTTTTGCTTAGATTAGTTTCTTTCATGTTGAAAGAGGAAGATTAGTAAACTGTCAACTCAAAACTCTACTCCCTTCATTCCAAAACATAGTAACCTAAAATTAAATATAATATATTTTATTACTACAAGTATATCTCTGTATAGATTCGTATATCATAGTACTCACTCCCTCTGTCCTAAAATATAAAATATTTTAGACATATGTGATATATTTTGGAACGAATAGAGTAGTAGTCTGTCTCATTTGATCCTACTATCTCTGTCCCATAAAAAAACGATATAGTACCGGATCTGACACTACTATGAATTTGAACATATCATATCCGGTTATAGATTTGTTTTTTTATGGGACAGAAGGAGTAGGTTATTATATTTTCGATTAGAGGGATAACGATAAATGAGTGCACTTCTTTTTTTTTCCCCTTAACGGCACCAATGCGCCATTGTCGTCAAACGAGCTATACGAAGACCATTTCCTATACTCAACAACAAAGTATCAAAATGCTCAGAGCTGCTACACACGCGAGCGCCCACAAAACAACGTGGTCAATTTCCTAGTCCTACATGCCCGCGGCGGCTGCACGGAGAGAGCGCGCAAAAGACCACCGTGAAAACTGAAAATTCTCTCTATAAAATAATGGATTATGGACTAATCCTGCATACAACAACCGCGCACGTGTGTCGTGCGACTCGTACTACCGTCGTACGCTAGTAGGCAGAGGCAGGCCTATTTGGGGAGGGTAAGATTCTGAAAATCTGCTCTTCTGAGAATGTGGAGGAGGTAGTTGTTTCAACTTCTAGATTTTAGTTTATTTTCTAGATTCTACAGCTACAGAATGTGAGAATCTGGTTGACAATCTGGACTATTTAGGGGGCTAGAGATTCTGAAAGAAGCTGTAGCAGTTAGAAGCTCCCCAAACAGGCCCGCAGGCAGCAGTTTTGTCGCGGCATGAACTAAACAAGTTGGGCACTGCGCCTGCACGCAGAAATTGCATCCTGTAAATATACGACGTGCTGCATTATTCTTGCAGAAATCTGATTGAGCAGCTGCTTGGAGGAGCCTTGTGTAGGTGGAGATCGAGAGAGGCGATTAACGGCTCAATTAAGGAGAGAGAGAGATGAGGAGGTTCATCAGGTCGAGGGTGAGGAGGCAGATACACCTCCATGGCTCTGTGTTGCTCATCATCCTGCTGCTTCTTGCAGCAGCGGTTGCTCAGGCTCAGCAGGCACCGACCACGAGGACTGATCCCACTGAAGGTAATCGATCACGTCTGTTTTGATCCTGAATAAAAAGAAAATGTTATCTCTTAATCTCTTTATTATTATTTTTTTGGAACTCTGAGATAACTGATAAATTGCCTTGAAATTCGTTCAAACAATCTGTTCATTTGGTATTCACGAAAATAATTCTGTTTGTTTGGTTTTCTTTTTGTTTGTTGTTGTTCATTGTCTTCATGTCTTGACACCTGGTACTTCATCTATCGTCCATATCTGCTTTGCTGTGATTGATTCTTGGCCGTCCGATCGGCACGTGCTGTGTCATCGGACGGTCCAGGAGTACCCAGTCGTGGCTTATTAACGGTTGGGAACTTGGGATGTGAACCCGTTTCTGATGTGGATTTTGCAGCGGCGGCGCTGAACGCGGTGTTCGCCAAGCTCGGGCAGAAGGCGCAGCCGTCATGGAACATCACCGGCGACCCCTGCACCGGCCGCGCCACGGACGGCTCCTCCACGGAAGACGACAGCTTCAACCCGGCCATCACCTGCGACTGCACCGACCAGAACGGCACCGTCTGCCACATCACCAAGCTGTAAGTGGCGTGCACGCGAGGTGTTCGACGGATTGCCTAGCTTGCAACGCGCATGCTGGTTCTTGCGCTGGTTGGTCGCTTGGCCGTTCCGGCATTTTTACCAACGATGTCAGTGCGTAAGTTGAGAATGGCGGAAGCTAACGATGTACTTGCTCATGCAGGAAGATATACGCCATGGATGCGTCTGGGCCGATACCAGAAGAGCTGAGGAACCTCACCCGCTTGACCAATCTGTATGAACTGTCAGCTTTCTTTCATGGAATGGTCATGATCCAAAGCATTGCTAATTTGAAGCGTTCTAGTTTTGCTATTCCTGTCATATTTCTTTTCAGTGCTTTTAGAGAATAGTTACAGAGTTCAATTTTCAGTTTAGTGATTACCGTCCATCATCTGCTACCGTGACTAAGGAATATTTCTTTCAGCGTTCTTTACATTTAGTTATAATAGTTGGGTTCCACTGCAAATTTAATCACGGAGGGAATAGAAACATCTCCTTCTAATGTTCAACAAAACTGACGTTTACCATATTGATTTTATATTGTTACAGGAACTTAGGACAAAATATTTTGACTGGGCCTATTCCATCATTCATAGGGGAGTTGACAGCTATGCAGTACATGTGATATTTATAGCTCAAAACATTGTTTTATTAGATACTTTTGTTTTCAAATCATCTGACATTTTCTCCCTTGGACATAAGGAATTTTGGCATCAATGCATTGTCTGGATCTATTCCAAAGGAGTTTGGTAACCTTACGAATCTCATATCATTGTAAGAACTATATTTACATTATTTCGTGGCCCTGTTTCATCTTACAAATGCACTAGATTTCTAGTAATGAATAAACAACAAAACTTACCTATCTTTTGTACTCTGACTCTCCCACTGAATATATTTAAGTTTTACTCTTAAAAATCATGAGATGAAGCATCATATATAAATTTAATACATATGTCAATTTCCTCATGTTTACACTATTCAATGAAGGGTTTCCAAAATTCCGAGTTAAAGTAGAAATGACATATTCATCTGTTGTCATATTCTTTTATTTGAGTATTGAAGTTAAACTCAGTTAAGAACTACTACTCTGATACTGTCCATTCTTCCTAGAATATAAATTCAAACAAACGATTTTATGTGCCTGACATGAGTCCTTTTTTGGGGTATATTTACAGGGGTTTGGGCTCAAACAATTTTAGTGGCCCCCTTCCTTCAGAACTGGGGAACCTGGACAAACTTACGGGATTGTAGGTTTATTCAAGACTTCATCTTTTCTTTTACCAAAACATTTATTTTCTTGGGCTTCTCAGCTCAATTTTTCTGCTATTTGTATCCCTCAATTGTAGGTACATTGACAGTGCTGGCTTAAGTGGTGAGCTACCATCATCATTTTCCAAGCTTACAAAAGTGGAAAAATTGTAGGCCTCTAATATACGTATTCTTATTGAAATTAATCTCCCATACCATTAAATCTTATGGGTTGTATATCCTTTTCGTTGTTTAGGTGGGCATCAGATAATAATTTTACTGGGAAAATACCAGATTATATCGGGAGCTGGAATTTAACAGACTTGTAAGATTTTTTTTCTGGAACCTCAGGAATATGCCTTTAAGATTGCTATTAGTCACCTTTCAATCAACAGTGATCTAACCTAAAATGGTGAAGATAATAGGGGCGTTGTTACATTTCTCATATTGTTTCAAATAATATGGTCATATTGTTTTCTATAACTACCTTCAAGTCAGACTTTATACTGAGGAAACTTGAAGTAGGTGCTAACATGAGATGCATTTTTAAGCCTACTTGGCTCAGTGTGATTTTTAAAAGAGGATTGTTTTCTCGTTTCTAGAGTAGCTTTTTAATTGACTGTGCTGAGTCACCTTCTAGGGGGCCCTTTATGTAAGTTTAGTGGTGGTTGAGAATTAGTAAACAATGCATCTTTCTTCTCTCGCTATTCATGAAGAGAGGGGTTCTAATTGGAAAGGTACTAGCTAGTATTAGTCACTAGTC